TCATACCTATAGTCCCAGGGGGATTGAGGCAGGAGGATCTCAAATTCAAGACCAGCCTGGGCTACATATCAATACCTTATCTCAAACAAACAAAAAAAATGTTCGGTCTGATTCTGATCATGAGAAGACATCAGACAAATCCTTATTTCAGGCCATTCATTCAACAAGATGACCTAGATTCCTCCAAAGGTCATTGCTTTGAGACACAAGAAAATGGAGTAAGGAGAGTTTCAGATTAAATGAATCTAAGGAGATATGACGTAAATATATCTTGAGATCCTTGGTTGGATTCTGAATTGAGGTTGTTTGAAAACAGCTGTAAAGAACATTAATGAGACAGTTGGGAAAAGTTGAATACATATTGTATATTAAGTAATATTGTATCAAAGTTAAATTTATTGGGTATCCTGATGGCACTGTGATTTTATAGGAGAATTTCAAGGCTCTTATAGGATATATACTAAAGTAGTCATAGTATCATGCCGTCTGTCTGCAACTTTCAAAATATGGATAAAATCTATACCAGTAGAAAGCAAATGTTAATTGTTGAATCTAGCTGAAAAGCATACTCATCCTGTTACTCCTTCAAATTTAATGTGGTTTGAAAGTTTTCCAAATTAAATGAGAGCCAGGGATGGCTTTGTGGAGTCAATGCAATTTGAAAAAGAAAAAGGATGGAAGTCATCGAAAGTTAGAGACAGGCATGAACACAGCATCCCTAAAGATCCATTGGAAGCAGGTAGACATAGATAAGTAATAAGACATGAATCTGAAAAAGTATGTGGATCCAGATGCAGAAAAGTCTTCAATACCAAGTGATTGCACATTGGATTGGATAGGTAGTAAAGAGAGAAATTGGGTTCTTGATGAGGTGGAGAATGCTGTTGTAGAATGCTGGATGAACTGGAGAGTGAAAACGAGGTGTTTTGTCATTCTCCCTCCCCACTCACCAATCTAGGCTTGAGGCAGTGGACATATTAAAGTGATAGGTGTCAGTGATAATGTAAAAAAGAACCTGAAAATCTCTTTAATTGCCTAGATGGATGGAGGGGATAACCGAAAAGTTGAGTCAGAAAATCTGTCTTAGTGTTGCCGTTTAGAAAGAGCAAATTTGGAGGGAAATTCTCTACTCTCCAGGGCCTCCTTCATACCCCTGCATTTAGGCTAAGTGGAACTTGAGCTCTGCTGCCAAATTTTGTTGTTGTGAGTTTTGTTTTGTTTTTGGGGATTTTTGGTTTTGTTTGTGTGTGTTTGTTGTTTTCCTTGTACTGGAATTTTAACTCAAGTGCCTCTCACTTGCCAGCCAGGCATTCCACCACTTTAGCCACTCCTCTGCTGCCAGATTTTGATGGATAGAAGGAGAGGCCACCATTAAAATCCCTTTTTTCCTCTGACAACCTCAGTATTATGCTAAACTACCTTCCTCTCTCCTTTCTCTCCTTCCTTGTTTCTCAGATTTTAGCCTTCCAGATCTGTACTTTGTCGGACTCAAACCCCAGCTGACCTAGTAGTCTAGCCATTCTTTCCATCCACCATGCCTGCCTTATATAGTCATTTTTTCCTCCTCTAATTCACTGCTAGTTTTTCCTTCTTTGAGCTGTCAGAGAGAGAGAAGAAATCTATTGTAGTCTTTTGTTTCCTCCTCATCATACCTGCCCTAGCCTGTGATTTTTTTTTTTTTTTTTTTTAAAGAGGAACGTTCAGCGGCTGACCTTGGGCAAGTGATCTTTGTGCATGCCTCTGACATCTTCTGCAGCTAAATATGTGGAACTTTACTTCATGAGCCTTTGATTATGTGGACCTGCTTATGCCCCAACTCAAATGCACATGAAACTAGGTTGAGCTCAGCTATAGAGCGCATGCATAAGGCCCTGGATTTAATCCTCCAACATCAAAAAACAAACAAAAAGTGTTACCAGTTCAAATGAATCTCCTGGGCTTTATTAGGGATATAGGAAGTCAGCTTCCTGCCAAGGTCAAGAAAAACAAGGCAAAGAGGCCCAGTGTGTCCCAGGGTAAAATGGGCTTTCTCTAGAAGTAGTGTGGAAGAATTCAAGCCCAATGTGGGTAGCCCACAAGTCAATGTGGGTATGACTGAAGACAGCGGATGAGCAGTTAGAACAAAAGACCTTTAAAGGTATTTCCTAACAGTCCCTTTCTGCTGCTGATCACTGAGGGTTTATACTAGAGTTCTACAGATTTTCCTCATCTACTGGCTTATATTCCTGTCGCCTGACAGTCTGGAACAGCACTGTCCAAGAAAATTCTCTACCATCATAGAAATGTTCTATTGTGCTCTATCCATTCAAGTAGCCACTAGCCATATGTAGCGCTTATATACCTAAAATGTAGCTAGTACAACTGAGAACTGAAATTTTAATTTATTTTAAAATTTAAATAGCTACATTTCATTTGTGGCTTATTGTATGAGATAGCACAGGTCTAGATTCTAGAACATAATAAAACTTCAATTACATGATGAACAAACCTGAATCTACCCTGAGTGAGGAGGTGGAAATGGGTAAGAAATGATGGAATAGGGTAATTTGAGGAAAATCTGAAGTTGTAGCTTCTGAAAATTTACCTTCTTTTTTGGCTTGTAGGTACAGTAACAGGGAAAAGAATAGGAAGAAGGGCCAATGTAGACAAAGTCAGAAACTAGAAAGCCTTGCAAGAGAAAGGAGGCCAGTAGAGAGCAGAGACCAAGAATAGGACCGAGCACCTGCTATGTCAGTCAGTGGGGACAGGAGCAACAAGACCATCTCTGTCTTCCCAGATCTTCCAGCCTTGTCTGGGCAACTATACAAACAAGTAGTTCCCATTGAGTGTTTATAGGAAAGCAAAGTATTAGAAGCCATGGAAGGAACCCCAGTTTTCACCCCTAGGTCTTTGTTAACACTGTTGTGGTTTTTCTTTTAAACCAGCCATCTCCAGTATCTTGTCTGGTTCATGTCATGTTTTGTTTTTCTTTCTCTCCCTCCTTTCCTGCATCACCTCCTGGGTCCCACACTCTTCCTTGATGTCCTTTCTTTCTCTGATCCAAAGATCAGCCAGTAAAAAGCAGTCTCACCTGTCCAAGTAAGAAGGTTGCCATTGTGAGAGGGGAAGAAAATCCCCTCCTTTGTATTTTAAAGTTATTTATTTGCTTTTTGAATAGATAGTATCTTCATGTGGTTCAGAATTTAAAGAGTACAATAGAGAATATAATGAAGTCTCATCCCTTTTAGGGATCCTCATGTCCCAGCCATCCATTTTCTCTCCTCAGAGGCAACCAGTGTTATATGTTTCTTTTGTACCCTTCCAAAGATAGGTTTTTTTAAGTTTTTTCTTTTGATGATACTGGGGGTTGAACTCAAGACCTCACACTTGCTAGGCAGGTGCTCTACCACTTGAGGCATGCCCCTAGACCTTTTGCTTTTTTCCTCTGGGCCAGCCGAGACTGCAGTCATCCTATTTATACTTCCCTCTTAGCTGGGATGACAGACAAGTACCACCATGCCCTGCTATTGGTTGAGATGGGATCTCACTGCTTTTTGTGTGGGCTGGCCTTGAACCACTGTCCTTCCAATCTCTACCTCCTGAGTAGCTAGGATTAGAGGTGTAAGCCACTACTCTTGACATGTTAGGTATTTTTACATACATAAGCAAATATACAGACATATCTAAACAAATACTTTCTTCCTTTTGTCTACTGTTATAGCTACTGTTTAGTATGTCCACATAATTCTGTATCTTGCTTTTTTTCCCTCAATAACATACCATAGAGATTATCCTTTATGGAATAATCAGTGTTCTGTGTGGCCAAGTTTTATGTCACTATATTGATATAAAATAATTTAACCAAAAAAGCAAATTAAATTAAAAAATAAAAAATAATGTAACCAATCACCCATTGTGAATATTTATATTATTTCCAATGTTTTACCATTATACACAGTGGTTCTCTGTATAACCTTCTACTTTTGTGATAGCTAGGAGCCTTTTCTGAGAGGCAGCAACTATAATTCAGGAACAGGCAACTTGTATTCTTCCTAAAAAGGAGGGCCACTGCAGTGATTTGAGGATTTTATTGTTGTTCTTGTAGGGATCCTAATTGAACAAGAGATCACACGATGAATTTTTTGGTTGATGATCTGTGGTGCATTGAGGTTTTAGAGTCTCTAATAGTTTCTAAGCAAGATGCCTCAGGCTGGCTATAGGAATGGGGCTGATTATGGGGTTGGAGTATGCTACCACCAAACAGACCAGATTCCTGTTTTCCCATGGAACCCAGAAGATGAAAAGAATTTTCAGAGGCTCAGGCTATTGATGTGTTCCTTCTTTCTTTAATTTTTTTTTTTTTTTTTTAATGTATAAGTAGCTTAGTTACCCAGTAGGTTAATACCAAATTCCCAGTTGCCATCTTGGAGACTCCCATTTTGGAGAGGTAGCACTTGAGAGACAAAGAGATTAAGCTAAAATGGGGGAGGGGGTGTCTCAGCTACAGCCATTGTGTGCTCTGCGGTGCTCAGGCAGGCCTCTATGTGTCTGACCCGCCATATCCTTCCCTCCAGTTTCCCCATCTTTTGCAAATCATCACCCAACACTAGTTATTTGGGTTTGTTTCTTTTTTCCCCCCTATCTTGTTTTGCATTCATTTCCTCTGCTGCACCAATCTGTTCCATCAGCTCTGTTGCAGCCTGGTAAGACCTAACAAGCGCATGTATATGTACACATCTCCTCCTTGCAATTGTATCTTGTCACCCGACTCCATGAAGGACCATTTCCCTTTACTCCCTGCTGGGTATTAAAGAGATCATGCTTGCCCTGCCAGGCCAGGATTCCAGTTAGGTGATGTTGCCAGCAATGTAGATATGACTGATCTACCAGGTTAAGCAGGTTACAAGGTGGGCAGGTCAGTCTCTCATTGTCCAAACCTCAGGGCCCCTTTTGACAGAGCTTCCTTCTACTAGTCCCTCCCTGCCCAGCTCACTGACATACTTTCCTTACTCTTTCTCCAGGTTAAGTAGCCTGTCTTCTCTAGGAGATTCTGCACCTGAGCACAAATCCCCTTCCCACCACCGCCAGCCATCTGACACCTCAGAGACAACAGGTAACTACCTTCTTGGGCATCAGCAGACACAGAGGTGTACACTCATACATACAGGTCCATATACCCAAATGTAAAGCACCTTAACTTTATGTTGAGCACATAATGTGTGCCAGACATTGTATTGTGAGTTTTATATCAATCACTTCTTTATATTAACCTAGAAAGTGGGTTTTATTATCCTTATTTGAGGAAGTTGAGGTACAGAGGAGTTAGGAAACTTGCCTATCTGCACACATTTGTTGGGGCACAGTAAAGACTTGGAACCAGATCTGTTTTAACTGTATAGCCCATGCTTAAGTCATAACAAAATGTAGTTAGTCATGCACAATGTCTGACACACATTCATAGGGGTAGAAACAGTTGGTAGTCATAGCTTCAATTTCTATTTTTTTTTAAGTTCAATGTATGATTATTCAGTGAATAAGTTTTCTGCTAACATTTATCCTTCTTTGAATTTGGCAAGGGACCAACCCTGAGTCACCCTGCATGAGTTATCCCCCAAAAAAAGCCAGTTAACAAGCATTGGTGTCCCATCTGCTGTATTCATTGGCTGTAAACTGACTTATCAGTCCATTGGGGCTGCTTATCTGTAATATTAGTCTTCACAGGGTAGGTGGACTTAGCCATACCCCTTCTTTGGCTAGTCTCACCCAGACAAACCAAAAGGGACAAGCATTTCAGCACCTCAGAGAAAGGTCATTTCTTGTATGTAATACAAGGTAGATTGTAGTTTTTACCGGTCACCGAGGGTGCCATGTCATTGCAGTAATGTGTTGGAATGGGGGTAAGTCTGGGGAATTTAATTAGTTTGGGAAAACTTCTTGGGGAAGAACACATTTGGACTTTTCTGGGTTGACCTTGGCTTGTCTACACTAAATTCCAGTGAGATTGCCTACCCCAAACCACTTCTATCTCTCACTCCCACCAGGTCTTGTTCAACGCTGTGTCATCATCCAGAAGGACCAGCATGGCTTTGGCTTCACAGTCAGTGGGGATCGCATTGTTCTGGTGCAGTCTGTACGTCCTGGTGAGTGCTTCATCCTCCTGTCTGCAGTGCCCAGTTCTTAGAAGGCGCGATGTATGTGACAGTGCTGCATGACTGGGAGAACATTTGCTTTGAGGAACCTAGGGAGCATGAGTGAATTCTAGGATTGGCTCTCCATGGAGGTCTGAGGAAGTCTCTGAAATGCTGAGCCATTTGCAGAATTTCTAAGGCTCCCACTTCATGTCTGCTTCTTCAGTTGGGAAGTGTGAAACCAACAGAACAGCCCTCAGGTCATCAGGTAAATGCCTGATGGTCATCAGAGAAAGCCCCTTGTATTGGGTCAGAAGATGCCATGGAGGAATCAAAAGCCCCCTGTCTTCCTACTTACTTTCCATTATCTGACCAAGTGCACAGATGATCACTTTTTACAGAGGTATTTGAGACAGGCATATGGGTTCAAATGGCCTTAGAACACATTTGCAATCAGTTGATTTTAAGTAATAAATTACCAAAAGGTAAATGATTCTTGCTGGGCATTATGTCAGATGAAACATTTGTAAGTTTGATTGGGTAGTTTGTGGTTCAAGGCATAGTCATTTCCCTTTTTATCACTTTAGGAAGCCAGCCCTTTTAGGAAAAACAAGATTTCAGGAATAGTCTGAAAGATGGAAATGGAAAATAGATCAGCAAAATAGGAATTTGGTGAGAAGGGCGTGAAGAGTGAGAGGGAAATCATGGACAAATCCATTATGTGACCAGTTAAGTACAGCAGAGCTATGAAAAGTCATAGCTCTGTCATATGTCAAGTGGTAGAATCATTGTTACTGACCAGGCTGAAGAAGACAATGTGGAGGGAAGGATGCAGGAGAGTATAAAGCAAATCTTCCTAAAGGGGCGAACTATAGTGTAGCAAATGAGATTGGGCCAGAGACATGGAGCATCATAGGCTTGATTTGTAGAGCATAGGAAAGGGTAGGGCACAGGCTGGCATCTCACCCTAAGGATAAAAGTCCGGAAAGGAAATATACTTGCAGTAATTTTGGAGAAAAACTTAGAATATGTTTACAGGAAAAGTGTTTTCACTTTTTAAAATGTATAACCAAAAGGAGATATGTGGCTCATATAATGAAAATAATTATGGCTTCTTATGTTTGGGAACTTTTATCAGTGAGAGTTTTTCATATCCTAGGGAAAAGCTCTGAAAAGATAGTTTTATTCTTTGTTTCCCTTATTTTTCAGGGTTCCTGAACTAGGATAATACAGAGCTAGTGGAACTGCCAAATACCTTGTATTTTGCTTCTGTGGTCTATTAGATATAGAAAGTCTGGTATCTCCTTCAGTGAAGTGTGGGTTCATCTCTTTCCCCTCCTCCTTTTAGATTGAGCAGAGTTAGACCCAAAAAGGAAAGGGCAAAAAGATAATTTGGAGTAAAATGTGGGTTTTGCAGTGTGAGTTTTGCAGTATGTGTGTGCATTGTGTTGTGTTTTGGGAAGAAGGAAAAAAGAGACTTCATTTGACTGGTATTGAAATCACAAGAGTAACAGAGTAGTTGCTACTCTTTTTTTCTACATACTAGATTTCTTTAGTTCACTATTTCTTGAAGTATATTCTCCCTACATCAGAATCACCTAGACTGCAGGATGATTGAAATCCTTATTTCTGGGTGCAGCCCCAGAAGTACTGAATCGCTTCCTGGCAAGGGGACCAAGAATGTACTTTTTAAAACAAATTTTCCTGGTGCTTCTCATGCTTACAGAAGTCTGAGAATTTCTGCTCAAATTTCTTGAAAGAGTTTTAAATTTTTTTTTTAAGTCACTAAGTTATTAGAAGCCACTGTGTGTTTCATGGATTTAGGGAAGATAGCTCCTTCTTCTCCAACTTTCATTCTACATGACTGAATAAGAGAGAGTTTCAAGCTATTTAGTAGTAGTCTTCCATAAATAGCACATTTTAGATGTTGGGAATCTGAGTCCCATACTGAAAAGCCAAAATGGAATGTTGTCATTACTTTATTTTTTTTTATAGGCTAGAAACATCTAGATATGCTTTGTGGGAGTTTTGTTTTGAACAAATAAATGCAACTTACGAGATTTAGTGATCATCTTGGGGAAATTTTGCAAAATGTAACTTTTATGGTTCTCATTAACTTGTTTCAGCTATAGTTTTTGTTGTGCTTCCTGGGTATAAATTAAGCTAAGAATATAAGCCATTTAAAACTATATGATAGTTGAAACCACTGCAGCCACCAGTTAAGTGATAACCTGAAAAGGTCAAGAACATCTTCTGAGTACCTCTTCATCAGCTATCATCAAAAGCTCTGAATGTGGTCCATTTCAAAGGGAGAAAGTATAAATAGCTTAAAATAGTTTTTTTAAAAGAACAAAAAATAAAAGTTACTGATTTGTTTTTTTTTTTTTGCAGTACTGGGGTTTGAACTGAGGGCCTACACCTTGAGCCACTCCACCAGCCATTTTTTGTGAAGGTTTTTTCAAGATAGGGTCTTGCAGAACTGTTTGCCCAAGTGACTTCGAACCGCAGTCCTCTGATCTCTGCCTCCTGAGTAGCTAGGATTGCAGGCATGAGCCACCAGCGCCCAGCAGTTACTAGTATCTTTAATAATAGGAACCCTCAGAATATCTTTATGAACTCTGAATCTTAAGAACCACCAATTTGAAACCTCTTATTTTAATCCTTTTCTTCATATTCCTCTCAATTATTATTACTTTACTAATTATATTTAATATAATAAACTCATCTTTTCCACTGGGTAATAAGAAATAACTCAGGCTGGCGGAGTGGCTCAAGTGGTAGAGCACCTGCCTAGCAAGCATGAGGCCCTGAGTTCAAACTTTAGTACCACAAAAACAAAAAAGTAAAAATAAGAAATATTTCTTATCTAAACTTGAAACATATACTTCCTGGAGCCTGGCCCTGGTGTCTGCCACTTCTGGTTTTTAGAAGTCTGGCCTCTGAGTTAGGTGGAGCAAAGAGCGGCAGGTGTGACTTTATGTAGTCCACTCTGCCTTAAAAATCTTTGTGTCACTGGAGCCGAATGGGATGTCCATCCAGCGCTGAGGTGCTTCACACAGAGAAATGAGATAGGGTGATCTGACAGGAACGTTGGTATAGATTCAGTGGCCTTTGGGGGAAGTTATGGGGCTCTGTTGACCAGGTCTTCTTACAGGAGGTGCAGCCATGAAAGCTGGTGTGAAAGAGGGAGACCGGATCATCAAAGTGAGTAACCCTAACACCCATCTTCCAGGAGGGAGGCAGGGACACTTCTGGCCTTGGCCTGTCCTGTAGATTTCTGTTTTGATACCAACTCAGCCAGCTATGGAGTCAGGTTGTACCAAGACAGGGAGCATTGTATTAGTAAAGCAGAAAATAGGCAGAAAGTTGGGTCCCACATTCTAAAAATCCCATATTCAGAGTTCATTGACTCTGAAGCAGCCAAGCTTCTAGAGTAGGTTTTATTATTCCCATTCACAGACAATAAAAAATAAGATAAAGAGGGAAGGACTGTAACTAGTGAAGCACCCAAGCCTTCAGATTCTCAGCTTGATAATCTTTCCTTATACAGTGCTGACCTGAAGTTCTTGCCTGTTCTGAACTATTATAATTCACCCTGTCCATTCAAGTCTCTTTGCAAAATGGAGCCCTAGAAGCATTAAGGAACCCTAGATACGGACTGCTAGTCCTCTAATAAGGAGGATGCACACTGGGCCAAGTGACATACACGTGTGTGAGGCAAATAGTTGAGAAATCATGTACCAAAAAGAAATTAATGACGGAACAAATGAAGACATAGGTCTTATCCCTGAAAACTTAACAGGCTAGCTGGGGAGACAAAACACACGGCAAATGTGAATAGGAACAAACTCATAATGTGAATTTGAGTAAAAAAAAAAAAAAGGCCAGAAAAAGCTAAAGAGCATTGGAATTGGCTTCCTAAAGAAGTAACATTTAAACTTAGAGAAAAGCCCCTAGGTTTCCATCACCATTACTCAATATTATTTGTCCCTCCAACAGGTCAATGGCACCATGGTGACCAATAGCTCACACCTGGAGGTGGTGAAACTTATCAAATGTGAGTTGGAAAGGGGTGACAAAGACTGAGAGGGAGGAAAAGAGAAGGCCTGCTGACCCTGGAAGTCCCCTTTGTAGATGTTGAGGCAGCTGAAGTTCCACCTTTAGTCTCTACATGGAGTGATCCACTTAGACAGCCACAAATCTCTAGTATCATTTCAAGTGGAGGCACTATTAGTCTCTCATCAGACATCTTCATTTTTGCCACTCCTATTTAGACCATATCCTACTGAGACCCCATCTCTCTTAAATACTATTTTATCCCCTCTCCTGTCATAGATAGTTTTCCTATTTTGGGAGGAGAGGAGAAAAAAATACTCCATTTAAAGGCAGGAAGACCCCAAAATTGAGTCTGCACTGATAACCAGATAGAAGCAACAAATATTGAGGAAAGAATTAAAGGATGTCAGAAGACTGGAAAAGGGGGGCAGTAAGGGCTAGAATTTGAGTGCCTGCCATGAACCAGGCTTTCCACTGGCTACTTAATTTAGTGAGATAAAAAAGGAAGTTGGGCATGGTGGTGTGCACCTGTAATTCCAGCACTCAGAGGTTGAGGCAGGAGGATCTTGAGTTTGAAGCCAGCTTGGGCTACATAGCAAGCAAGACTCTCAATAAATAATGAAGGAAGGAAGGGAGGAACAGTACTGTGAATTTAATGAAAGAAGAAGGGAGAAGAATACACTCCTTTGTAGTTTGAATAGCTGCTCTCTAGAACAGTGCTACTCAAGCAAGTCTCTGTTTCCTCCAGCTGGTGCCTATGTTGCACTGACCCTCCTCGGCTCGTCACCTTCGTCCATTGGTGTTTCTGGGCTCCAGCAGGACCCATCCCCAGCAGGAGCACCTCGAGTAACCCCCATGATTCCTCCGCCACCACCACCTCCACCCCTACCACCTCCACAACGCATCACAGGACCCAAACCTCTGCAGGTAATGGTCTTCCTGGCTAACCCTTCCTTATTCCAGTGCTCCTCAGTGGAGATTAAATTGAATGGGGTTGTAGTAAGCAGAAAAAAGCCAAGTAAATGAACACCACTGAAGAGTTGAACAAAAATGAAGGCTGCAGGGAAGGGTGTTCCATGCTTTTAGTGCCCTCCTCTCCTGTAAATGCCTATGAGGTTTTATGAAGACAGCAGCATTCAGTGTGTTCCCTAAATGTGTGAAAAACTCTCCAGAGGTTCTCTGAGAGTGCTTTTCCACATTGAGGGGTGCTCCCTCCTGACATGGACAGAAGGCAACCATTAGAGACTGTTGCCATTAGGGTTTGGTGAAAAGTCAAAGTTAGGGGAATGGCTTCCTATGGAAAAAAGGCTGTCTGAAGGAAATATGGAGCCCAATCTGTAAAGGCAGGGAGTCAGAAAAGGAGAAAAACAAGTAGAAAAAGAACCCTTAGAGGAGGAAAGCCTAAAAGAGGACAGAATGCAGATAGGTATAGGGAATGTGATTTTCTGATTGAAAAGAAAAGCAAGTCAGTATGTCTGTAGGGAAGTTAGAGAGCGATTTATGATTACACCCAAAGTTTCGAGGAAGTTCAGGAGTAAAATCAAAATGAGATTTTATGTTTACTGCATTCCAGCAAGGTGGTGAGTGTTATACAAAATGTTCTTATAATTCAGGCTCTACTCTCATACCTTTCCTTGCCCAGTATTCAGGAGGTCCAAGAGAGTTAAGCTACTGTGCTAGTCCCTAAGTCTTACTACTGTATGTTTTCCATTCCTAGGATCCTGAAGTTCAAAAGCACGCTACTCAGATCCTCAAGAATATGCTGAGGCAGGAAGAAAAAGAATTGCAGGTGAGGTCACTGCTGAAGGTAGACTGGCCGTTGCCTTAGTGAAATAATACTGCATCAGAGCAATCTGCCAGCATGTACAACTTAATTTACAGACCATGTCTAATCAAAGTAAAACCTTGAAAGTAGAACTTTAGGGGCTGGGGATGTAGCTCAGTGGTAGAGCACTTGCCTAGCATGCTCAAGGCTCTGGATTCAATTTCTCATTATTGTCCCAAAAAAATTCTGGACCACTGAACAATTGTCATTGGCCAGTAGAATTTTGTTAAAGCAGAATTTGACCAAAAGAGTGAATAGAATAATAAGAGTTCCATAGGTAATAGATTAGGATAGTGAATGTGTAGACTAAATACGAATAAGGGCTGAGACAGGTAAATTAAATGGAGTAAACAGTAGAATTGAAAATTGGAACCAGTGGAATTATTCTTGAAAGTTTCCAAGGAAGATAAAGGTAAGAAGCTAAGGATGGGTAGGTAAATACTTGGTCATCTTAATAGCAACAAGAGCACTGTTGGTGGAGGGAGTGAACAAACATTTCCAGCCCTAGGAAATAATATGCACAGAGAAGAAAATGATGATTAATTTGGCTGGAGTAGAATAACCAGAGTTCTATTGTAGCTATGATTTGAGGCAGTCTCCTCACTCCTTCATTTTAATCCAACATATTTCTGTAAGTGCTTATTGTACATGAAGCATTGATTTAGTTCTGTGGTATACAGAAATGAAAAGATTAGACATTTCTTACCCTCAGTGTGTTTAAAATCTGGTGGAGGAAAATTCAAATTACAATAGGAGGGACAGTGGGAAGAACAAAGAATTTGCAATAAAAGGATAAAGAAGAGATCAATTGGACTGTGGGAAAAGGCTTCACAGAGAGGATAGTATTTCAGTTTGGCCCTGAAGAATGAGACTTCAGTAGACAAAAGAGATGGAGGAATACTATTGAGTGAACAGCTTAGGTCAGAGACACAGAGATATGAAAACACATTCATTTATATAACAGGCATGCATTCTTGCAGTGTGCTAGGTACTATGTGTGTTGAAACAGTGAATGTGGAGGTATAGTGTTATGGGCAGAAGTTAGAATAGGTACAAAGGTAAATGAGAGCTACACCTTTCTTCTAGGAATTAATAACACCACAGGACATGGAGGGATGAACGAAGGTACACTACATTATGTATATTGACATAGACTAATCAAGATGCTATAGTATGAGGATAGACTTATAATCAATGAAATAGAATTCAGAGTTCAGAAGTTAATCCATATATCTACCTATGGTCAGTTGATTTTCAGCAGTGGTGCCAAGACAATTCAATGGAGAAAAAATAGTCTTTTCAACAAATGGTGCTGGGATAGCCAGATATCTACATGCAAAAAATGAATTTGTATCCTTATCTCACACACTTAACAAAACTTAACTCACAGTGAATCAAACACAAATACAAGACCTAAAACTATTTTTTAAAACTGTAGGACTGGGGCATGACTCAAGTGGAAAAGAACTTGCCTAGCAAGCATGAGGCCTTGAGCTGGACATTGTGACATATGTCTATAATCCCAATACTTGGGAGGTGGGAAGCAGGAGGATCATGAGTTCAAGGCCAGCCTGGGTTGTATAGCAAGACCCTGTCTCAGAAACACTAAAGCAAAAACCTATAAAACTCTTAGGAAAAAAAAAAAAACAGCTTTGATATGACACTAAAAGCACAAGCAACCCACAAAAAAGATAATTGGATATCATCAAAATTAAAATATTTGTGCATGAAAAGACACTATTAAGAAAATAAAAGGTCATCTCACGGAATAGAAGAAATATTTGTAAATCATGTATCTATTAAAAATCTAATAAAAAGAGAATAACCCAATGAAAAATTTAGCCAGAGCCAGGGATATAGGTCAGTGGTAGTGTTTGCCTAGCATGTACAAGGCCTCAGGTTTGATCCTCAGGCAAAAATAAAACAAAATCCCCCAAACTTTAGGAAGCTGATTAATACAAAGTATGTTATTTTAATTGATTTTTAGGATATTTGTTGCAAGCTTTTTTCTTATTAATAAATATTCATATTTCTACCAAAAAGGCAAAGAATTTGAATAAACAGTTTTCTAAAGAAGACATAGAAATGACCAATAAGCATGTAATAAGATGCTTAACATTGCTGGCATCAAAATGAAATGGGTCTAACCAAAATACTGGAAAATAGCAAGTGTTGGTAAGAGAAGTGAACAAATCTGAGAAATACTTATTAATATTTTTGCCTACATATTCACTATCCTGTTTCTACCATCTTGTTGATGGAACTATAACAGTGCCATCATACTGGAAAAAGGCAGTTCTTCAAAATGTTAAACACAAAAAGGCTGGTGGAGTGGCTCAAGTGGTAGAGCATCTGCCTAGCAAGCATGAGGCCCTGAGTTCAAACCCCAGTACTACAAAAAGAGAAAAGTTAAATCAGATACTACATGACCCAGCATGTCCACTTCTAGATAAATACCCAAAAGAATTAAGAGCATATGTTCACACAGAAACTTCCACACAAATTTCATGACTTTTTATTCGTAATAGCCAAACAGCAGAAACAACTCAAATTGATGAGTAGATAAACAAAATTGTGGTATATTGTCACAGCAGGACATATTCAGCCATAAAAAGGAGTAAAGTACTGATAGTGCTATAATATGAAAGAAACCAAGCAAAAGTCCATAAATTACATAACTCTATTTATATGGAATGTCTAGAATAGGCAAATCCTTAACAACAGAAAGTAGACTAGTGGTTGCAAGAGGATGGAAGAAGGGAATTGGCAGTTATTGCATACAGGTACTAGCTTTCTTATTGGGGTCATGGAAGTGTTCTGGAATTTGATAGTGGGAATAGTTACACAACTGTGTGAATATACTAAAAATTACTGAATTATGTATTTTAAATAAGAAGCTTATATGAGTTATATCAATAATTTTTTTAAAAATTTAAATGCTGAACTGGCATAATGGCTCAAGTGGTAGAGCACCTACCTAGCAAGCATGAAGCCCTGAGTTCAAACCCCAGGAGGACCACTTTAAAATATATTAACTGTCATAGTAGCCCAAAAGAAGGAATAATTATTTTATCCAGTTACCAGGTTTCAGAGGTGATGCTTAAGTTGAGTTCAGTCTCCTGGGACTAGAATATTGAAAATGGTAGTGGGGACAGAGTTTGGAAAGTGATTTGGGCCATAAATATCATGAGGAGCTTGGAGTTTGTGCTGAAAGCAGTGGGAATTTATTGAAGGATTTTGCATAGGGAACTGATCACATTCTCAAATCAGTATTCTTTAGAGGCGTGTGTTAAGTGAATTGATGTAAGTAAATCCTTTAGAAGGCTGTTGAATGTAAGAGATGAGGACAGATTTAATAAGAACAGTAGGAGTCAGAACAAAAAAGAGAGAATAGCAATGGGAGACATCTCAGAGGTCAAATCAGGGGAACTTATTAGCTGGTAGGGAGAAGAAAGAATAAAAGCCCTGTGTTTGGGTGCCTGGGTAGATGGTGATGCCATTGATGGAGAAAGAATGGAGAGAAGTTGAGTCTTTCCCTTTAGGGAAAAGAAATGAAGGTCAGCTTTAGGTATGCTGAGTTGAATGTGCTCATGACACATTCAGATAAAGGCTATCCTCCATGCATATGCCTGTCAGGGCTGAACCTCAGGAGAAAAGAGATCTGAATATCATCAGTATGAAGGTGATTGTTGAATTGGGGTCTGGATGAGAGCACCAAGGGCACTGGTGCAGAGAGAAGAAGAGAGAGCTGAGAATGGATTTGGGAATTTATATGCTTTTGTGGCACATTATATCAACCTCTGATACTACACCATTTACTCTTACTTTGATCTTTGACAGAGTTCCTATTTGAGGTAATGGGATGGACACTCAGTTGTATATGTTATGAATGACTAGAAGGCAAAGAATGGGGGCTCCTAGTTCAGGCTACTGTTTAGAAACATTTGCAGGTGAAAGTAAGGAGAAAAGGTTGGGGCAGTGACTTGAAAAATAATCTGACTGATGGTAAGGACTTTATTGTGGTTTTGTTTTAAGTCAGGGAGCTTGAACATATTTGTAGAAAAAAGGGAAGGAGCCATTGGAAAAAAGGAGACTTTGAAGATATGTGAACAGTGTCTAGGAAGTACCCAAAGCAATTGGAAGGATCCACTTTGTGAAAGATTTAGACAGTTTGTCTCCTGAGGCAGGAGGAGAGATGGCTGTTTTGAAGTGAGTAAAGTTGGAAAAGTTTTACCAAATGATATTATCTGCTGAGACTGAGGGCAGGATTGGGACTTGATAAGCATGGAAAAGATGAAACATAAAATGTGAAGAATTTTCATAAGGTGGTCAGGTAGCAGGAAGCCCCAGATGAGCTTAGCTAACATGTGAATCCAACATCTTTATTTAACCAGTAAGCTTTATGAAGTATCTCCTTTTATCGTAAACTGTAATAGCTGCCATGTAATAGCTGGTGTGAACTATAAGCTAGACATTCTGCTAAGTCCTTTTACATAATCTCATTCAGATCTTAGAACCATCCCATGAGGCAGGTACTATCATCTCTATTTTATTGATGGGGTGTATTTAAGCTTGCCCAAGTCTATACAGCTAGTAAGCAGAGGTGCCAGAATTCAAAGCCAGTCTCCCTTAGCCCCTGTGCTCTACAATGAGAGGTAGGATGGTACCTGCTCTCTAGAAACTTCCTGATGGATGGGATGTTGTCTGCTCTAGTGAGGCTTCTCCTTTCCTCTTTTGGGGTTCTCATTTTGTATAAGTTTCTCTTCAGCACTTTTCTGTGTACTGATTGGACTGTCATTTCAACATTTCATAATTGTTGGGGGTGTCAAGGAAACTTCCTTTAGAAGGTTATGACTTAAGGCAGGCCTTGAAGAATGGGTCAGATTAGGGCAGACCTTTGTGTTTTATCTTCTTTCTTCAACTGCCTCATGTGTTCTTCTCATCACTCACCCCTTTTTCTGATTCTAAATTATGGTGAAATAACATGCGTCTTCTAGCAGGCAAAGATCTCTTCTCTCTCCTCTGTTTTGAGATAACTACCTGTTCTGCCCCTGGTGAGTTTTCCATTCTCTACTAACCGCTTCTCTCTGCCTTTTCCCTTTCTCCTTTTCCTCCTTACCCCACCCCAGCGTATCTGTGAGGTGTATAGCCGGAACCCTGCCAGCCTGCTGGAAGAGCAGATTGAAGGTGCCCGGCGGCGAGTCATTCAGTTACAGCTGAAGATCCAGCAGGAGACTGGTGGCTTAGTGGTGAGTGACAGTAGACATAGCTCTAGGAAAGGCACTATGCAGTTGGACTGTGGTAGAAGGAGGGAGAAAGCAAGGACAGAAGGCCTCCTGAGTCATGGCAGAACCTTAAGGCTTAGCTAGTAAATGTTTAGTATTTTACAAAGAACAAAGGTCAGTGGTTCTTTATTTAGCACCAAAGAGGCTGAGCACTATCATGACAATTGGGATACCATATAAAGAAAAAGTCTGTTTCTTGACCTCTGAGAACTTGTTATAATGAAAAGAAAGAAATATTAAATAAATGAGATTGTCAGCTTTAGTCTCCTGTCTTTCCCCTCTGGGTAGTTTTCTTGTAGCTGATATGTTCTTAACTTGGTTTTGCTCTTTACTAGTCTGGTAGCTTTTTCCATCATCTGTCCTTCAAGTAATGGGTCTTCTCAAAGAAATACAAGTACTTTTCAAAGTCAGCCTATGTAAAGGATCCACAGAAAGAGATCTACATCATCAGCTAATCACAGTTTGTGGAACATTCTAGAGAGCAGGCATTTCTTTATCTGTCCTTATCTGGGACTTCACTACTGACAGCTTACTGTCTCCATCAAGCATCAATTCTTTGGGGAAATAAGAAGTAGCTCTCTAGAAACTTACAGTCTCCAAGAACAGTATTTGCCCAAACCGACAGGCACATCTTTTTAGAATATCCAGATCAGAAAAGTTGGGAAAATCCAAGCAAATAAATTTACAATGTTCATTTTCTAAAGGACTTCTCATGTTACTTGGTGGGTAGTAGCTCATGTTGCGGGCTTAGATCATCTGGATTCGAATCCCAGCTCTATTCCACTAGCTTTAGTGGGAAGTCTTAGGCAAATTACTTAACCCCTAAGAGCCTCACGTTCATTTATGAAATGGAGATTGTGATAGAAATAGAGTGTTGTCAGAACTGAAACATGCCCTAGGCACAGAGGCCAGTGCATACTTGTTGCCGCTGCCACTATTGGTGTCTGTGTGCTCGTGATGTGGTGAGTTTGAGACAGTGAGCTTGGAATCTAGAGATCTGGGCTCCAACCCTGGCTTTAGAGTTGACCTACTGTGTAGCTTGGGCAAGTTACTGAAGTTCTGGGTTTCTGTTTCCTCATTTATAAAGTGGAGTAATGTGTCTCACTCAGAGTTGCTGGAAGATTAAATGCAGTATAGGAAAGTGCTTTGTGTGCAACAGAACACTGTCAGTGTCACTTCTTCCACAGTGGCTAGGGTCATCAGCCCCAAGCTGACACCTGTCAGTACTCCTCAACAAATACTAGAGGTAAACCTTTCATATCTTCCTCAGTGTCTGCTTGAGCTTTTTGTACTCCTTGATAGTTAGGAAGCTCTTTCCTGTATCCACCCAAATAAGGCAGTAAGTGCCTTGGGGTCCAGGGTATTAAATAAAGTGAGATTTTTGCATTTTACTAATGGTAAAGCTCCCTTCTCACCATTAGGGGTCACCATTCTCTCAAACTGTATGCATGAAGCAGTATCTCTTTTAGAAGAGCATTTTTGAGCTAATGAAGCACAAATTACCACTAACTATAAGCAAATATAGCTCTGATTGGAGGAGGGAAAGAGGAGGGGGAAAGGCTGACAGAATTTACCCACCCTCTGGGCCTTTCTCTTTTAGGACATACTTCCACTCTATGATGACAGCAGCCAAAGACCATCAGAAGGTGAGTCCCTGTCACCTTTTTTTCCACTCACATATAGCTCTAGACATGGTTTCTTATCTATTGTTCTCTCCCCATAGGGCGGATTCTAGTAAAGAAAATACATAGTAGAGTAATTGTGAGATAGAGCCACTGAGTTTTACTTCAAGAGGTGATATGTCCTACACATTGGTACAAAGGAAAGTGAAAGGTACATATAGTAAGAGTGGAAGGTAGGTGTACTGGAAGAATTTAGGAGTCATGAGGTGAGAGAGCTGAATTAAAAAACTGTCAAGAGAAAGGAACATGGCAGTTTCCTCTTCCTGCCCTGTGCACAGGTGACCAGAATAAATCTTCTTTCCCTCAGGCCTGAGTTCCTTCCTTGCTATCTAAACTCTTTTCTTCTCAGGCCACCTCTCCCTGGATTCCCAAGAGGCAGACAGTGGCTTGGACTCTGGGACAGAACGCTTTCCCTCCATCAGTGAGGTAAGTACCAACTGGGACAAGACCCATTTAAAACTTGTGCATTCACTGTCCGTGCCCTGGATATCTGAAGGCCCTGCTGCTCAATGGCTGCACCAAGGCCTCTGGCCCCTCCTCCATGTCCCTCTTCTAGAGTTCCATTTCCAAAGATTTAGTCCTTGTGCTGTGGGTTCCAAAAAAAGTAATTTCAGATGCATTCTATACCAAATCTGGCTTGTATTTTCTCATAGTCAACTCTGTTGTACAAAAAGTAAGGTGAAGAGGGAGGCCATGTCATTAGCCATAGCGATCTTTGAACTAAGGGAACAGGGTGTCATCTGAAACAGTGACTTGACCAAAAGGACATTTCTGCCTGGTGGCCGCCCGCATCAGGTCTCTCTCTCTCTCTCTCTCTCTCTCTCTCTCTCTCTCTCTCTCTCTCTCTCTCTCGGTGTGGGTGGGGGGTGTGTGTGGGTGTAATCTTTTTCTACTTCAATGACTTGTCTTTTTTGGAGTAGTCAGAATTTCAGGTTTTGACCTCAAAGGTGTGCTCTCAGTGTGCATATGTAAACTGTAAATATAAACTTGCAATATAAAAATAAGAACAACAACAACAAAAAAAAGAGTGGAAGAAGTAATGATGACAACAGGAAAATACTTACCTAGCCAGATAATTCAATATGTAAATAAGTACTTGAAAGCATGTTAAAAAACCTAATGTTTGTGTAACAGTTGGAATTTTATCTCTTACAGCTTCTGTCTATTGATGGGATATAATAGATATATGTGACAAGGCCAGTACGTAGAAAATCACCAGGAAAGTGGCAGTGGGTGGGCACTGGAGGTCCTAAGTGATCTGTAGTTCACATTATGTGTTGGTGGGAAAAGTGTTGTTGAGATTTCCTGGATTGAATTCAGGAGTACATTAGGAGCTCTCTGCCCTTAGGAAGTCTCATAACCTTTCCTAGTATTAGATTTTTTTGTATGAAAAATGGGACAGGAGATAGTGTCTACCTCAGGGCTGTTGTGAAGATTAAATGAGATAACATATAATCCGGGGTGTGATATAACAGGAGCATGGTTGTCATCACCAAGTGAGTTGAGCCCTGAGAGTCTCATGGAGGAGTGTCCTTCTCACAAAATTCCTTGTTCCTTTAGTCATTGATGAATCGAAACTCGGTACTGTCAGACCCTGGACTAGACAGTCCTCGAACCTCTCCTGTGATCATGGCCAGGATGGCCCAGCACCACAGGCGACAGGGCTCAGATGCACCAGTCTTCCCATCCAGTGACCAGGTGAACCAGAGCAAATGGCTGGAGGTGTGGCTCAAGTGGTAGAGCACTGCTTTGCAAGCATAAAGCCCTGAGTTCAAACTCAGTCCCACAAAAAAAAAAAAAAAATGTGGGGGAGGTATGTAGTGGATAGATCTATAGGCACATGTCAGCTAAGGAGCAGGCAGCTGGTTTTTCTTTGAATGGCTGCATTGAATAGGAAATGGTTTTGTTCAGTGTCTCCAAAAAGGCAAATCTTCAATGTTCTCTTAGTAAATCTTTTCTTCAAACAAAACTTTTATTATTTGGAAACTCTATACATAAGGAAATAAATGCTCCAGTACTTCTAGGATCTTTCCTAATCAGCAACCCACCCACCACACCCCTGTCCTCAGAGGTACTTCCATGGACCCTGTGAAACCTGATTTGAAAACACCAGATCTTAAGGGTAGAACTAAGTCCAGGGGAGATTCCAGGAGACAGGTTGGGCTCAAACCAAAACCTGGCAAAGAATCTGGACTGTCCTAAATGAGGCTGCCTTGACAGCTAGGAATTGTCTTTCATCAATGCAGAAGCCACTATCCATTAGAGACACCGGGAAGCAGTCTCCTCATTCTATAAAAGCACATTTCTTAAAATTCACCACCAAGGTAATTTTTTTCCATATCCACATTTCAACTGCATATCGTTACATAATGTTTTTGTTCAGGCTTACTCACTTTTTTTTTTTTTTTTTGCAGCACTGGGGTTTAAATCAAGATCTCGCTCTTGCTAGGCAGACATTCTCACCTCTTAGCCACTCTGCCAGTCCTTTTTTGTGTTGAGTTTTTTTGTTTTTGTTTTTGAAGTAGAGTCTCAAGAACTACTTGCCCCAGGCAACCTCAAACTGCAGTCTCCCTGATCTGCCTCCTGAGGTTTATAGGCATGAGCCACAGGCAAAAAAAAATGTGGGGGGAGGTATGTCAGTGGATACATCTATAGGCACATGTCAGCTAAGGAGCAGGCAGCTGGTTTTTCTTTGAATGGCTGCATTGAATAGGAAATGGTTTGTTCAGTGTCTCCAAAAGGCAAATCTTCAATGTTCTCTTAGTAAAATCTTTTCTTCAAACAAAACCTTATTATTTGGAACTCTAATACATAAGGCAAATAAATGCTCAGTACTTCTAGGATCTTTCCTAATCAGCAACCCACCCACCACACCCCTGTCCTCAGAGGTACTTCCATGGACCCTGTGAAACCTGATTTGAAAACACCAGATCTTAAGGGTAGAACTAAGTCCAGGGGAGATTCCAGGAAGACAGGTTTGGGCTCAAACCAAAAACCTGCAAAGAATCTGGACTGTCTAAATGAGCTGCCTTGACAGCTAGGGAATTGTCTTTCATCATGCAGTCAGAAGCCACTATCCATTAGAGACACCGGGAAGCAGTCTCCTCATTCTATAAAAGCACATTTCTTAAAATTCACCACCATGGTAATTTTTTTCCATATCCACATTTCAACTGCATATCGTTACATAATGTTTTTGTTCAGGCTTACTCACTTTTTTTTTTTTTTTTTTTGCAGCACTGGGGTTTAAATCAAGATCTCGCTCTTGCTAGGCAGACATTCTCACCTCTTAGCCACTCTGCCAGTCCTTTTTTGTGTTGAGTTTTTTTGTTTTTGTTTTTGAAGTAGAGTCTCAAGAACTACTTGCCCCAGGCAACCTCAAACTGCAGTCTCCCTGATCTGCCTCCTGAGGTTTATAGGCATGAGCCACAGGCACCCAGCTCAGGCTTACTCACTTCTTTAAACTTAAGTTCATTTTCGAGAAAATCTGCCACTACCTTAAAACCAGTATCTCACACTATAAATGCAAGGTAAATACGAAACTAAATATAAGTTTTGAAACAATTTTGTAAAGTTCTACCTAGAAAGATGTAGAAGACTGTAAAGAGAAAGCTGCAATTTACATTAAAAAGAGAAGGAGGAGTCTTTCAGGAAATATGTCCGGAGGAATACTTAACAAACTGATGATTATTGCCTCCAATGAACAGAAGTAGTGGCTTGAGGACAAAAGTGGAAGAAAGACTTTTCATTATATTTACCCTCTTGTATCTTTTCAGTTCTAAATTACATGAATGTATTGCTTATTTTATACATAGCTGTAGTTTAAATTATAAACTCTAGCTAGATTCTTTTGTTTGTCAGCAGCTTGTTTCCTTTTCATTTATTTATTTATTAGTACTGGGATTTGATTGTTTTTATTTTGTTTTAGGTTTTCTTGTTTTGTTTTTGTTGTTGTTTTTTGGTGGGACTAGCACCTCACACTTGCTAGGCAGGTACTGTTACTGCTTGAGCCACTAGGCCAGCCCACAACTGGGGTTTGAATGCAGGGCTTTGTGCTTTTTGTACAGGCTGGCCTGGATCATGATCCTCCTATTTTAAGCTTCCCTCTATCACTGGGATGACAGGTGGGTGCCACCACAACCAGCTTTTTTCCCTTGAGATGGTTGCCTCACAGACTTTTTTTTTTGTCCAGCTGGCCTGGAACCATGATCCTCCCAATCTCAGCCTCCCAAGTAGCTAGGATAATAGCCATGAAACATGGGCTCCTGGCTGTCAACAGCTTAAATTAAGCCTGAGGCCAATTCTGCCTTTGTGAAAGATATTAAAGATAGACTGGCAGCAGGCTAAAACTTTCTCTAGGTTTATCAAAAGGACTGAAGAGGAATGGAAAAGAACCTAACTTTCTTTCAATATGATTTATTGATATTTAATGCCACGTCCAGGTCCCACCTAAAATCATTTCAAACCTCAATAAAAATCATCTCACCTAAAATCATCCTGAATTCCACCAGTGGTACAGTTCCCACACTGGAGGACATTGGTATAAGAAAGTACACAGGTAATATTTTCAAACTGGAGTTGTAACTTTTTGGGGAGTCATGATATCAATATTGGAGGTCAAGAACAGTGTTTATTTTAATGCAGTAGAATCTGATAGCATTGGGAAAAATCAGAATTCATTGACTGTAATAGGAATAAATAGTTTTGTAAAACGTTTTAGTTGCATATGTATGTACTGGGTTACAATGCAAATGTATTTACTATTGGAAATTGTAGTCAAAAAGTTTGAAAGGTGCCATTCTAAATTTTCTTTTGACTCTGGGTACCTGATAATCTCCAAATCCAGAAGGAGGTCTTCAGAAGATGGGACCACTGTAGTACTTTTGGATAAAAGGGGAGAGAATAGTATAAGGAAGAAAATAGAGAAACTTATAATTCCAAATGTCAGCCAAATATGAGTCACTAGTGAGCTGACCATTTAATCAGCAAGTTAGTTAAATCTAGCCCCTGATGGTTGCTGGAATCCTGGAATCTAATTTTTCTGTCTTTATCTCCCTTCTCTGAACAAAAGTAGGCCGGCCTTTCTCCAGTGAAGTGTCTAATTGTATAGGTCTCAGTGCAGAAGTATGTGGGCTTGGGCAACCATTTTGGTTCCTACTCAGAAAGGCTTTTTAGGCAGGAGTTTCATTCCCAGGCTTTAGTGAGTAACCCCAGAGAGTGGGGTTAGTTTTCTCCCCGCCATTTTCTGTCTCCTCCCCAGCCCTCCCTGACCCTACCACATACATACATCTCACTGAGTTCTCTTGATTATGTGATTTTAGTAAACTTGTCTTCTGTTCTCCCTGGAACTAAGGTGTTTAAGGAGCATCTTTTTTCTGTCACAGCATTTATCAAGTCTAATTTTCCTACTGAGCTCAATGTAAGTTTATATGCTGAATTCTTAGCGTGATGCCTGACACGTAATATATATGTTAGTCGGTTTTGCATGACTACCACAAAATACCCAAGATAATCAACTTACAGGAAGGAAAGGTATATTTTGGCTCATGGTTTCAAAGGTTTTGGTTCATGGTCACTTGGTCCTATTGCTTTGGGCCTATGGCAGCATGGTACACGGTGGCAGAAGCATGTGGCTAAGAAGCAAAGAGAAAGAGGAAGAGGCTGGGCTCCAGTATCCCCTTCAAAGACACATGTCCAGTGAGCTAACTTCCTTCCACAAGGCCTCATCTCTTAAAGATTCCACCACTTCCCAATCGAGCCACAGGCTAGATTAATACATGGCTAGATTAATACAGGCTAGATTAATACAAGCCTTAATACATGGGCCTTTGGGGGACAGTCAGGCTCCAAACTATAGCAGTAGGCATTTCATAATTTTTTTGGTGGAACTTGGGTTTGAATTTAGGGTTTCATGCTTGCAAAGCAGATGATCCATTGCTGAGCCACACCTCCAGTCTATTTTTGCTTTGGTTATTTTGGAACTGGGGTCTCATGAACCATCTGCTTGGGCTGGCCTCGAGCCATGATCCTCCTGATCTCAGCCTCCCAAGTAGCTAGGATTATAAGCATGAGCCACCAATGCTTGCTCATTCATAAGGTTTAGCTAATGAATGAGTAAATATTAGAAATGAGCTAATCAAAATTGTCTTCTAAGTATCAGTGTGGGGACGACTAATCCAAAATACAGAGCTTGCACTTCTCAAAACTGAGGCCTCACAGTATGATTCATAGACAGAGGACTATGGCCTGGAGGAATCTTATATTTCCCCATATTTTATCCAGAGTTATGCAGTCACCAAAAGAAAATTTTAATCAGGAGCTGCTATGCAAAAGAAGAATGCATTTGATATATCTAGTTATGCCCATTAGATAGAATTTATTATTCTAAAAAGTTGGAAAAATGTATCTAACATGTATTAAAATGCCTAGCATATCCATGGTCGGGCTATATCTTTACAGAAAGTCTTACTTGATCCTCAAAATTAAGAAAGGAGGTAATGAGGTAGGTGCTGGTGGCTCATGCCTATAATCTTAGCTACTTGGGAGACTGAGATTGGGAGGATCACAGGTCCAGGCCAGCACCAGCAAAAAAAGTTTGTGAGAGGGGGAAGAAATGACCCAAACATTGTATGCACATATGAATAAAAGGAAAAAAAAAAAAAGTTTGTGAGTCCCCACCTCAACCGAAAAAAGTTGGGTGCAATGACTTGTGCTTATCAACACAGCAGTGATGGGAAGTGTAAAACAGGAGGATCATAGTCCAGGTGAGACCCTATCTCCAAAATAACTAGTACAAAAAGGGTTGGAGGTGTGGTTCACACAGTAGAGTGCTTACCTAAGAAGCACAAAGCCCTGAGTTCATACCACAGTTTGAAGGTGACTGTTGGAATCTTCCTATTGTAAATTAGGAGTCAGAACTAGAACTTGGTTCTCCTGAACTCCAATGCAGGGTTACTTCCACTCTATCCCTCCCTTTGTAGAACTCAAGAACCAGATTTACGATGCTGAGGGAGGCTCACCAGGTATCCTGTTCTGTGGGAAGGTTTTCCTTAACATGGTTAACAGGAGCAGAGATGGAGGAAATGATCTTGAAGTCCCTTTTCTCCTCCTTTGAATTTGTTTATCCTACAAAAATGATTTAAATTACTATTTTTGTTTGGTAAGGGCAAATAGTATAGTTCTAGTGTCTTAATATATGTTAGAATATGTTTAATGCAATTCCCATCAAAATTCCAATGACATTCATTAAAGAGATTGAAAAATCTACTGTTAAATTTATATGGAAACACAAGAGGCCACGAATAGCCAAGGCAGTGCTCAGTCAAAAGAACAATGCTGGAGGTATCACGATACCCAACTTCAAACTACACTACAAAGCAATAACAATAAAAACAGCATGGTACTGGCACAAAAACAGACATGAAGACCAGTGGAACAGAATAGAGGACCCAGATATGAAGCCACACAACTATAACTAACTTGTCTTTGACAAAGGTGCTAAAAATATTCGATGGAGAAAAGACAGCCTCTTCAACAAAAACTGCTGGGAAAACTGGTTAGCAGTCTGCAAAAAACTTAAACTAGATCCATGGATATCACCCTATACCAGTATTAACTCAAAATGGATCAAGGATCTTAATATCAGACCCCAAACTCTAAAGTTGGTACAGGAAAGAGTAGGAAATACTCTGGAATTAATAGGTATAGGCAAGAACTTTCTCAGTGGAACCCCAGCAGCACAGCAACTAAGAGGTAGCATAGATAAATGGGACTTCATAAAACTTAAAAAGCTTCTGCTCAACAAAAGAAATGGTCTCTAAACTGAAGAGAACACCCACAGAGTGGGAGAAAATATTTGCCAGCTACACATCAGATAAAGGACTGATAACCAGAATATATAGGGAACTTAAAAAACTAAATTCTCCCAAAATTAATGAACCAATAAAGAAATGGGCAAGTGAACTAAACAGAACTTTCTCAAAAGAAGAAATTCAAATGGCCAAAAAACACATGAAAAAATGCTCACCATCTCTAGCAATAAAGGAAATGCAAATTAAAACCACACTAAGATTCCACCTCACCCCTGTTAGAATAGCCATCATTAGCAACACCACTAACAACAGGTATTGGTGAGGATGTGGGGAAAAAGGAACCCTCCTACACTGCTGGTGGGAATGTAAACTAGTACAATCACTCTGGAAAAATATTTGGAGGCTACTTAAAAATCTAAACATTGATCTACCATATGATCCAGCAATACCACTCTTGGGGATATTCCCAAAAGACTGTGACACAGGTTACTCCAGAGGCACCTGCACATCCATGTTTATTGCAGCACTATTCACAATAGCCAAGTTATGGAAACAGTCAAGATGCCCCACCACTGACGAATGGATTAAGAAAATGTGGTATCTATACACAATGGAATTTTATACAGCCATGAAGAAGAATGAAATATTACCATTCACAGGTAAATGGATGGAATTGGAGAACATCATTCTGAGTGAGGTTAGCTTGGCCCAGAAGACCAAAAATCGTATGTTCTCCCTCATATGCGGACATTAGATCAAGGGCAAACACAACAAGGGGATTGGACTTTGATCACATGATAAATCGAGAGCACACAAGGGAGGTATGAGGATAGGTAAGACACCTAAAAAACTAGATAGCATTTGTTGCCCTCAACTCAGAGAAAAGCAGATACTTTAAAGCAACTGAGGCCAATAGGAGAAGGGGACCAGGAACTGGAGAAAAGGTTAGTTCAAGAAGAATTAACTTAGAAGGTAACACACATGCACAGGAAATCAATGCGAGTCAACTCCCTGTATAGCTATCCTTATCTCAGCTAGCAAAAACCCTTGGTCCTTCCTATTACTGCTTATACTCTCTCTTCAACGAAATTAGAGATAAGGGCAAAATAGTTTCTGCTGGGTAGCAGGGATAAGGAGGGGTAAGGGAGGGGGTCGGGGGGGAGGGTAAGGGAGGAGGCAGGGGAAGAGGGGAGAAATGACCCAAACATTGTATGCACATTTGAATAAAATAAAAATTTTTTTTAAATATGTTAGAAAGAACATGGTGGGGGGGAGGGGAAATCGGTACTGTTCATGAAACTGTCAATAGCAGGAGTATAGAAGCCTAGGGAACTCTCATTTTATGCAATGTAATTCTATAATGTTTGCTTTTTTTAATAAGGAGCTTTTGTAATCAGAAAAAAAAAATGTGTATTTGTTAAGACTTTTTAAAAAAATCCTTCCCACAGCCAGACATGGTGGTGCACATCTGTAATCCCAGCACTTTTGAGATTGAGGCAGGAGGATTTCAAGTTTGAGGCCAGTCCCGTATACATGTCTCAAAAAAAAAAAATCCTTTCTCCTAAATAAGCAAAACCATAGTCTTTTCAGTTCTTTTCACTAGGGAGCCAAGTACAAGCCAGAAGTGTTCACCCAGTGCCTCTTGGGATCCTAGACCCCCAGGGGGTTCAGAGATTGGGATGTTACAGAAGAGGAGGTATTCAGGATATGTCTGAGAAATATCAGTACAGCACATCAGCCTGACCTTGCAACTTTGAACATGCCAATCAGTCTCTGTCACTTTTTCAGTAATCAGTGGCTCCTATTTCTGAGGTACCTTCAGAGACATCTCTCAGTCCTGTGACTTAGTCATTCTGGGCATAGAGTCAGTGACTATCCAAGAGAACAGAAAAAGGAGGGAGGAGCTATCAGGGAGAGCCCTTGGGAAAATGGGTGAGGTAGGCATCCTAGATCTGCATGAAAAGTAGGCACAAGTGAGCTAGGTGGAGTCCAAAGAAAAGCCATTGTTGGAAAATCACATTGTTGGAAATGAGGGAAATTAAATGGAGGAAAAATAAAGTTGCTAGAAAAGCTTTGAAAGCAGCTGGGGGATGTGGCTCAAGTGGTGGAAAGGCCCTGAATTCAAACCCCAGCACTGACAAAAAAAAAAAGGAAAACTTTAAAAGCTCAAGGAACCTTTAGGAAAAGAATTTGACCCATGAAGCTTCTGGAAGGTTCATGAAGTATGAAGCCTCTCATAAGTTATCAATGGCGTGTCAGTTAGGATTGAGTTTTTATTAAAATTTGGCATAAGGAAGAAAGAAAGAAAAACCAGACTAAGGAGTTTGGGATTGAATAGGTAATGCGAATCTGCCATAGATTCTTGAGCAGAAAAGGGAAATAATGCTAGTGGTATTTGAGAAATAACAGCCCCATCCCTTTTCTTTAGGGAGAGACATCCACTGCAAGGCTTTCTGATTAAGCCACAGGTATTTGCTAGGTACACAACTGTTTTGTAGCACTGTGATTGACACCAGATTGGAGTCTACCACCCCAGTTGTATTTAGGGAACAGGATGTCTGTTGAGTCTGTTTTAAGAAAACAACAAAGTCCCCCAACCCAATAGTCCAGCAGGTACCGTAGGCTCTTATTTTGTTGGCTGACACTCCCTCCCCAGACTTTTGCAAACAGGAAGAGAGCATTTTTGTCTTACTTCCCATCTTCATATGTCATGTGACCAGACTGCTGTGAGTCTGCTGTGCTCCACCCAGAAGCAGTTGGCTTCCTGCAAGTGGAAATCATTGCATCTGTGCTCTGTTTGGTGTGGTAGTGAGATGCCAATGTTTACCAGACTCCTGTGGCTTTCTTCCATTGAGGAGGTTGAATCCCCATCCTCTATAACTTCTCATCTCTACAATTTGACTCTCTCTCCAGGCTGTAGATCAAAACTCAAAGCCTTTAATTATTGGCCCAGAGGAAGATTATGACCCGGGTTATTTCAACAACGAGGTAACAGTTTCCTGGTTTTCTCTATTCATCCTTATTCTGTCATACAAGCTGCCCTTGACTAGAAACAGTTTGACTGGCACCAGCTATGAAGGGAGTGTGGGGGGAGGGATCTTCAGCTGGCAGAGCCTGGAAGGTGGAGAACATGAGAGCAAAGCTAGAACAGGCTGTACTGCTGTCACCTGCCTTTGTGCCTCCCAGCCATTGTCATCCTTCTACCCTCCAGAGTGACATCATCTTCCAAGATCTTGAAAAACTGAAATCACGTCCAGCTCACCTAGCAGTTTTTCTACGTTACATCTTCTCTCAGGCAGACCCCAGCCCACTGGTAAGTCAGAAATATCAGTCTTGTTTGAGTGCCTGCTTGTGCTTGGTAGAAAATCTCTGGCCTCTGCACCTGATCCCTAGATGTCTAGATGCTGAAGTCAGATTCACAAGCATAGTCGGACATCTCAAAGACAGATAAAAACAAAAGGATATGAAATCTAGGCAGAAGGGATTCTTCACTGTGTGTGGCACAGCTAACTACACCAATAACATAGGGAGTGGTGAGAAGAGGTAGACCAGGAAAACTGTCATTCTTGATCACTTTAGGAAGTCTTGAAGAAGGTGGCCTTTTGAATGAAGGTGGATACAGATTAACTGGGGAGTTGAGAGAATGACCCTTGCATATATACAAAGTTACTACAAGAAAGATTGGCAGAGGGCAAGGTGCTAAAAGGCATTCAGTCTAAGAGGATGGGGAGAAGTGTGAGGGACTGGATTCCACAGTGCCCTGTGATGGTGCTCAGAGCCAGCAGCCTCACAGTTTCTGTCATTCTGCTCAGCTGCTTAGAAATGGAGGAGGATGGAGGAGACAGTCAATGTTGTATTCTTCAGAATAAGCCTCTTGCCCAAGACATAGACTGCTGTTTTGTCTTTCTAGCGATACCACAATTAAAGGACAGGATGAGTATCTATTTGCTTGACAGGGATTCATTGAACCCCATGTATTAAGTTCCAGGTGCTGGTGTTTCAGAAATATCCTGGGGGCGGGGGAAACAGGGCACATCACAAAGAGAACCCTTAAGGAACAATATATAAACAAGTACAAGGACACAGATAAAAAACCAAGTGTGGAAAGGATTCAGAATGGAGGAGTAATCAACCCTTAAGGTTGCACATGAGAAAGTGGAGGGGATTACTTTATCATAGGTTTCTGGAACATTCTAACCCAAGGTTCCTTAGCCTCAGCATTCTTGACACTTTGGACCAGAGAATTCTTTATTATGGTAGACTGTCTTGTGCATTTGGGATATATAGGCACATAGACTGGACTATACCCACTAGATTCTAAAGCACTTACTCCCCCAGTCATTGTGACAACTAAAAAATGTCCCAGACATTGCCAAATGTTCTCTAGGAGGTAAAGTCACCCCGGTTGAGATCCACTGCTGTAACCCAGTTTCTCTTTTCTCCTAGCTTTTTTATTTGTGTGCAGAAGTTTATCATCAGACGAACCCTAAGGATTCCCGAAGCTTGGGGAAAGACATCTGGAATATTTTCCTAGAGAGAAATGCGGTAAGACAGTCATGAATTGGACTAAAATTTCGTTATACTCTTGGACCATTCAAGCAAAGGAATAACCAAGTGAAACATTCAGGCCAAATGGAAACAGGCTTGTAAAGAAACCTCTGGGCTGAGAGAGTAGGATTCCTGGATTCTGTTTCAGCTTCTGTTCCTCTCAAAAGATTGATTCTCTCTCCAGAATGTTTGGAGAAAGAGACTGCACCAAATTGTAATTATTTCCACAACCATGTCTACTTTGCCCCTCCCTGGATAAAGAAACAGGCTCAGGGACATCAGATGATGTAGATCACTATCAAGGAAGAACTGGATTTCCAAAGCTTAGCCTGACACGCTAAGTCAGGCAGGGATCAGGTGGGAGACCCCATAGTGTCTGGGACAGATAAGCCTATGTGCATCTGGATGTAGTTCCCAGAGGTGTATCAAGGGATCTTGCTGACAAGAGACATCTGCCTGCAAAGGGCAGTTCCCATCCTGACTTTCTAATCTGATCAGCTAAACGAATTCCAAAATGATTTTATTCTTCTGGCAGTAAGCTACTAAGGCTAATGAAGTTGGGAAAAATTGACTTTCATCAATATTTTTATATTTGTTCTCTTAAGTGGTTCTTGAATAAGGAGATTAGAGCTGTTGGTTGTTATGGAACCACCCTAGTATCCAGGTGGCAGAACACTCATACAGCAAAACCTAGAACACCATGCTTACTGCAAGACTAAGTGACAAACAGCCAGTTTTCTCTGGAAGTGAAAAGGAGGGGGAGTCCATCAAATACCTAACAAAGGTGTCTCCCTTGCTGCTAAATTACCACTGGTTTGCTTTTAGAACAACACGCCCTGTCCATGTACCCTGATGTCCTTGAAATAAGAGTGAAAAATCTTCTGTACTAATCTCAGAATAGTCCTCACTTGTCCTGTAGCCTTAGATTCCATTTCCCAAAACCATGACCTAGAATTCAGATGTGCAATTGGAGAGATGAGAGCAGGCAGGAGGCAAGAAAGGAGAGAAGGTAACATTGCCAAGCTGTTTGCCCCTGCATGTATCTATCCCCCTGAGCCACCTCACAACTTCTCCCGCTCTCCTGTTTTGTAGCCTCTCAGAGTGAAGATCCCCGAGATGTTACAGGCTGAAATTGGTAAGTTGTCTTATGGGTTATTTTGTCTCTTGTTAGTGTCTTTGTAGTGAACTCTCAGGAGGCTCCAGAGGACAGAGGAACATAGTCCGTATTCCTGGGCTTCTGTCCTCCAATAGGGGAAAATATCTGGGACAGTTCCTTCAAACTATATCACAGTAGATTATGGACAGGCACAAACAGGACAGCAGTTCCCTCCCTAGGAATTCACTCTGCCTCTGCCTAGTGGAGCTGGTCACAGGAAACCTGGGCTTATTTCTGCCAATCTCCCAAGTGACCTTTCTGGGCCTCAGAAGGCTTATCTGTACAAAGAGGAAATTGAACTCAATTCCTAAGCCAGGTCATTCATGAGAATCCCTTAGGAAACTCTTTAAAACACAGTGACTGGAGTCTCACTCTATCCCACATACAGAATCAGAATCTCTGAGTGTCTTGGTTGGGAGAAGGGGCTTATTTTTGGTTTTAGAGAGTTTTAGTTTTGTTTTCCTAAGTTTTCTAACAAATACTGACAGCAGCTGCTCCAAAGTGAGGACCACAAACTGGATAATAACATTGCATCTTCCAATTCCAGGAGGATTGAGGAGAGGCAGTATAAAGAAGACAGTACAGATAGCTTTTCAAAGGCTGTTCGAAGCTACATTTGGAAAGAGGCAATTTACAGCATGGTTGACAAGGAGAGCTTACATGCACACACAGTAGGGTGAATGGAACCTGTTCAAAAACAGTGAGAATGAGCTAGTCATTTCCACAGACTTGGTTTAGCCTGCATGAAGCTAGATGCTGGGATGAGAAGAGAGACATCTCTTGGTTCCAGGGATCATGAAGAAGGGCTTGCTATTTTTAGTCCTGTGAACTGGTACTGGGACAGTAGAAAAGGAGTGAGCCTCTAAAGAAGTCTGTCTGTTGATATCAGAGGACAACATTTAGACACATCCAGTGAGCTGGGCTTCAATATTTCTTCAACTGGAGCATGAGACTTCGAGAAAATGTTTTTGTACTTGACTTGGGCCTTGGACATCAGAATTCCAATCCTGAATTCAGAAATGACCTGAATGGAGTCTAGGCCTCTACTTCCTTCAGGCTAATAGGGCAGAAAATCTCTCTTCCCAGTGTCACAGGATGCTGAAACACTTTGAGATGCTCAACAGAAGAGACTTTCTGTTCCCCCAACACTCTACCCATTCTGCCTTCCCTTGTCTCCCACTATAGACTTGCGCCTGCGGAACAGTGAGGATGCTCGCAGTATTCTCTGTGAAGCTCAGGAGGCAACCATGCTGGAGATCCAGGAGCAGATTCACGACTACAGGTTTGCCCAGCCCTTGCCGCCACCACCACCATTTTCTCTCCTCATACCTCTTGTGTTTTTTTCATTGCCTCATTGCCTCTATGATGTGTTTCCCTCATTTTTTCTGTGTGTTCATCTGTTGAATGTGTATTTTTATTTCCTGTTTTGTGTCTCTGATGTAGAACAAAGCGTACCTTGGGGCTGGGCAGCCTGTATGGTGAAAATGACCTTCTAGACCTGGATGGGGACCCTCAGAGAGAGCGCCAAGTGGCTGAGAAGCAGCTGGCTGCCCTCGGAGATATCTTGTGAGTTCTGTTCCTACCCCCTGAACATCCAAACAGGTCAACAGATCTTGTGGGTCTGTTTTCCACCCTCTTCTCTTTTCCCACTTCTTGACTGATTCTCCTTCTCCTGAAAGATGGGGAGAGCTGAATCCTCTTGCTGCATTTCTCAGGCTGAGGGCTCCCAGTGTTCAAAGTCATTATAGGTCCTAGAGCTCCTGACAGTCATTGGTGGCTATGACAAGCCACAGGCCCCAGAAATGCAGCAGTACATTTTCTGTTTCCCCTTTCTGGCCCTCTTCCTGACCTTTTTCTCTTACTGCCTCTAAGCTCATGTTTGACTCTGGAGAGTGAAACCATCATTCTGTCTCCAGTGAATGAAGTTCCATCTGAAGGTGGTCAGAACTGACTTAAGGGAAGCAACCATTTTTCACTAATTACATCAGAAAACCAAACTAACTCACCTTCTTAGGGGGCTTCAGGCACAGCCTCCTTTGATACCTTCTCCAGGCCCATTTTCTAAAGCACCCACGGGTACCTGTGATTTAAGTCCCAGCTCCGGGTTCATGGGGACACCTCCAGACCTAGACATGGTTTTTCACTTCAATACTGTTTCTCATTGAGCAGTATGCAATTTTGGTCAAGCCGTTCTCTCTGGACATCCCCTACAAAATCATAAAAGTTAGCCTAGATGGTCTTGATAGTCTCGGCTAACACTAGCACTTCAACTCAGTAAATAGTGATGGCATTCTCACCGTGTACCAAACACTTCTGCATTGGACACTCTTGAATGTGTCAGTGAACACAGTAGTTGTTTCCTTTGTGGAGCATCTGCTATGGTGGGAAGAGACTGCAATATATAAGAAACAAATAAATTGTATAGTACAGTAAACATAACAAGTACTAGGAGAAGAAATAGAGCAGATGCAGAAGGCCAGGAGTATCAGAGTCAGTGGGTTGTGGTCAGGGTGAGCCACCTGGAAAAAGTAGCACTTTAGCAGCTAAAAAGAATGAGTAAGGAAGTTATTCTTGAAGACATCTGGAGGAGGAGCATTCTAGCGAAAGCAAAATAGAAATGTGCTAATGTGAGGAACAGTAAGGAGACCAAAGTAGCCAGAGCAGAAGAAAAAGTAAGTGATGGAGTCAGAGAGGTAACAGGAGAGGCAACAAGCAGAGCTTGTGGACTATGTGAGAACTGTAGTGTTCCCTCAGTGAGTGGGGAAGGAGCCATTGTAGCTGCATGAGGCCAGACCATGGGTGGAACAAGTAAGGCTCCATAGAAATCCCCATTAAAATGACAGAGGCAGTAGCTACAGAAGTTGTGAAAAGAGGTCAGTTGTAGGTAGATTTTGGCAATAAACCAACCAGAGGATTTCCCAAAAATTGACTGTGGAAGAGAAGTTAAAGGAAACTCCAAGAATTTCTCACCAAAGAAACAAAAAGGATGAAGTGCTATCAGTCAATATAGTGATGGTTGCACAGGGAGCAGTTTTGAGGTAGACAATCAAGGGCTTGTTAAATTTGAGGTTTCTTTAAGACATACTGAAGATACAAGGAGGCAGCTGCATGTATGAATCTGGCATTTGATAAGAGATTTGGATTAGAGATGAGACTAGGTGAGATCACACAGAGAGCATGTGTTTTGAAAACTCAAGCCCCTGACCTTCAGCCAGGCCTGAATCTTTCTAGGCCTCAATTTCCCTAAGTTGTCTGATGGTATTAATTACCCCAACCACTTCCAGGGATGGAGGCAGAACCTTACTGAGATTATTTAACACCAGAACTCTAAGGAATTACTGACGGCAAAGGCACCCCACTTACAATGGTTTCTATTTAAAGCAATGTAGTTTGATCTCAAAAAATGGGAATATAATATTTTCTTATGAGTTATTTTGAGAATTAAATAAGTTAATGCATGTAAATAGCCTAGAATAATGCCTGGCCCATTATGACACTTAGTTGCTGCTACCACTTGCTCTTTTAAATAGGTTTATTTGGATTAGGTCTCTAGGTATCATCTCTGCCTTCTTACCTTCTTTCCCCTGCCTCAATGTAAGCACAGCCTTTCTAACACAGTCCTAAGAGGAAATTTCTTCCCCCTGATAACTTCACCCACTGAGACAGCCAGCCAGCATGAAGCTGTATTTGCTACATCCCCCTTCCTTTTAGCTAGAAGGGCATTATTGTTATCATCATCACTCTGTACTAGTTGCATACCTCCAAGGAATAAGACTCTCACCTCCTAAGCTCCAAGCTGGCTCCAAAGCTCTAGCCAAGAAGAGTCTCTGTCTGACCTTTTATCATACTCCTCCCTTTCTCCCCCACCAGCCCTCCTCTAAGAAAGAACTTACCTTTCTCCCAGCCTCTGCCCAGGCGACCAGTCTCTGTCTCACTGTCTGAGTCGTCTGTTCTTTCTTTTGTTCCAGGTCCAAATACGAGGAAGATAGGAGGTGAGTGAATCTCATTTGCAGCTTTCAAAGTGGAAGGAGTGGGGCTGTGCTACAGTGCTTCCCATTTCTGCCACCCACAGAGTAGTCCTGGCATTGTAGAACCATGGTTTGTGCAAGCTTAGTTTCCAGGTGACTGAACCATAATACATGGAGGTTGTAAGGTCCAAACCCCTGATGCTCAGGGACTACTGCTGGGAATGTAGGTCTGCTTCTTAGTATGACAGGCTGCCTTTACTCCAAGTATTCCCAGACATGCTTTCACTTCTTCACCCAAATTAGCCCTGTGTCTCCCTTCCCTCTTTTTTCCTGAAACCACTTACAAAAGAAAGTGATAGTAGAATCAGCCTGTCTTAGCAGCACCTACAGAAGGGAGCTGAGTGTAACTCATCTCCTCTCTTGGCACAAGATTTTTTTTCAGCTTATGTTAAAATGAGTCTTCATTCCCTGAGTGCACACACTTAGTAAGAAAGTGAGAAGGTGGTGTTAAAGTCTGTTTAAGAGGGCAGTAAAGCCAGGGCTGAAGGTTTGCTTTATCAAATCCAGCAAGTAGATAATTTGTCTACCAAATTGTAGGTCAAATATGTTTTTAAGCACAGAGCTCTGGATAGTTTAATTTGTGGCAATTAGAGGCTCTTTGACAGCTCCTTTTTATATCTTGTTCTTGGGGAGGGGAAAGTGGCAAAGGTAGTGTGTCTTGACAGAGGCTAGTTGGCATTTCTCTCTTCCCCTGACTGAACACACACATGTATACCTAAAGATGTTAGTTGCAGACTCAACCAGTCCTCCAGGTCTGCCTATGGCTTGACCTGCTAAAAAATTGTTTGCTTACATTTTAGGGGATTAGGGTTCCCATTTTACTGATCTCATGGAGAAGAGTTTTAGGGAAGAAATAAAATTTCTCTTGGGAGCTGTGCCAGCCAAGACTTTTAGCCAGCTTCTCCCTGCTGTCCCATTTGATTATTATTTATTCCAGACTTCACTTTGAATACATTGACCCGTAACTGTCCTCTCCCTACTCCACTGGGTGACTGAGGGAAGAGTGTATGGATCAGGGTTTTGGCCCTTCCACCCACTGGCAGGGAACATGACTTGAGCTTTCTAGTTCATGACACTCTTCTTCTCTTGCAGTGCCCCCATGGACTTTGCCCTCAATACCTACATGAGCCATGCTGGGATCCGTCTTCGGGAGGCAAGACCCTCCAACACAGCAGAAAAGGCCCAGTCTGCTCCTGACAAGGACAAGTGGCTACCCTTCTTCCCTAAGACCAAGAAGGTGAAAGAGCTACTCTAGAGCTTAACTTCTTTGTGCTGAGCTAGACCAAGAAAACCATTTTCCAGCTTTTTGGCTACATCCCTCCGCCTTTGGATGTGGAGTCAGTGAGATTCCCAACTAGAGTAGCCTCTCCGTACTTCAGATTTGGCCAGAGGTGAATGTGCTGGTTAGGGAACAAGCATGAGTCAACTTTCTAGTTTGTTTTGGGTCAATCTTAGGGACAGGAGCAAAGTGATTAGCAGCCATGTTTGGGTATTCAGACCTCCTCCAAACTCCAGTGTCTCCTGTCTCAGCAGAGCAGCAATTCCAAGAAAGAAAAAGATGTCTTGGAGGACAAGAAGCGAAACCCCATCCTCAAGTACATTGGGAAGCCCAAAAGCTCTTCTCAAAGCAGTGAGTATTTGGGGAGCAAGCCTTGAGCAGAGACCTCAGTCAGCCCTTTCACATACTATTATTTTGGCAAAGGGGCTTCTTATGTATCTGGGAGCCACAAGCCCAAACTCTTGAGACTGCAGCTTCCTTTCTGTCTGCTGCTTTCTCCCCTTGCTGCATCTAGTGCAGCTCTTGGAGGTAAGAGTGAATGCCTATCACTAGGTCTTGGTCTGGAACGTCAGAGCCACTTGTAACTACTGAACAGCCATGTGGAAGAATGTTTCCTTCTTGGCAAAGAATGCCCTAGTGAGAGTAATGCTCCCTTCACCTTCATTCGTGGGATTTGTCTGCGCTCTTTTGGTCTTGTGTTTTGGGAACAACTATAAACCCTTGATGAGGGATTTGAGTTGCTATTAAATAAAATTGGTGGGTGCAAGTTTGGGACCCAGAGGTTCCCCTGATGCATCAGTAACCCAAAACACAATTGGCCCTATCATTGACATCTTACCAGCTATGTGTCATATGTCCGGAAATCAATGTTGGCCTTACCAATCAGTATCTTTAAGTCCAGCATAGCAGTGGGAATCTGAAATTGCTGCATTGAGGAAAGGAAAAAGGAAGCGATGCTGAGATTCACCATAATTTTTGCCCCTACCTTTTCATTCCAGCTTGATACAATTTTTATTTTGACCCTTGAAACATTAATTTGACTTTTCATGGTTTACTTTTGTTTTTGTTTGTTTTTCTTTTAGCATTTCATATTCCCTTGTCCCCTGTGGAAGGTAAAAGGACCATTTTTTTGGGGTTTATCTTTGCATTAGTATCAAGTTTCCACCTCCTTGTTGTCCCTTTTCCATCTCATCTTCTCCTATCCTGTCCCTCTTTCTGCCCTCTTTTTCTCTTCTGTGTTCCTCCTTGTTGCTAAAGCTGCTCTGTGACACAAACCCTGGGAGCTCCTGAACCTTGTGAGACCTTCCTGCCTAACCTGGGTTCTGAGGGGTGGGGGGTCTTTCTCTCTTAGGCAGGGCCTCCTGGTGGTTCTGGCAAAGACCATCCTTTTAGGTAGCACTTTTCCCACAGCCTGAGGTCTTTTATCTTTAACTCTGTCACTTTTCCATGGATATGTTAGTTATCTTTTTATCACTATGACAAAATACCAGAGATAAACAACTTAAAAGGAGGAAATATTTACTTTGGCTCATGGTTTCAGATGTTTCAGTCCATGGGCACTTGGCCCCATTGCTTTTGGGCCCATGGTGAGGCAGTACATTCTAATGAAGTGTGTGGCAGAGGAAAGCTGCTTACCTCGTGGCAGCCAGGAAACAGAGAGGGGAAGGGACCAAATATACCCTTTAAGGGCATTCCCCTAGTGATCTTCTTTCAACTAGGCCTCATCTCCTAAAGCTTCCACCACCTCCCAATAGCACCATCAGCTAGGTGCCAAGCCCTCAACACATAAGCCTTTGGAGAGCACTTAAGATCCAAACTATAAGCAGGTTTATGGTTTGGATAATCTTAGCTACTCAGGAGGCAGAGAGCAAGAGGATCACAGTTCAAAGCCAGTCCCAGGCAAATAGTTTGCAAGACCCTATCTTGACAAAAACCCATCACAAAAAAAGGGCTGGCAGAGTGTCTCAAGTGGTGAGAGCATCTGCCTAGCAAACGTGAGACCCTGAGTTCAAACCTCAATACAGCCAAAAAAAAATCCAAACCATAACAATGTCTAGGGTTTGTATTAAGAAGAGAACTGCATTTTACAGGCCCTAATATCTAGAATATGTGGACTGAAAAATAATTGGTATGAAGCTAGGGGGCAGCTCATTTTGTAGAGCACATGAGGGCCTAACTTTGATCCCCAACACAGCAAAAACAAAAATTATTATTATTATTATTATTATTATTATTATTACTGTAATTAGTATTTACATATTAGCCTGTAAGAAGCCTAGAGCCTAGATCAAAATGTCACAGAATCAGTCAAGTTCATTCCCATCAGTGAGGTCCGTGTGTATGCAATTAAATGATTAATATTAGGCTGGGTGCAGTGGCTAACATCCCAGCTACTTGGGAGGCAGAGATCTGGAGGATTGTGGTTCAAGGCCAGATGGGGCAAAAACTTAGAAGACTCCCATCTCCAAAAAAAAAAAAAGTGTTGAGCATGGTGGCATGCACCTGTCACTCCAGCTCTATGCAGGAAATGTAAGTAGGAAGAGCAGGGTTCAGGCTGGCCTGGGAAAAAAGTGAAACTGTATCTCAAAAAAAAAAAAAAAGAAGAAGAAGAGAGAGAGAATATTTTCTAGGTTCTACGGTAATTATATATATTATAACAAGGGCATACAATCAGGAAATCATTCTGTTATTAGAATCCATTTCATATAAAAGTGTCAATTAGAAGTATCTTCAAAATTATTTTAAGTTAGTAAACTCTTAGCTCATCATGCCATCTTAGGCAATAAAAATAACGAATTATTAAAAATTGTTTATAAAACAATGGGGAGAAAAGAATGTCTTTGAAATCCGGCCCATAGTTCAAACCCCAGATCTTCACACTTTCTAAGAAAGCACTCTACCTCTGTGCTACATCCCCAAGCCCATAATTATTAATATGTACTTCTCATTGCCCTACCAAGGAAGGTATGAGACAGCAGCAGGCTATAAAAAGCTGAGCAACCTCACCAAAGTAGCCCACTTGGTAAGAGGACAGGAACACCCTAGGTGGAGTTGGGTTGCTGATCCCAAGAGCTGAATAAGGAAGCCAAGTATCCACCTCTCTTTGATCCAGATCATATCATTGTGATTACATGATTTGGTTTGGGGTTCTAAATTCAGACAGGTGTGTATGAATATCTGAAGACCAAACACCCAAAACTAAAAACCTCAATATTGAGTTTTTTTGACATTTAAAATCATCATCTGTCACCACTGTTTTATCTGACTGCTGCTGTAATTCAGTTTTATTTATTTTCACTGTCTTCCAGAAACTGGAGAAAAGGGAGCAAAGGCTACTTGGGAAACTTGGTGCTTTTTAAAAATGTGTTCCTTTCTACCCATTTACCCTTGTTCCTCTGGGTTACTCAGTTATAGCTGATCTCAGGGCTGCACCTGTTTCTTGCCACAACCAGTGTGTAACTCTGTCCAGAACACAACTAGGTAGTCTTCAAGTGGCCTGTGGGAGAGAAGACAGTGGGCTCTACCTGGTATGTTTCAGTTATAGGATGTTCCCAGGCTCCCACATCATCACCCAGCCAGGGTGGCTCAGGACTGCTGCTGCACAGCAGACTCTGGTGTCTGTTATGGCTCCATAGTCAGATGCACATTCAGTTTGTGATAGGCAGGCCTGGTTCCAGCCTCCAAATGGGAGTGGTAATCTCTATTCTTAAAACGTATAGCCAGGCACTTGCACCATTTCAGAAAAGTACTACCCTAGCCAGAGAGTGGGATTACAGAAAGCAGACAAATTTTTTTTTACTATCTCTGGCCTAGAAATTTTCTTATGAAAGTCAGATTTCGATGCAGGGAGATTTGTAAGCCTGTGTGTCTTTGTACCAGAATCTTTAAAGTCTGTTAGTCTGGCTACTGTCAGGCCTGGACCCCTAGGGTATTTATGTATGTATATATACGTACATAATATATATATGTACACACACTCAGCAGCATTTGTGGCCCAAGCGCTGCTCTTATCTTGTAGGGCTCAGAGCTTAGCTTTGATCTGAAGACAAGCTCCTCATCTCTTCTTTGGCTGCCAACTTCAGTACTCTTAAGTCTAAGTCCCCATCTGCAGGGTCTCTAAATGACCTCTCCTGAGTGTCTCCTTTCCCTCCTGCCCTCTCTGTCTCCTTGAACAAGGATAGCCCCCTTCCGTCTTAGCTTAGAAAAAGGGGCTGAAATTTTAATGCCAGAGAGTGACATCTCTCCTCTTTTCCTCCTAGGTCACTAGTGATGAAGGGTCTGATTATTTAATGATGTAGCCCAGAGGGGAAGAGAAAGAATAGGATGGAGAGTTAGGAAGAGAAAAAAAGAAAATAAATAAATAATGAGCTCTAAAAGTAGTTTAAGTTTGAAAAATGACTGATAAGATTTGGTAAAATGGTCAAATTCCACATAAACTTTTTTTTGACGGTACTGGATTTGAACTCAGGGCCTCACACTTGCCAGGCAGGTGCTCTACTATTTGAGTGATTCCTCCAGCCCCCCCAAATTCCATATAGTTGTGTTTTGGTCTTTGCTATTTTTTGTAACCTGTCATACGGCTTAGGAAAAACTTACTCATGATTTTCAAAAATTGTCATTATACTGAAGAATGTGAGGACTAAAAGAATGCTTCATAGGAAAAGGTACTTCTAAACCCTCTCATTTTGTATCTGAGGAAAGAGTAGCTCCAAAAAGGTAGAGTGACTGCCCAGGGCCACACTGCATAGTCATAGAAAAGCTAGGACTAGAGCCACATCTGTTGCCTCTTGGTCCCATGCTGTTCTCATCCGTGCTTGCTCATTTGCTCTGTCTTTTGGGCTAGAGGGGAGTAACAGCCCTGAGGGGTCATCCCAGAACAGAAAGCATAGTAGCCTTCATTTTCTTTTTCCTGCAGTTAAGCCAGGCAATGTGAGGAACATCATTCAGCACTTTGAGAACAGCCAGCAGTATGATGCCCCAGAACCGGGGACACAACGACTCTCAACAGGAAGTTTTCCTGAGGACCTGCTGGAAAGTGACAGGTAGCAGTAGCTGGAAGGGGCTTGCCAGCTGCCCAAAGAATGGGGCATGTGTAGGGCTTGATGCTAGGGTTTAATTCCAGCTGCCTTTTCCTTCTCCCATTATAGAGTTTTCTCTTCTAGCCTCCAGCCCCTCACCCTGTATAGCTTCAGAGGACACACCATGTGTTGGTAATTAGATCAATGGAAGAGCAAGCAGAGCCCAGCAGGAACCGCGTGCTAAAATTTCCTTTGGATTCACCCCCTTGACTACTCAATATCCTCCACCCTAAGATTGAGCTAGATTATATTATGCAGCAGTTAATCACTTAAGTAGCAAGAATAGAAGACTGTAGAATGGAAGACTTCCCAGAGGGAGGTCCTGGAAAATAAAAGACCCAGACAGGCACAAAAAAGTCTTTGTCTCACTATAAAGAAAAGAGCTAGAAAGGAGATTCTGCTGCCACATTTTTTTTTTTTGAGGGGGGGTCTGGTACTGGTGTTGGACTCTGGACCTTGAGCTTGCTAGGCAGGCATTCTACTACTTGTACCATGTCCCCAGCTCTGCTGGCATTTTAAAAACAAGACAAGCTGGGGGGCAAAGGAGATGAAGAAAGATGGAGGAAGTGAATCAAACATAATATTATAGCATTTTTGTGAATGTTACAATGTACTCCCAGTACAACTATAATATGCTAATAAATAAAAAATTTTAAAAAGACGAGACAAGCAATGAAATTGTGGGCATGAGGTGTTGTTCTCAGCAAAGAGATACAGAGTTGATTCAAAACAGTCTGCTCCTTCATTTTCAAAAAGAAAAAGGAGCCAAGTGTGTTGGTACATGCCTATAATACCAGCACTTGGGAAACTGAAGCAAGAGGATTGTAAGGTCAAGGCCAGACTGGGCTACATAGTGAGACCCAGCCTCAAAAAAAAAAAAAGAGGACTGGAAGTGTGGCACTGTCTAGCAAACACCAAAGCCCTGAGTTTAAACCCCAGTACCAAAAAAAAAAAAAAAAAAAAAGGCCGGGGGTGGGGGATTGAGACTTTCTATCTCTCATATTCTTCACTTTTATCAGGTTCTAATTAGAATCCTTGTCTGGTGTTTACACGTGCTCTAGGACTTTCTTGATCTTTACTGTGGCATGGTAGTAATCAAGTCATAGCCCACATTTACAGTGAAGATTGCCTATAGATAAAAATGTTAATGCAGATTAAAGTCATCTTTGAAGTACAGTGCTGGAGTCTTATGTTTTGAAAAATGATCCTTGTATGCAATCAAGTCTGAGAGTCACTGAGCTGGAATAGAGGCAGGCATGGAAGCAAGTCAATAGGTAGCAATGTGGATATTCAGCCCATTTTGCCTTTGAAGTAACTATTAACTATGTCCTGCTTGAATACAAGGTTATTTCTTTTTGTTTACATTAAGCTTTTATAAACTTAGTGCATGTTAAAAGATTTTGCCATAGTGAAAATTGACACAGATGTGGAGGCAGTGAACATTTAGATATGTATGTGAGTAGTGAATGAGTTCTAACGTCAGTGGGTAAATTGAAGACACAAATTGAAGTGATAGACATTATTGTTTAAGATCTGTCAAATACTTTAAGCTTCTAAGACACTGTCAACACTTTGAAAAAATATTTGAGACCATTTACAAACTTGTATTCTTGACCTTGCTAAGAAAATTTGCTAAAGCTGTTCTAAGCAGAAGCCTTTAGATTCAGTGACTGTAAACTCATGTCAGTCTTAGAAGAATAGTATCAGCAGCAAGACAGTTCTGAGATTGTTATAGATTCTCAACAGGTGTAAAATGCTCCAGTTCTAGAAGGCAGTCCCCTAGGAATGTTTGGCCAGAAGTAGTTTCCGTGTCTTACTTCTTGGTGAGAGCACTGCTCATTTTTGGGCACTTGTAGGAAGTTGCATAGCTCTGCAGCCCCGTAACCCTACCTGATATGATATGTGGTTGCTGACATGAACCATTATGGGCACTGTTGAAAAGTGTTTTGAATTAATCTGTTAGAATTGTTCTAACAGATTTCGGGGTGGGGTGAGTTCAGTAGGGAGTCAGTTAGCAATGTGTTTCCTAAGCCTGCAGACAAACTGTTAGGCCCCAGGAGGGGTAAGCTCCATGTTGAAGCCTCTGATGGAGATGGAGGCCCTTAGCTTCCTTGGTGCAGCAACCTGCTGTGTTATTAAGAGCTCTCCAGACGTTTCCAGGCCTCTGTGGTCCCAGAAACAGAGCAGGATGTAGATTAGTAATACTGTCAGCAAAGGACTAGCCCAGCAGGGCCATGGCAGTGGGGGGTGGCATCCAGGGGAGCCAGGGGTTTCAGAAATGCCATCTTTCTTAGAGCTGATGCACTGCAGGACTCTATAGACAGCAGCATTTAGTTGTCAGCATCTTCATCAAGCCCTAGTGAAGCTTGGTGCTCAGGGTCAGGCTCCTGACTGTCTGTAACCAGGACCTTGAAACATCCTATCCAGTCTACCTCCCTGGAGGAGAGAGAATCTGTAGAGTAGCCAGAATGGTTTGTCATTGAGAAAAACCACTGTGCCCAGGTGTTTGGGCCATGTCAGATAGGATGGAGAACCTGCAACTTCAAAAAACCCTTAAGATAGGGCAACAGCTAAAAGGTGGCCAGAATGTAAGATCCCAAAGTCTGTTATCCCTCCCTGCCAGTTCACGCTCAGAGATTCGCCTGGGCCGCTCTGAGAGCCTCAAGGGCCGGGAAGAGATGAAGAGGTCTCGGAAGACTGAGAATGTGCCTCGTTCTCGAAGCGACGTTGACATGGATGCTGCTGCTGAGGCCACTCGCCTCCACCAGTCAGCCTCATCCTCTGCCTCCAGCCTCTCCACCAGGTGGGTCACCTCCAATGACTCCACCCATTGCTGTTGGGACAGAGGTGGGATACAGGGTTGCTGAGAGTTGACATTCCCTCCACAGATCTCTTGAGAACCCAACCCCTCCCTTCACCCCCAAAATGGGCCGCAGGTGAGTGGTGGGCACAGTGGTGCTTTTTATTTGATATTTCTGTGGCCCGTCCATGCTCAGCCACTTTTTGCATACTGAGTGACTGGATGAGTGTGCATCACCTCCTCATGAGCCCAGTGCAAGCAGATTGGGTGGGAGAAGGAGGGACCAACCCTGAATGAGTTCCTGCACACCATCACCCAAGTGAAGCTGAGCTGTCCGTTTTCCCTAGGAGCATTGAGTCCCCAAGCCTAGGATTCTGCACAGATGCCCTCCTTCCCCACCTCCTGGAGGATGATCTGGGCCAACTGTCTGACCTTGAGCCAGAGCCAGATGCCCAAAACTGGCAGCACACAGTAGGCAAGGATGTAGTGGCAGAGCTGACCCAGAGGGAAATTGACCGGCAGGAGGTCATTAATGGTGAGAATGTGCCCTGCTGCCCCCATCTCCATTTCTGGTTGTATGGGAATAGGTCCAGGACACCTAAGATACAAGGGGAGGAAGAGGTAAATGGGGGTTGAGGGGGGTTGGGGGCAGGACAAGGTCCACCTCATTCTGACCTTGGGGTGAAAGAAACCAGCACCCCAGTTCCTCCAAAAGTAGATTGGGGTCCAGGTAGTGACCCTAGATACTTAGCTGTTTTCTCCCTGTCTGTCCACCCCTTCTTGTCACAACCACCACTCAGAGCTGTTTGTGACTGAAGTTTCCCACCTGCGCATACTCCGAGTCCTAGACCTCATCTTCTACCAGCGAATGAAGAAGGAGAACCTAATGACCCGGGAGGAGCTGGCTCGGCTCTTTCCTAACCTGCCTGAACTCATAGAGATTCACAGTAAGGAGCCCTGTGCCCTTCTAGACTCCCTTTGCCAGCCTTCAGCTTTTTGTCACAGTTTTACCCCGCTGCCTAGACCCTCTTGAGAAAATAGTCCCCACCAGTCCTCTGGTGAGAGAAGCTTATGAACAACTCCAGAAACACCCTCCCCCCAAAGTAAAATGGTTTCCAGACTTCCCTCATGGCACTAGTGTCAAGGATCCCTTTTCTCCCAGGCACAAAGTCTGTTTCTTCCCTCCTTACCCCAGATTCCTGGTGTGAAGCCATGAAGAAACTGCGGGAGGAAGGCCCCATCATCAAAGACATCAGTGACCTCATGCTGGCTCGAGTACGGCTCCAAACTTTTCCCAGTGGCAAGGAGGAAATTGGAGGAGGCAGGATCCCATTAGCCAAAGCTAGGGAATTTGGTGGAGGCTGGGGTAACCAGAGGGCCATTTCCTGGTAGGGGTTGTGATACCTGGGCTGGTGTCCATTCTGCCTCTTCAGTTTGATGGTCCTGCCCGAGAGGAACTCCAGCAAGTGGCTGCACAGTTCTGTTCCTATCAGTCAATAGCCCTAGAGCTGATCAAAACCAAGCAGCGGAAGGAGAGCCGATTCCAGCTTTTCATGCAGGTATCCTGGGCCATGTCTCAACCCTCCTTCATCTCTACCAGGTTCACTAAGGATCTCCTGACCTCCCTCCTCGTGCCCCCAACCTCTTCTTCTACTGAGGAAGACACCCAACAGCACCTTTACAGCTAGAGATTCCTGTGGTCAAAAACAACCCTGGATTAGCAGCCAGAAGGTCTACCAGTACCAGTGTGCACTTAGATTGATCTGTTTCCCTGTTTGTAAAATAGGAATACCTGCCCTTCCAGAGTTTAGGAATACCTGCCTGCCTGGAGTATTTTATTGTTGCTGGTTTTGCTTTTTCGGTGGGGTTTGAACTCAGCTTCTCACACTTGCTAGGCAGGCGCTCTACCACTTGAGCCACTCCACCAACCTTGCCCTTCTATTTTGACTGTCCCTTCTTTGGGTTGTTTTCCTGGTACCACCAATCCTTCCATAAACAGTGAAGAAAGAGCTGCCACCATTTGAGTGATCTGGGGTTAGGATTGATTTAGCATTTTCATACCCATCTTGGCCCTGGGCCCTTAAGCCAGCTCCCAACCACCAGTTGACCTCCTCTGTCTATGCCTCCTGCTGTCTAGGAGGCTGAGAGCCACCCTCAGTGCCGGCGGCTGCAGCTTAGAGACCTCATCATTTCCGAGATGCAGCGGCTCACCAAGTACCCACTACTGCTGGAGAACATCATCAAGCACACAGAGGGTAGGGAATGGGGAGGCCCGCGCTGGGAGGCATCTGACTTCCTTTCAGACCCTCACTCTGACACTACTCTGTGGCTGTAGCAAGCCACTGGACCTTTGTGGTCTTCAGTGTCTTCATGCCTGTCCTGTTATGGTGAGTCTCAAAGAAAATGATTGTAAATGTACCTTGGAAAAATACAAGATACTCAACAGCAGAAAGAGTGAGGACTACCACTGATATGGTGGGACTTTTGTGCAAATCAGGAAAGGATCTGAGTGGACCCACAAGCTGGCACTGAGGGTACCTTGGTTCCTTTGGATGATCATGGCCTCATTCCCAGAGTCATGCTGGAGTTTAGTCCTCATTCATACCTCTTCTGGATGCCTCCATGCAGTATATAAAAAATACAACCATATCTGGTAACACTAAAGGAGTAGGAAACAGGCTAAACAAAAGAGTCATTGTCCCTGAAATCACAAGCGTCTTTCACTGTCTTGAATTTCACATATTGGAGTCAGGATAGAGAGGCGTTGAGAATCTCAACTTGATTTGAGCAGGCATAATCTTTGTAATTATGGGCTGTGGACTAGGCAGGAATTCTCAGAGTTATCAGTGTCTAAAACCCAAGGATGCTCAGAAAAAGTTAACCCTGCCACATGAGTTCCTCCAGTAAAGTGAGGGTGGCTTACCTACACCCCTGCCTGCTCATTTGAGGCAGACAGATAAGATCTGACTCTGTGATGCACTTCTCAGGTGGAGCCTCTAACCACCACCTCTGTCCCATTTGGTAGGTGGCACATCTGAACATGAGAAGCTGTCCCGGGCCCGGGACCAGTGCCGGGAGATTCTCAAGTTTGTGAATGAAGCAGTGAAGCAAACAGAGAATCGACACCGATTAGAGGGCTATCAGAAACGCCTAGATGCCACCGCCCTGGAGAGAGCCAGCAACCCCCTGGCAGCAGAGTTCAAGGTAGGAGGCAGAGGCTGCAGCACAGGCAGCCCTTCATATACACTTCTTGGGCACTCTTAGGAGCAGAACTCTAGTTAGGACCCAGAGAATCTTGGAGGTAAGACACATGGACTACCTTTGACAGGATGACACAGTGGGACTCTGGGAGACATAACACTGTTATTGTCACCCGTCCCCAGATGGAGAAGAGCAGTCAGCCCTGCCAAGCAAAGACTAAATGTTGGAACTCAGACTGCGAGAATAGGGAATGAGGTAGGAATTGAGGAAGAGGTGGAGATCATTTGGAGGGAATAAGGCTGAAGGAAAGGCCTGGAAAAGCAGCATAACTAGGAAGGGAGACAGCATGTGGTAAGGGCTGGATGGGAGACCCAAGTCAGAGCCATTGGTACATTCCCCCAAAGTAGCACAGGGCACATGGCTTCATAGTCACCCTTTTACTTCACTGTACCCCCCATGAGAACATAAGAGCAATGACTGTTTCCTGTCCACTACTGATTCCCAGCACCTTAGCATAATGTCTGCATGTAGTAAGTTCTTTTGAATGGATAAGTGATGGTGTCTTTAACAGAGCCTGGATCTTACAACCAGGAAGATGATTCATGAAGGACCCCTGACCTGGAGGATCAGCAAGGATAAGACCTTGGGTATGTGCTAGTTGGCTATGAGTGGGAGGAGATGTATGATGAATGGACTTCTTCAGGGCTCTTCCCTCTCTATTGCATAAACCTGGAAGCTGTTGCACTAAAGGGTTAGTGAGGTAGCCAGGGAGATACTTGCAACAGGAATAGGATGGTAATTCAAGGCTCTTTAAGTACAATGTGGGAAGTGGAGGAACAAGAGAGAAAGGATTTGGGGTCACTAGACTTCCCAAACTTCCTAGACCTTGGGCACAAGCATCTGAGAGCCACTGGTCTCTTTGCTGATGAGGTGAGTAGGCAGCAGGGCATGCCTCAAACCATCCCCTCCCCCTGCCCAGACCTCCACGTGCTGTTGCTGGAGGACCTGCTAGTGCTGCTGCAGAGACAGGACGAAAAGCTGCTGCTTAAGTGCCACAGCAAGACAACTGTGGGCTCCTCAGACAGCAAGCAGACCTTCAGCCCTGTGCTCAAGCTCAACGCTGTTCTCATCCGCTCCGTGGCCACAGGTACCTATGAGGAGACATCCCAGCAGATCTGGGGCTCTGGGACTTTAAAGGACTTACCTGTTCCACTGGTCTTTTCCTCCTATCTGACCCAGTCTAAGCAAGAGGATGTGGTCCAGTATGGAGCAGGGTGAGTTGTAGGATGGAAACCAAAATGAAGATGGATGGCCTATAGCAGGGGTGGTCTGCCCTCTGGGGCAGTGAGGGGTGGGAGGTGGACACATAGGTGGGGCTGAAGATATTGGAACAGCATTAGAAGGAATGAGATTGGACAGGAAGACAGGACAAGGTTTTCTGCTGTAAGAAAGCCTTGAGCAGAGGGTGGTTGCAAAAGATGCACACCCACAGCACAGAGCCAAGGCCAAGGGTCAGAGACAAGCAGTGAGAAGTACAGTATGCATAAGAAAGGGCTCAGGGACAGGAGTCACCAACTACATTCTGTGGACTCACCTTCTCTGTAACATGGAGGTGATATCTATCTAAAGGGATGATGGTTAGCCCTTAAGTTATTAGAGCAGGAGAGCAATGGGGGCAGTCATCAAAGATCATATTACAGGTCCCAGAATTGCCCGTCTCTTATTAGTGACTCCCAAGTGGTTCCAATGACCCAGCTCTATCTCATGCTGTATTCTTCATTGGTGTTGAGGGTCAGGGCTTTGAGTCTGCCCTGTCACCCTCACCCAGACTACAGTCACATCTACCACCCTCAGTGCAAACCCTCCACCCTCCTTTCCTCACCCAGATAAACGGGCCTTCTTCATCATCTGCACCTCCGAGCTGGGACCTCCCCAGATCTATGAGCTGGTTGCATTGACGTCATCAGATAAGAACACGTGAGAATTAAGAGCTGGGGGTATGGCTTAAGTGGTAGAGCACCTGCCTAGTAAGCATGAGGCCCTGAGTTTAAACCTTAGTACTGCCAAAAAAAAAAAAAAAAAAAAAAGAATTGAGGGGTCCCATGTAACTGCCATCCCCTTGGGACCAGGTTAGTATTATGAGGGTGGGGGACAATGATGCTAAGGCTGGGCTCTAGAGCAGTCCCTGGATGGGGAAATGAACTGGGAAGGGAAGTGGAAGACAGGACAGGCACAGAAAAACCTTGAGGGGGTCATCACCCCTACTCTGTAACCAGGCCCTGTAACAAGCATATTAAGTTCCTGCCTCCTTCCAGGCTCCTCGGGCTGTCTACCCACCCCCCTTTTCCCAGCAACAGCCACCAGAAGCGGCAGGGCACAGAGGAAGGAGATAGATTCAGTCAGATGGTTTCTCACTGTCAGAGTTTTCATCTCTAGAATATGGATAATGCTACCTCTTAGAAGAGAGAACATATACAGAGTGCTTAGCACAGGGATTAACAAAAGATTTGGTGTCCAGTAATTGTAGCCACAGTCACATAAACCGAGGGAGCAGCCAGTGAGGACTATGAGGGAAGTGGGCACCTGCCAGGTAAAGGGTTCTGAGGACAGAGTGTGGAGAGGGCTTTGAAGCTTTGGGGCATTGGGATCCACAGGGGACAAGTTGTGTGCCTGGCCTTGTTCTCACCACCAGTCCTCTCTGTTCTGCTGAGCAACAGATGGATGGAGCTCTTAGAAGAGGCTGTGCGGAATGCCACCAGACACCCTGGAGCTGCCCCAACACCCATCCATCCCTCACCTCCAGGCTCCCAAGATCCAGTCAACCTGGGCCCCACCCCCAGCAGGTACAGTGCTTAGCCCTCCAGACCCCCAGGCATGCCCACACCAAGCTGCCTGTTTCTTGCAAATGGAGGAACATGGTCCCGCTCCTCTGTCCCTGCCTACTTTCGCTTGGCTATAATGAAGACTACACCTAAATTAAGTGTAGTCCAAGTTGAGGGTGTAGAACTAGGAACCAGAAAAGCTGAGCCAGTGCCAGCCTACTCAGTTCACCAGACTATCCAGAACAGTCAGGTTACAAAGCTCTGTATCTCCCTTCTTGGACCCTCCTCCTTCACTGCCTATTCTGCCTAGGGAATCCAAGGTGGGATTTCACATTTCAACCTCCTGCTGGCAGAGCCAGAATTGCCACCAGGTGGTCTGCTCTCACTCTTGGTTGGTTTCTCCCCACAGGATAAGACTAGGTGACTCAGAAGTATACCATAGAGGACCAGAACCAGAGGAGCTACCTGGAGGTAAGGGCCCTGTTTTTTGGGAGCTCAGTCCAGTCCATAGTAGGCATAGGTCAGGTGGGGGTGCAGGGTGATGGGAGAGTTCATCAGAGCGAGGTGTATGAGGTTTTGATAAAGTGAGTACAGAAGAAATGGGAGGAGGGAGTCCGGGAGAACAACAGACTGAAGACAGTGCACACCAGCTCACTTGACCAGACTCTCCCTGCCTCTCTGAGTCATAGGGTTAGCAGTGGAGAAAAAGAGAAGCAGTCTCATTGATCCAAGAGCTCCTCTGTGCTTCTGCCAGGGGAGAGAGCAAGATGCATGTGGAGAGCAGAAAACATTGGGGTGCACAAGGAGCCCAAAGAGTTTAAGATGGATGGAGAGGAACAGATTTTTTGATGAGTTTTATGTAAAATAACTCAGGATCTTGGATTTAGAGAGACATCTGGGCTCCCTGTCGGGGTCAGTGTTCTGTTTTCCTTCTTCTGAGAATGCTTTTCCAACTCTCACACACCTCCTTCAGTCTTTTTTACAATGTCCCCTTTGCAATGACACTTTGACTATGTCATTTAGCACGATAACCTCACTCCTGATGCCCCATACCTACTCTGTTTTGTTCTTTCCCATAGCACCTACCACCTTCAAACAAAAAATGTAATTACTTACTTATTTTGTTACTTTTCTATTGTCCTTCCACTAGAATTCAAGGTCCTACCCCCGGGTAGGGATCTTTGCTTTATCTACTGATGTATGCCGAGAGTTTGGGACAGTAGCTGGCCATAGGAGGTGCTTGGTAAAATTTTATAGAGCGATCATCTATAGAGCTTAGCCAGCTCCTTAGATACACAGCTGAACATGGACTTACCCCATACATGCGCTCTCCTTTGCCCTGCCTGCTACTCCCCTTTTATCCAAAACAGGCATTGAGCCCCAGCAGGGAATCCAAGGGAAGCATCTAGGTACACTTGAGCAGCCTGAACAAGAGGGCAGTGTAGGTGAAGAGAAGCCAGGTGCTCTGTCTCACCCTTCCCCCTGCCTGGATGGAGAGATCAGGGGCATCAGGACAAGGGACCCTATTCACCTGGCCCTCCCAGGCCCTCTGTTCATGGAAGGACTCGCTGATTCAGCCCTGGAAGATGGTGAGTGCCTTGAGTACCCTGCTAAGAGTCCCTGATCCCTCAAGAGCATGGCCAGTGTGGTCTTTATTCCACCTGCTCGAAACTTCTCCCTGGTTCTGCTAGAGGAGAGATGGATGCAAAGACACCACCTAGTTAGCTTGAACCCTCTAGTCCCACCCTGTGGCTACAGCAGGGTGAGAGGGTAACAGGTTGATGGGATTGGCCCCGCCTCCTCTGAATTTTCCCACCACTGGGCAGTATGCAGTCCTGAGCTAGAGAAGCCATTACCATGTTTCCCCCTCCAGTGGAAAACCTGCGGCACCTGATCTTGTGGAGCCTGCTACCAGGTCACTCTGTGGAGACTCAGGTTTCCGGGGAACCTGAGGATGACCTGACACCTACGCCTTCTGTCATCAGCATCACCTCTCACCCCTGGGACCCCGGCTCCCCAGGGCAGGCTCCCACTGGGGATCACAGGGACAACATCCAGCTTCCAGAGCTAGAGAGAGGTCAGCCAGAGCAAGAAGACATGGCTCTCTGTTCTCTAGCACACCTACCCCCAAGAACCAGGAATTCTGGGATCTGGGAATCTCCAGAGCTGGATAGAAATCCAGCTGAAGAAGTGGCAAGCACAGAAGCAGCAGGAAATTACAAAGTTGTAAGAAAAGGTAAAATGCATTGGTGCGTCCACAGGGAGATATACACCCACGTTAGCTGGGGTAGAGGCGAGTCTTGCAGGTGGGTATTTCCTTCCCCATGTTTATCCTGGGTACTAGGTAAGCAGAGACGGACATTGGGTCCTGGGGAAGGAAATACATGAACATCATTCAGAGGCTTTGGAGTTGGACAGGCAAGGTTCAAAGCCCTAGCTCTGCCACTTAATGTCTATGTGATCTTAGATAAAATTCTGATCATCTGTGAACTTTGTTCTGTAATATATGAGGACACTGCCTATTGCCCAGCCAGCACAAGTCTACTACCAATAGTTTCCATCCTTTACCCACTGTCCAATCCTAAGGAATAGATGAGGCTCTTCCCAGGAGCCCCAGGTCAGGAAAGACAGGGGCTAAGAATGGAGTGGGTAGAACTGAGTGCACAAGGTGGTACGGGTGGTACCTTGAGTTGGAGAGTACTGTGGACAGCTTTGTGATAACACTAGCTCACAGAGAGGCTGAGGCCAGAGCAGTAAGACCTAAGGAGGGTTGCCCCATGCTGGGCAGAGTAAGCTGAAGAAGAGGAAGGGCTATCCGAGAAGTGTTCTGGGCAAGATGAAGGAAAGCCTGGCCATGTGAGGCTGAGATGGGATCCAGCAGGGGCGTCTCATCTTCCTCTTGTGCCCACACAGCCCCATTCCATCAGCCAGGGCTGCCTCTGCTGGGTTTCTGGGAACTGAACTTCCTTCTCTCTTCTGGTGACTTGGTGGAAAGCACTCTGCAACTCTCTGGGATGTGATCATTATGATCTTGTGCTCATTTTGTTCTTCCCTTTTTCTCCTTCTCCACCACCCTTCTTTCTCCCTCTCCTTCCTGCTCTTTCTCCCTTCCCTTCCCTTGTCTTTCGGTCTCTCCCCTCCTTGGTGGTGGTGGTGTCGGTGCAGCTGAGGTGGCAGGCAGCAAGGTTGTCCCTGCACTACCAGAGAGTGGCCAGTCAGAGCCTGAGCCACCTGAAGTGGAAGGCGGAACACAGGTTACGGGTAATCAAATTCTCCTTGGAACCAAAGGCTGGCCAAGGCTAGAGTTGGGGGGCCTTTGAGGAATCACTGGGCCTTAGTTGTCAGCCATCTGGAATGGTGGGGAGTAAACACTGTACTGTCAGGTCAGACTTCTAGTTCAGAAACCACTTGTCAGGAGCTGTATAGGCCCCTTTCAGAGTATAGGCTTAAGCAACCTGCACCTGGGGTGAGGTAAGGAAGCCTGGCCAGTGTCCAGGGCCCAGTGACCCTAACCTGACATTCCAAATAGTCATTTCTCCCACCCTGGCCATCACTCTAGTGCCACTGTAGAAACAGGCTTACATGGATTCCCAGGTTCCTTGATGTTTACCTGTGCTACTGCCCTTCAGGGACCCTCCACATCCTTCCTCCAGCTGTCTCTGACCTCCCTCTGATGGGTTGAGGGCTCTAGAGGATCGTGACCTGTGGGGCAGTGTTGAAGTTCATCAGCAGAGCATGAGCTGAGGCATGTGAAAGAGGCTGCTGCCTGCTCTGTTTGTTCCAAAAGGGCCTAAAGCCAGCCCAACATCTATTTCCCCTTCCCTTTATGGGATGGGTACCATTCCGTTTTCTCTGATGAGACACCTCCACCCTGCCCCTCCTCCCTTCACTTCTGCCACTGAGCATCTTCCCTGGCATGTGGCCAGCCTGAGAAAATTTGCCATCTAGAAAGAGAAGGGTAAGCAGCATGGGCTGCCATATACTGAGTTGTCTTAGAACAACCCTGGCCCATTCTGTCTGTGGGCCTGGGAACACTGAGGGAGTGGGAGGGTGGCCATAGATTTCTCGGTGCTTGCCTCCTAATCTCTTTCTCTTGCCATGGGGACAGGGAACTGTTTTTATGTCAGCATGCCAGCAGGACCTCTGGACTCAAGCACTGACCCTGCAGGGGCACCAACAAGCTCCCCCCAGTCTGACAGCCTCCCTGCCTGGCAGACAGAGCCTCTGCTCCAGCTGCAAAGAGGCAATGGAGATCAGAGACACCCCCTCTGCTCTCCCCCTAACCTGGCTCTCAGGGATGTAGGCATGATCTTCCGAACCATTGAGCAGCTCACCCTCAAGCTCAACAGGCTCAAGGTAAGGGACATGGAACGTGGGCCTTCAATCCATCACCCAGGACTGTTCCCTAAGAATGAGGTGTGTCTTCCTGGTAGCCCTACACCTGCCCTGGCCCTAGCCCACATTCGTAAACTATAGCCCCATTTCCAGGGTCCAGGACAGATCTGAGAGTGTGACCACTTCCCCTAGGGGCCTTATGAATAGGAGGACTCCAGCAGATATTCTCTATATGACTTCCAGGACATGGAGCTGGCCCACAGAGAACTGCTCAAGTCCCTTGGGGGAGAGTCGTCTGGTGGCGCCACGCCTATGGGCAATTTGCACACAGAGGCAGTCAGATGGAAAGACAGCTCCCTCTCACCTGCACCCAAGGAAGCCCTGGCCTCTGGCTCCCAGAACAGCAATGAACTGGGGACCTGCCTTGAGGATGGTGAGTGAAGCCAGTTCCTGCTTTGTGCCTCCCATGAGGAAATGTCATCAAGCAAAGTGAGAGGAGATGGTTCCAGTGTCTCATTTCCCCTTGAGTATAACTAACTCATTCCCTCAGCTTCAGAGAGGCATAAAGTTCCATAGAAGCACCCCTAAAATGGGAACCAGAACCGAGCCCTTTTTTCTTGTGCCATGGAGGTAATGCACCAGATGGAACCCGGTTTCACCTCTCTGGCCTGTTTTTTCAGAGCTAGGTTGGTAGGCCAGGGACATGGCTATGTCCGAACTCAGGAAAACAAAGCATATAGCTACCTGATTGAGGAGCTTATACCTACTGATTAAAGAGAAATGGAGTTTGGTAGACAACCCTGCTCAGACCCCATAGGAAATACAGGTTTCTGGAGGAATGCTTTACCACAGATGAACAGTACTAAAAGATGACCTGAGAACCTTCTGGATAAATCCCAGGGGAAGTTACCTTAGGCTTGGTCAGCTTTTCATCCTCACCATCCTCCCACAGGATCTGATACCCCCCTGGAAGACAGCACCATAGACACAGCTGAATTACCAGGACTGTAACCATCCAAACCACCACATTCTCTTCATCTGCACTCTGTCAGGAGCCAGCCTGTGGAAGAAGCAGTTGGGAAAACAGATGCAGCTGAGGCCTTGGGGGGAAACTCGCATGTTGCTTGGTCTGCTCGGATCCAGAGTCAGATTTCAGTGTCTCTTCCCCTCCCTTTAGTCCAACCCTCAAAGGCCTTGGTCTCCTAAGCATGCTGACTGCATCTGAAAGGTCCCTGCTCATGCTCACTATGGTCTGCCCCCTCGCCCCACATAGCGTGTGCACTAAAATGTGCAGTGCCCTCAGGCGTGCAAGTGAAGGGAGGAGGCTTCTGTGTAAATGCACTTTCTCCTTCCCCCTTCTCCACAGGCCCCAGGCAGAGCTGGGTGCCTCCCCTCCTTTGTCACTTTGGTTTTCTATAAATATGTATGTATTGTATGTGCATCTTTGCTGTTGTAAATAGCTTGTTTTTTTTTGTTTGTTTGTTTCTGTCCCTGGAGTGCTGAGGCAGTTACAGAGGGACTACTAAGGGAAGAGGGTTTCACTGCATCTCCAGTCAGCAGCCCAGCGCCAGGGCCAGGGCCAGGGCCAGATGGTGCCAGACCTGACTGTCTCCATCCCCTGTAGGCAGGAAGCTCTCCTGGCCTCCAGTCCCACCTAGCTCCAGAGACTTCCTCTGTGCCCTTGTGCTGAACTACCCCTGCCTCATAGGACTTCTCTGGTTATCAGGAGATGGGGCCCATGGCGAACTTTTATCCCACCTGTGTCCACCTTCTCCACCTACCCCCATAGAAAACCAGTATAGCAGGTATGGAACTGAAAGTGGACCCCAGGAGGGGGTAGGGGATTTGAGTACTAGAGTCCCTGAACTAAACCAAGATCTTTCCCAGGAACCACTCCAGCAATGACCTATTACCATGTCCTCACAACACTCTCCACTGATCAATATACACACTGTGTTGGTGTATATATACATATATATATATATATATATAAATATATATAATATATATAAAATATAGATATGGAAATGACTGTTTTGCTGTTAAGATAATGTATACTCTTTTTTCTTTCATGGTTAAGTTTTTTTGGTTTTTTTTTTTTTTTTTAAGAAAAGTTAAATATTCTTCAGTTGTGGTCGTGTGTGTGATTCTTGGCACTGCTGTGATAGAAGATACTAAAGCTGTTCCTCTTGAGACTGACTAGGATTAAGTAGAGGAAACCAGAGGTAGCTTCCCTCCACCCTGGAACCAGACCCACAGGTCTTACTGTATTCTCTCCCAAAGCTTTAGCATACACTCTCTGAACTGGGGCAGGGCAAGTTATACATCCCCAGGCAGAAAACAGGCAGAAAGACACTGAACTCCCTTCACACAAAGGAGAGGGAACCTTGAAAGACCAGGGACTTTGAGCCAGTGGCAAAACATAAGAGGGAGGACCACTTCAGGCCTGGCCAGCTCCTCACTGTCCTTATCCCTCCCCGTCTTCCCACAGATCCAACAATATCACAAGGGCTGTAAGAGGAGCTTCAGAGGACTTGTCAGGGACAACTGGGAAAGCTGGGGTGGCTGATCATCAAGCACCTTTATGTGCTCAATGTTAGGAATTGAAAGAAATGATAGATTGCCCCTGGAGACCCTGCATCCAGTCCAGGGGCAGCTGAGGCAGACGGGGTATGACAGCCCTGGCTGTACCTGGCTGCTAGGCAAGACAAAGGGGCTCTGGGTAGGCAGAGAAAATAGGAGGGCATATGGAACAGGTTCAGAGTACGAACAGATGAGAAGGGGAGGCTGGCCCCTCTGTACCTTCTCTGGAGAACCCTGTAGGTTGGAGATGGGCTCTCCAGAAGCCCTCACACTCTGGGTATTCTTGATTTCAGATTGCTGGCAGTCATGTTTAATGCTTGGCCTTTGCTATGCAGATGTTGAGACATTTAGCATCCCCACTTGAGGATTCAATTTTTTTTAAACTGAGTCTTGGCCTCTTCTAAATCAAGTAAACACTTGAGCTAAAGATAAGCACAAGGGGGTGGTGCTGGAGGATGGAGCTTGGACTTGGTTCCTCAACTCCACTTCATCCCACAGGTGTGCATTAGTGACTGATCCCATCTCAGATCCTTCCCTCTACCTCCGAGACCAAAGGTTGACTACACACTCTGGCAGAGGGCATGTCTTCTGGGGACATAGTTGGGGGGAGTGACTGGCTGGGCAAGAACTAGCCCTGAAGACAGGGGGCAATGGTCCTGGCTAGCCACTGCCAAGGGGGCTGACATCATCCCGGGAAAACTATAAAGTGATTCAGACCATCACTATTCTGCCATTTCTGGCCATGTCACATGAACAGACTAGAGTCCAAATGTTCCAAGTCCTTCTGGAACAAAGTTTTCAAAGAACAATACAGCAACAGACTTTGTTATTGGTCCAGATATTCCCCCCCGGGAGGTCAGCCCACACAGGAACAGAAGTGCTTCTGTGGTTAAGTCTCAGGGAAGAAAGCAGGAGGAGACTAGGTGGAGAAATCAGTGGCCTCCTCCTCCTTGAGCTTGGCCTTGACCGGGTCCCTTGGCAGCATCAGCTCCTGGATCATGATGTAGGTGGGACATTGTGGATCAAAGTAGTTTTTCTGAAAGAGAAAAAGGAAGGCTGACAGGATTGAAGATTAGTTCTAAGGGTGGGTTAGTGGGTGGTAGACTTGGGGAAAAGGCAGTGATAACTGCCAATCCTGCAGAAAGAAGAATGGAGGCTATGTTGTGATTTAAGAAAAACAACAACAAAAAAAAACCAGCTAGGCGCTGCTGGCTCATCCCTATAATCTGAGCTACTTGGGAAGGTTGAGATCAGTAAGGGGAATCACAGTTCGATGTGCTTGCCAGCCTGTGCAATAACCACAGCAAAATGGACTGGAGGTGTGGCTCAAGTGATAAGAGTGCCTACTTTGCAAGTACAAAGCCATAAGTTCAAACCCCAGTTCCACAAAAAAAAAAAAAAAAAAAAATCAGTAACTATAAATCTTCCTTAGAAATGGGAGACAAAGCCACCTGTAGGAGTAGCAGGAGGGAGATAGGGACTCACTGCCAGGGACAGCCATAGCAGCCCCACTGGGCCCTTCGATGAAGTCTTGGGCTTGGAGAACTGCACCTGGTACCGCACAGCAGTGAGGAAGCCCTCCAGCCCCACCTCTGTGATGTGGTTTCCTGGTGGAAAGTATAGATAAGGGTGGCTTTTGACACCACACCCTCAGCAGCCTGGCTCCTCCAGCTCCTCATCTCCAGACTCATCAGCACTTTCAGGACCAACCCTCCCCCGCTCCTCTCCTCTATTTCTCCCATCTCACTTCTCACCCTTTTCATCCCATCCCCCACCTGTCTCATTCATCTCATTATTGCCCTCAGCTCCCTCCTCCCAGCCCAGCAATTACCCCTCACCTCCAGCCTCTGTAAGAGGGCCTCTGGCAACTGAGGCCCAACTATGGGAGAACCAGGTGTTCCCTATAGAGTCAGAGTGGGCAACCTCCTGGCAGGATGGAACCCAAGCAGCCCTGTGGCAGGGAGGCAGTAGAGGATGGCAAACATACGGAGGAGGTTGAGGTGCAAAAGGACCTTATTCCCAGGCATGAAAACCTTGCCATCTCGGTGCTCCATGGGTTCCAGGAGAGGGTTGACCATCTCAGTAGCTTCAGCAACCAGCTGCTAAAATAAAATACTATTTGCAGCGGAGGAGAAGGGAAGCTGATCACCAGGCCACTCATTCATTCAACATAAATGTTGGAGTGCCAGCTATAGTCTAGGCTCTGTCCTAGGTGCTGGAACACAAAGATAAATAAGCCATACCCACAAGAAGCACCTTGGTTTGGGGGAATCAAGAGAGTGAAACCGCATTGCAGTGTGAAGTAGCTTCTGATAGATAAGCTCCAGGTGCTATAGGAGCACAGGAAGGACATCTTGCCTACCCTGGGAGCCAGGGACAGTCTTCTGGGAGAGGTGGCCTAGGAGCTAAATATGAAGGTATATGGACATTCTTAGATGAAGAGGGAAAGGTGTGCTAAGCAAAGAATACAGCAGAAGCAAAGGCTGTACAGGCATAAAACAGCACGGGCATTTGGATTTTACTAAATACTTTTTAACAGACTAGAGCAGATGACACTGAGGCAGGTTCTAATGAGAAACAGCAGCCTACTCATGACAGAGGCAAAGACCACAGTGAGAATTAAAAGGCAATCTCACCCCTTCCTCCATCAGACTTCTCTTCTGCCAGACCTTGTCTTAGATACCAGGGAAGACCCCTAAAAGGGGACAGGGCCCTTCCCTGCTCATGGGGTGTATGGTACAGTTGAGGGGTTCTCGTGATGGAGGAGGTAGAATCTAAGAACAGAAACAAACCTCTAGGCAGCTGACAGGATTGGGGGGTGGAGGGAGAGCTAAGAGCTAGGAAGTTGGTGGCCCAGGAAGATTTCCAAAGCAAGGAACAAGTTGGTTCAAATGCTCTCCATTTGAAAGGGAAGATCCAGAGGCAAAGAACAAAGGATCTAAAGAAGGAGCTTTGCATGAAGTGGAGTGGGATGATGCCATGATTAAACATGCCTTGAGGAGTTGCTGAGAGGGGCAAAAGCAAGCTTTGTTCCGTATGCAGCTATACAGGCAAATGGGTGGTGCTGATCAGCTGATGGCCACAGTGGACACTGTTCCCACTGGGCAGCAGGTCTGAAGTGGGTACTGCTACTAGACAAGGAAAGGTAGAGGGCCCTGCCCAAGTCAGAAGGGAAAAGAGGAACACTGAACATTGTTCCCACAGAGGGCCCAGATCATGGAGGGGTTTCAGGTGTAGTGGGACAAGAATGGAGAAGAGTTTGAAGGGGGGCAGCTGCTGCCACAGTGCAGGACTGAAGATTGCGTTCCAGAAGAGGATGGGGGAGGGCCCTCCTAGCAGCCCTGGACCTCCTTCCATTTCTCCTGCAGCTCACCTCAGACTCCAGGAAGATGCTGCGCTTCTCTTTGCTCCCAGTCTTGATGCTTTTTCCCTTGCTTAACTTCTGCTCAGGGATGGTCACTTCTAAGGCCAGAAGAGAAGCCAAAATTCACAGTGCAGACCTCTGATACCGCCCAGGCGCCACAGAGAAAATGGACCAGATGAGCCAAAGACCCTAAACTCCAAGAACTTTGGGTTTGGGTACAATAGAAACAGCTGCAAGGGGCCCCGGCTAGGTAGGCGGGTTCCTTTTCTGAGGACAAGGCCACAGAGGACTAGTCCCTGAGAAATGATCTATGGAGGGTAGCCAGGTGGTGGTTCTCTCTATATCATCTCACTGTGAGAAAGAAATAAGGCCCAGAGAGAGAAAAAGGGAGAGATAGTTAAGACCTGCCTTTGGCAGACACATCCAGACCAAGAACAGCCTCCTGCATTCTGCCCACCCAGCACACTTCCTTCATCCACACAGGAAAGGTACCCAGAGGGTACTCACACTTACTCCCTTTCCCTGACTTCGTGGCGTCTTCTTTCTTGGAGGCTCCTTGAGTGGGTGATTGCCCAGACCCTGACTTCTCATCTTTTTTGACCACTTCCTGTGAAGGGTATAAAAAGAGAGATGAAAGTCCTACCTCCCAGGTGGATGGACAGCAGGTATGGGAAGGCCCTGGGCCTGAGGGGGACCTTTAAAGGCCATTTGGCCGCCTTCTTTCTACCACCTCTGTACAACATGAGGGCTCCTCCCATTCCATCCAGCACCCAGGCTCTTTCCCCCTGCACACCTACCCCTGGCTTTTCCTTTTTCTTGCTCAGGCCCTTAGGGGTTTTCATTGCCTGCATCTTTTCTGGCTTGTCCACCAATGCAATACTGCTGACTCCAATCATCTGAGACTTCTCTCGGGAGTCCCCGTGTCGAGAGGAGGAAGGCTGTGCTCACAAACAGGAGGGGGTTGAGGAAGCAGTTAGAGTCCTTCTTCAATGGGGGAACACAGATAAGCCTATGCTTGAGTAGTTGTTGGGACTAACAGCACCCACCACCCATCTCCCTGCCTAAATGTTAAAACAATTGGTATAGGACACCTCTGAGCCAAGGAGCTGTTGGTAAGAAATAGCAGAGGTATGGGGGATGGGAAAATTAACTGAGGAGGAAACTGCAGCTAATTTCATTTTATTTTTGCAATGCTGGGGATTAAACCCAGGGCCCGTGCATGCTAGGCAAGTACTCAACCACTGAGCCATATCCCCAGACCTTGTTTGATTTGTTGCTGTTTTGTTGGTTTGACTTGGTGGGGGTGAAGGGGAGTGTTGTTGTTTTAAAGTGTAGCCCATGCTGGGCACCAGTGGCTCATACCTGTAATCCTAGCTACTCAGGAGGCAGAGATCAGGTGGATCAAGGCCAGCTCAGGGAAATAGTTCAAGAGACCCTATCTCAAAAACAAACCATCACAAAAAAGGGCTGGTGGAGTGGCTCAAGGTGTAGGCCCTGACTTCAAACACCAGTACCACATAAATAAATAAATAAATAGTGTAGCCCAGGCTGATCTTGAACTTGTGATCCTCCTGCCTCCGACACCTGAGTACTGGGATTATAGATTGCACCACCACGTACAGTGAAAAACTAGCTAACTTTTGTTGAGCTAAGTGCTAGGTACTATTCTAAATGCATTACATTAACTAATTCATTTAACCCTCTCAGTTTTATGAAGTAGGTAACAATTATCCCTGTTTACAGTTGAGGAACCTGGATTTCTAGTCCAGGCGGTCTGAATCTAGTATCTTTTCTCTTAATCAATACATCTACTGCACACAGGGTGGCTCTGAAGTTAAGAGGCCATCAAGAAGGGACTTGGCAAACATTAGGTAGATTTGTGCAGAAACTTGTCAAGAGCCGTGCCCAGAGGGTCAGGAGAGAGAGTAGAGGCGTGGCCAGCGTGTTGAAAAGCAGCTGACCAAGAAGTAGGCTCTCAGCTGTCCTGAGGTCAAGTGGCTCCTCACCGAACGCGACCGTTCCTGTGATCCTTTCTCCAGCAGGAGGCGCCGGCGTTCCACCACCTCCGTGTGCGTCAACTCAAAAGGGCGCAGGACCTAGGGCGCGGCCCACACCTCTTGGTCAGGTGACGCAGGGGTAGGGGTGGGGGCGGGGGCGGAAGGCGGAGAAAGAGGCAGGGGGTCAGCTCCCCGGCCCCGCCCAGCCGGTACACACCTCAGCCAACTTCAGCGCACCCTTGTCCTGAATACGGTTGTGCGCCAGGGACAGCCAGAGCAGCGAGCGGTTCAGCCGCAGGCCCTGCGGAGCGGAGGGGCGCGTGAGCCGCAGGCGAGCTGCCCTGCTCCGGGTGGACCCAGTCCCGCTGCCCACGTACATCTGCAATGTAGCCCGCGCCCTGGTCCCCGATGTGGTTGAAGCCCAGGTTCAGCGAGACAAGGGTCCGGTTGCAGGTGTGCAGCGTGGACAGCGCCTGTCCCAGGAGCCGCGCCCCATGATCGTCTATGTTGTTGTTGCGCAGGGACAGATGGGCGATCCTGGAGTGGCGGGAGAGTGAGAGTCACTGGAAACGAGGAGAACCGTGGGGCACTCAAGGCAATCGGAGCTTAAGGACATGAGGGGGGCCGTCTAGTACGAAGAGGGAGAGAAAGGGATAGGAGGGCCCCTGAGGAAATGCTGAAGGGACAGGAAAGATGGGAACTAAAGATGAATGACTTGGAGTAGGGGACAGGCCCAGAGAAGGGTAGGTGAGGGCAAGCAGTCTTACGTGCTGTCCGACGCCATGAGCTTGTGAAATGACTGCTCTGGCAATGGATTCCCCTCCAGAGACACCTTCCTGCGGGTGGGAGGGATCTGAGAAGTAGGAGGACCCAGTTCTGAGGTACTACTGAAGCCAGGCAAGGGAGGGGACCAAGAAGAGGGGTAGGTCTCTGGGGAGCAGCCAGGAAAGAATCAAAGGGTGCTCCCCTCCTTCCTATGTAGGAAATGTGTGACAATTCCCAAGCTAGAAATCCAGAAGTGTGGCCATGTGAAGGGGCCACTCCCCAAGGGTGGCCTGTGGTGAGGTGGTCTCTAAGATGACTTTCAATGATCTCCACCTCCTGATACTCAGGCCCTGTATAATCCTCTCCCTTTTAGTGTTACCAGACCTAATGACTCACTTCTAATGAACAGAATATGGGATGTCACTTCTAAGTTTAAGTTGTAAGGACTGTGACTTTCATCTTGGGTGCTCCCTGCCACTGTCACCAGCTGCCCTGTCATGATGACACCCAGCCTATGGAGAGGACCACAATCAGTCACATATGTGAGCTTGGAAGCAGATTTTCACCATCTCACCCTGAGATGACCTCAGCTCCAAAAGCTTTGCTGCAAGCTCAAGACAAACCCTTAGTCAGAAATACCCAGCTAACCTTCAACCTGACAATCTCACAGAAACTATAAGGTAAATGGTACTGGCTTAAGCCACTCAATTTTGGGAATGTTACACAGCCATAGACAAATTACTTCAGGTCCCTTCCACAAGGCAATGGCTCCACTAACAATACTGAGAAAATGGAGGTCTTTTCTAAGTTACAACAAAACTTGCATCAGTGGCTTAGAAAGTTCTCTAGTTGGGGGAGATAAAGGAGAATGGTGGAGGGGGTGAATTCAAGTATGACATATTTGGTATATTGTAAGAACTTTGTAAATGCCACAGTGCACCCCACCCAGCACAACAATAAATAAATAAAAGGGGGGATTTTAAAAAGAAACATTTTCTACCATGACTTATAATTTTTCCTTAGCCTTTCAGGCTGCCTTGTCTTTCACAAAATTTAATTCATTTTAAATTACTTTTATGCTGATAAGACTTATTCTTATATAATGAATTCATATAGTTGTTTGTCAACTAGCTGAGTTGTTTCTAGTTCCCATAATGGAATGAAATGTGTCTCTACACAAAGAATGCTGGGGAACCAGATAAGGAAAACATAGTTCCTGCCCTCAGGGAGAGTCCAACCCACTCACAGAAGGAAGACCTGCAAGTCCCAGGGTACAGCACTGACTACTTTCTGCCAAGCAAGAACAGTCAAGAATGCTGTGGGAGCCTCAAGAAGGGCAGGCAGCCAAGTCAGCTTTGTCCTTTACTCACCAAACTGCAGCTATAGTAGCTACCTCACACCTGGCACACGCTCCCTCCAATTCCACCTCCAAGCAGCCTTCAAGGTTTTCCTGCCCCATACCCGTAAGATGGGAGGCTCTCCTCCCCTGTGAACTATTTCTCCACTTCCACAGTCCCCATACTATACTTTTACTTCTCTCTCCTGTCTCCTCTCTCCCCTCTGCCCTCTTCTCTCTCTCTCTCTCTCTCTCTCTCTCTCTACTTTGAGTTCCTGCAGTATAAGAATGGTGTCTTACCAGCCCCCATATTGGGCCAGGGCACAAGGGAGGTGACCTCCAAGGACTGACGGAGAGGAGAGGGGATGAGGCCTCAAAAATTGGGCTTTCTAGATGTTGCATGGGCCATTTCTCAGGTGGGAGCTTCCTGAGCCAGTAGACTCTGGCTGAGCCTAATTTCTACAGAGATGTCAGTCTGGCCCACAGGAACTGGGATCCTACTCAAACTGCTCCCCTCCAATGCCCACCCAGCCAGGCTGTGCAAGACCCTAAGGACCTCTCCCTTCTGCTGACCTGAGCGTGGATGAACAGAGAGGCAGGAGGCTGATGAAGGTGGTCAGGGTCTTATCAGTCAGCCCCACCTTCCAGAAGCTGGAGTTGGGAAGCACAGAAACAGCTGGAGGTCACCTCCGATTGGAAACCCTTCTGCACAGTCCTCCCAGACACACCTTTCCCTTGTTCCCATCCCCACCGTCCCAGGTCCATCTGCTCTCTCTCCCAAGTCACCGGGAGCACCAGCCCCCACATCTCCCCAGTGCCCCTCACTTGATGGCCTGCAGCTGGCTAAGGGGGGGTAGGCATTTGGAGAGGATACCCAGGATCCGATCGTCAACCCTCCAACCTGCGGAGGGAGCGGAGGAAGGCGCCTCAGAACTGGCAGGAGCCAAGGCAGCAGGGCGCAGCGGGGTGGGGCCTCACCGCGAATAAAAATCTCCTTCACCAACTTGTTGTCCTCTTGCTCCAGCTCCACCTGGATGGTGGGCCGAAAAAATACGTATTTGCTCTCCAGGCTGTTGAGGCTGCAGGATGTCGACAGCCGCTGGTCGTCTAGAAGGTAGGGGTGAGGAGGGACAGGACAGAGCCACCGCACCGGGTTCTAAGCCCCACTGGCCCATGGGGAGAGGCGGGGAGGGCGGCCACGCGCGGACTGGATGGGACACCTTGGAAAAGAGAATGGACCCCCCACCATCTCCCTGTCCGCGCCTCGGAATCCCTCTACCTCATTCACACACACACACTCCACACTGCGTCCCCACCCTTCGGCCCGGCCAGCTGTGCGAGAGAAAGCTAGAGGTGGACTGTATGTAACCCTGATAAGCACCCGGGGTCTCCACTGTCACTCACCTTGGGTGGGCTTTTCTGACAAGGAGGCCGAGGGAACAAAGATCGGGTGGGGGCGGGGTCGGACGACAACCTTGGGGAAGTCCGTGTAGCCCAAGCGCGTGCAGAGCTCTGCAAAGTCGGTCTCGAGGACCCCGGTGCACTGGTACTCCTCTGCGGGGACCCGCAGGAGGGTGAGTGCACCCCGCCTGCAGGATCAGCCCGCCGCCGCCAGAGGGCAGCAGAGCCCGAGACGCCCGCCCTGCGTGCCCACGCCCACCCGCAGCCGCTGAGACGCCACATCTTCGCAGGCGTTTAAAAAAGTAAGCTGCTTTGCAAAGATCTACGCGACATACACTTGAGAGGAGACAGTGAGGAAGCAAGAGTTCACAGAAAGAGCTTGAAAGGAAGGCAAACTGGAGGCCTGAGATGCGCTGGTTCCTCGACTCACCCCCTGGGTCAAGATCCTGCGGGGGTCTCAGCCTCTCCACAGGGTGTCCCTCACAAATGTTATTGAACCCAGTCCTCTCCCATGGGGTACCACCTCTCAAAAGGCAGAACTGATCTCTCTAACCAGAGCCCTTACCCTAGCTGAGGGAAAGACAGCCAACATCTTTACTGACTCTAAATACGCTCACCACATTGTACACCATCGTGCAGCTGCTCTCTGGGAGGAAAGGGGCTTTCTCACCACAAAGGTCACGCCCGTCACCAACGGGCCTCTAATTGTGAAACTGCTAAAGGCCTCTTACCTTCCCCCAGAACTAGCAGTAACCCATTGCAAGGGACACCAACCAGAAACTACAGAGACTGCCCAGGGCAATGCCTTTGCTGACAGAGAGGCAAAAAGGGCTAGTGCTCAGACTCCCCACACTGCACTTTTCATAACTACTCCTAAGATAAACACTACTTATACATCAGAAGAGCAAAATAGATTTATAAATCTAGGAGCCCCACCAGGTTCACAAGGATGGTTCCTTTTAAATGGAAAACATGTTCTCCCCAACACACAAGCAGAGGGGGTTCTAAGGGCCATTCACAGAACCCTTCATATTGGCGCTAAGCCCCTTCTCCACTCTCTTCAGCCTTTATTCTTCCATCCTTCCCTCCATCTCTCATAAGAAAGTTACCCAAGAGTGCCCCACCTGTGCCCAGGTTCCCCCAGGGTGGCCTGAGACACCCCCTTCCTTCTCTGCTCACCAGCTCCAGGGCTCCATACCAGGGGAAGACTGGCAGATTGATTTTACCCATATGCCAGCTCATAAAAAACTTAAATATTTATTGACCTTGGTTGACACCTTTGCTGGATGGGTTGAGGCTTTTCCTACTTCAGGCGAGTCAGCAGACATAGTGTCTACCCACTTAATCAATGACATTATCCCCGCTTTGGATTGCCTCGGACTTTACAATCTGATAATGGTCCTGCTTTCATCTCAAAGGTGACCCAAATTGTCTCCTCTACCCTGGGTGTGGCCTGGAACCCACATATCCCTTATCACCCTCAATCATCAGGAAAAGTGGAGAGAATAAATGAAATAATAAAAAAACATCTAAAAAAACTCTCCATTGAGCTCCACTTACCCTGGACTCAGCTCTTGCCCTTAGCTTTGGCCACCCTCTGAAGCCCTTCTTCTTGAGCCCTTTTGAAATAATGTATGGCCACCCATTTCTCTTAGGAAACTTGCCTCCAACAGATACTGCTCCTTTGGCTGACTATCTATCTGCCTTACCTTAACCTTCTCAGGGAACTTCTCAGACAGCATGCAGACCAGATCCTGCCCCACCCTATAACAACTTCTGTTAAACCAGGGGATCTTGTTCTCCTCAAGGATATTCGACCCTCTCCACTGGAACCTCGGTGGACCAGCCCTCATCTGGTCATACTCACAACGCCCACTGCTGTCAAGCTCAACGGGATCCCCCAGTGGCAGCATCTTTCAAGGATAAAACTTTGCCCTCCAACTTCAGACTCTTTCACTACAGCAAAGGATGAGTACTCTTGAGTACTGCTAGGGAGAGTTTGCTCTCCCACAAACTCTCTCCCTCTTCCACTCCTACATAGCTCTTAGTCCTCATCTGGCTCTCAATTTTCTGCCATAGGTGAATTTACCAACAATTGGCCTTGTCTGCAAATGAAGCTTGGGCAAAACCATCAGCCTCACTCCCAGGGACCTCACAAATTTCCAAATTCCAGCCAAACCCCCTTTAATGATGCCCCCACTAAGCACAAAGCAGCTAGATCAATTGGCACCCATAATACCAACAAAAGGCTGGAATGTTAGGTCCCTGGCATTCTTGGGGCAGGTGGAAGTTCCCAAGGCTAGCACTGAAACCAGACCCCCTGATTTATGACCGCCTGCCAAACTCCCCTGCTTGTTTCCCTGCTTGCAAAATCTCAGGAGCTTCCAGTTACTCAACTAGCCAGGCATGTCGACTGTTCCATCTGGTGATCACAGATAATCAGAGACCAGAGACTCTCTCCCTCCCCCATGGCTTGTCCCCTCCTATAAAGCCCACTACCCATTCCAGCCAACCTGCTGCGCTCTGAACCTGAGGGTGACAGCCCTTTGGTCTGGCCCCTAATAAATCTCTCTTTTCCACACATGGCATGGTCTTTATTGGGCAGCTCCTAACACTAGCCTCTGCCCTTGTCCCCCTTCCCAGTCACAAGTTTTCTCCCCCTCACAGCCCCCCACACCTAAGTCCAGCAATGCTTATTTAACAAGATATAGATGATAGATAGATAGATATTATATCTCCCTAGTATCCAGCACTGTTCTAAAGTCTTTAGAAATTAATTATAAATTAATCCATAAGTTATTTTAATTCAGACATGCCCAACAGTTCCCATGTGGAGATATCTCTGCAAGCCAGAGTCATCTGAGCCTCAAGAGACCCCTGCTCTTTTTAGTTTTCCCCATGGGTATCCCAGGAAGAAGTGGTTCCTGGAAATAGGAAGGGGAGTCCCTGCCAAGTGCCACAGCCAGGAGCTCCACAGCAACACCACCCAAGCCACTGACTGAGGTGCTGCCAAGGTTGTGCACAGCCTCCTGGGGCTGAGCAATAGGGAGCCAGCACCACGGTGTGACAGAGCCTGCAGAAAAGCTTGAGGGTTTTCTTTTTTTTTTTTTTTGTGGTACTGGGAATTGAAGCCAGGGCCTCATGCTAACCACTGAGCTACATCCCCAGACTGGTTAGAGGTTTCTTGGGGAAAGGGATGAAAGGTACATTTTTCATGTACCCAGCCATCAGTGGGAACCCAGGCACACAGGTGCTTCACTTACATCTCCCTTCTCACAAATAGAAATCCTTAAATTTAACATCCTTATGGATCACCAGGTGGCCTGTTAAAACAGCTTCCTGGGCCCCAGCCCCAGAGACTCTGATTCTTGGGATCTCCTGTACAACTTTGTTCAGTTGTTCACTACTAGACAGTGCAGCTCAGAAAGGTGCTTGCTTTGGACTGGGATCATGGTTAAGTGGTAGAATACCTGCTTAGCAAGCCTGAGGCCCTGAGTTCAATCCCCAGTACAAGGAAAATTTAAAAAGAGCTTGTTCCTACTCTCCTCCCTTCCACACTCCTTTCTCATGCAACAGTCTCAGCACATAGCTTTTGTTTGTTTTTTGCTGTTTTTGTTTTGTTTTTGCAGTACTGGGATTTGAACTCAGTGAGTCATCTTGAGCCACTCTACCAGCCCTTTTTTGTGATGGGTTTTTTCGAGATAGTCTTGTGAACTATTTCCTCAAGTTGGTTTCTAACCTCCATCCTCCTGATAGCTGCCTCCTGAGTAGTTAGAATTACAGGCATGAGCCACCAGTGCCTGGTGTTTTTCTTTGTTTGTTGTTGATTTTGTTGTTTGTTTTTTCAGTACTGGGTTTGAACTCAGGGCCTCACTCTTGCTAAGTAGGCACTCTACCACTTGAGCTATTCCACCAGCCTTGTTTTTTTGTTTTGTTTTGTTTTGTTTTATGGTACTGGAGTTTGAACTCAGGGCCTACACCTTAAGCCAATCCACCAGCCCTTTTTTGTGAAGGGTTTTTTTCAAGATAGAGTCTTGCAAACTATTTCCTCAGGCTGGCTTTGAACTGCTATCTCCTGATCTTTGCCTCTTGAGTAGCTAGGATTACAGGCGTGAGCCACTAGCGCCTGGCTAGCATATAGTTTCTTGAAGAACAGAAGCCATCAGATGGAATTTCTTCTAAACCTACACATCTTCCTACATCAGCCATTGTTCTCAACCCCATGTGAGCCCCCACCAGAGCACCCAGTGGCGCCTGCTAAAGCGACCATGACCCTCATGTTGTCCTATTCAGAGTCCCTGTGCAGTTGCCACTTGAATTCTCCCCAACTCTCTGCCAAAGCTCAGGCTTCCCGGCCAGCCCAGCGCATTCTTCTCTGCAACCTCTTGGCTGGGTCCAGAGCCCTCCTCTTCTCTGCTTACACTCTCTCTCCCTGGGGCACCTTCATACCCAGGACTTAAGCATGGCAAAACATTAGCAGCTCCCAAAGCTACTTCTCTATCCACCTTTCTCCAGGACTCCTAGGCTCCTTGAAGCCCAGCCTTGCATGCTCCTTCTTCCAGCCTTCCCTCCCAGCCAGCACCTAGTCCAGAAACATGGGAATTATTCCTGCTAAGTCTCTCACTCTCCACCCTATCCAATCTTTGACCAACTCATTACGCCCACCTCCTGGGGCCTAACCCTTCACCTCTCTGCCCTCTCCCTGCCCTGTCCCAACTGCCACCATTCCTGGACCTGGCGGGATAGTCATCTTCCCTCTCTCCTCCCCTCCACTCTATTCTCCATACAGCAGTCATAGTAGTGTTTGGTTTTTCTTTCTTTTTTGCGGTACTGGGGCTTGAACTCAGGGCCTACACCTTGAGCCACTCCACCAGCCCTTTTTGTGTTAGGAATTTTCAAGATAGGGTCTCAAGAATTATTTTCCCAGGCCAGCTTCAAACCACAATCCTCCTGATCTCTGCCTCCTGAGTAGCTAGGACTACAGGTATGAGCCATTGGTGCCTGGCTTCCTTTTCTTTCCTTGAGACAATGTAGCCCAGGTGGACCTTGAACTCAAGATCCTCCTGCCTCAGCCTCCTGAGTTACAGGTGTGCACCACCATGCCCAGAGGATTCTATTCTATCCTGTCTTTCCTCCTGGAAGATACTCTTCCTCCTGCTGTCATAATACTTTATACCCGCCCCCACACACACCAGGCACCAACAATGACAGGGAGATAGCACCCAGCCAGGGTGAATGGACAATCAGCGTTTTCCCAAGTTGTTTTACCTCCATTCCAGGGACGGCAAGTTTCTGTCCCTCTCTGATTGCAAAGCTGTCAAATTTATATACAGAAGCCTTATGAGCTGGCGGAGGCTCAGCAAATGAGAGGCCCACAATACAAACCCCAATACCACTCAAAAAAAAAAAAAAAGCTGGGCACCTAGCTCACACTGTAATTCCAGCTACTTGGAAGGCTGAGATAGGGAGGACCCCAGTTTGAGTTCAGCCCAGGCAAACAGTTCAAGAGTCCTCATCTCCAAAATAAGCAAACCAAAATGGACCCGAGGTGTCAAAGCCGAGTTCAAACTCCAGTTCCACCAAAAAAAAAAAAAAAAAAAAGCCTTCCAATAAATTCTTCTTTGTGCCTAATTAGTTCAGGTTGAGACTCTTCTCACTTGCAACTAAAAGAGCCACACTCCTACATATATGATTCTCTGTTTTTCTCCCAGAAAAGGTTAATTCCATGAAAGCAGGACTGTGTCTATGTGTTCTTCCTCTGCATCAGACTCAGCTCAGAACAGACATTTAAGTCCTAATTGTTGCCAGGAATGGAGATGATGCATGCTTACAATCTCAGCACTGAGACAGGATGATTGTGAGTTTGAGGCCAGACCGGGCTATGTAGTGAGACCCTGTCAAGAAAGAAAGAAAAAGAAAGAGAGAGAGAGGAAGGAAAGAAGGAAGGAAGGGAGGGAGGGAAAGAAAGAAGGGAGAGAAAGAAGGAAAGAGAAAGGAAAAGAACTGTTGAATAACTTAATGAGTATCTATAAAACTCTGCTCAAAGGCCCCTCTTAGTAGCCCCCTTTCTTCCCATCACCTCCTGGGCCTTCTTCTCATACATCTTATCACATTTTATTGTACTTGTCAGCATCCCAAAACAGAGTTCGTTAAGATCAAGTTCAACGGAAACATCTACCAGCTGGGATTCAGAACTCCGCCTGGCTAACAGCGCAGTGAGTGGCAAGTGGCTCAGAGCTACAGCCTGGGGGTTGGGTCCCCGAACCCCTCCTCCAGCGTACCAGGGTTTTTGGATTCCTCCTCGCCTACCGGCGGCAGGACGGCCCCCGGCTTCTCCTTGGCTGCGCGCTCGCCCTTCTTGGTCGCTGAGCCGGACGACTTCTGGGTCCCGGGACGTGGGACCCTGGGTGAGGTCCCTGGAGCGCTCAGCTCGTTCGACATGCTGGTGTCTCTGGGACCCTCTTGGGGATGGGAAGGGGGTACGGGACTCTGTGGCTCACCCTGGGGATGGCTGAATCAGGGATCTCTGTTCCGCGTTTACCCACCGGGTCCGACCCGCCAGTGGCAGCGGGGCCTGCGCGTCCCTCTCCAAGACAACGGCGCCTGGGGTGGGCGGGCCCGGCCCGGCCCGGCCCGCGGCCCCGGCAACCGCTGAGCGCACGCCTGGCTGGCCACAGCACCGCAAGGTCAAATCCGCTGAGGCAAAAACCGCGTGGGTGGAGCCGGTCGGGCCCGGCCGCAGGGGCGGGGCTAGAGCGGAAGGGAAGGGCGGGGCCAGGGCCACCTCCGCAGGTTACTAAAGAGGCAGGTCTGGAGAGTTGTATGCGAAGGTGGAAGGGCGAGGGCCGTCTAGGACCTGGGCGGGGCCACGGCAGAGGGAGATGAGTGACTCTTAGAGCGAAGGGTGTGAAGGTAGAGCGGGAGTCTGGCACTCGAAGACACCCAGGGAATTGAGCCTGGGAGCAGGGGCCGGACCAGGCGTGGTATAAGGATCATGGTAGGCGGAATCCAGGTAGGAGCAGGTCCACTCTCCAGGGTCCACCCACCTATGTATGTATGACACCAGTGGGTGTGATGCTAAATTTGTCTCTATTTACCCTCCTGGAGGTCTGAGGACTAGACTGAGTGAGTTGAGGAGTTCATATCTATAAGAATCTCTCATTTGGTCTGGCAGAGTGACTCAAGCGATAGAGTGCCTGCTTAGCAATTGTGAGGCCTCGAGTTCAAACCCCAGCACCAAAAAACCCTAATTCAAAGTTCTCACCTGAAGACTTTTCTAAACGGATGGCTCTACCCTGCTGGTCCCCTTTGAGTGTACTTTCTGCCTCCAGCCTGCGCAGCCATCTGCTCCAGCACCTTCAGCCTTTGTGCAATTCCCCTAGAAAAGGCCATCTTTGAGGAAGCTTCAGGACCTAGGCAGTCTGTTCACTTGGAGAGCACACAATTGGCCCATGTGTCTTGTCACTGGTACTTTAATTCACTCAGTCACTCAGTCTTTTGGGGAATATTTATTGAGTGCCTACCATGTGCCAAGGGAACCAATAGCATAAACATGAGTCCCGCCTTCAGGGAACTTACAGTCTAGTGGGGAGGCAGAGATTAACCTAACAACAAGTAAGTGCAGTGCCTGGCAACCAGCAGGCCTTCTGCAGGTTCCTGGAGAACGAACACAGCTGCCATCTGTGCTATGGAGAGGGACACAGAGCACGGTGCTTCCCTGAGGAAAGGAGTGAAGGACAAGCAGGAGTCAGCAGGTGACTGGAGAAGAACACACACTGTAGATGTGGAAGAAGAGTGGCAGACGACAGCACCTAGAGGCCAGAGTGACAAGTGTAGTGACAGGTGTCCCACACCTAAGGTGAGGTTAGAGAGACAGTGAACCAAACAACAGGGCTTTTGAAGTCTTTGAAAGTTTTGACTGGCCCCAGATCAAAGGAGCACCCAGAAAGCACTGAAGACTTGTGGGCAGGGAGCAGCCAAGCCCACCTGCCCACCTGTATTTTGAGTAGCAGGATCAGAAGTTACCAAGTAAATGTCAGGAGGCCAGTGAGGGGGCTACCATTAGAGATAAGTGGGCTGCTTCCTGGCTACATGGTAAGTGCCTGAGGGCAGGACCTGTGCCTGGTACCCCCTCTGAAACCAGACAGACAGACACATTACACACACACACACACACACACACACACACACACACGCATGCATGCATGCACGCAGGCACACAGGGCCTGGGCATGCACAGAAAAGGTACCCAATACACATTTTAAAAATCAATCTGAAATCAGTTATCCAGCAACATTCAAAATACCAGCTTATGCACATGGGGCCCTGGGGGCCTTGGGGAGCAATGGGTTGTGAAAAGAGATCCAATTACAGCACCTCCCCTAATGGAACCTGGGAGCAAGGCTCCCCTCTCTTCATTCACTTCCTTCATTGATATTTTCGAATTCATGGCCTGCCAATCCACTCCCTGCTCCTGGCTGGAGACACAAGGCTCTGTCTGCAGCCTCAGGCAGCAAAGGCCAGGTATGCTGGCATACTATCCTGGCTCCTCAACGGTCCTGGCGCCAAAGTGGGGGTGATGGCGGATGCCGTACTGGAGGCAGGTCATAGTGTCCAGGGATGTGGCTGTTCTTTGGTGAGTCGTAGTGGCCAGGGGGCAGGCCTGGAGAAAAAGAGGGCTGAGAGCCCACAGAGTCTCGATCTGCAGATAAAAGGGACAGGATAAGAGGGAGCTAGCTACTTGGCCTTCCATGGCTAACCTCTCCCTCCAGCCTCTTCTCCCTGAAGAAAAGTGGATGGTGCCAGGAAATGGCTGGTTCCCACTGCTTGGCTGTGAGGCTCTGAGCAGAAGCCTTCAGCTCCTCAGCTGCTAAATAGGGAGGCCACCTAAGCCTGCCCATCCGACTCAGCAGAGGTAGGCATACCATACTGCAGACAAGGAAACAGGCTCTATGGGGCGATTTGACTTCCCCAACATCATACCAAGTCTCACTCCAAAGTCTTGCTCTTGCTGCCACCACCTGTTCTCTCTCTCTGTCCCTTCTCACCTCCCTCCCAGTTCTCTCTGGGGAGAGGGAGAGCTCACCATGGGTCAGAGGATTAGGCTGCTCATAGGTGCCACTGTCTCTCTGTGACTGGCGGTGCTGCTGTCTTAAGCCAACCCGAAGCTGTAGAGGCTGTCTCGGGGGAGATCCTGAGGGAGGGCCTTTCATCTCCACATAGCTGCTCTCCCGGAGGCCACCTGGCAGGCTGGGCAGGTCCCGGATGGTGGCATAGGGGTTCTCACTGCTCAGGGAAGCCATGCTGGCCCCCAGTCCCTCTTCAGAGACAGGTCCTAAGAAAGGAGGAAAGAAGTCAGGCTTGATGGAGGTACTTGTTCATTTCGTTTTGGCTTGGTTTGGTTTGAGACAAGGTCTCACTATATAGTCCAGGCTGGCTTCAAACTTGAGATCCTCTTTCCTCAGTCTCCCAAGTGCTGGGATTACAAGCGTGTGCCATGACACCCAGCGGCACTGGCTTCTGTAACCAGCTCAACACCTCCCTCATTGCTCCTCTTCCCATACCTTTATTATAGAATGGGCCTGGGCCATTAGTGTGGCTGTAGTTATAGCTGTAGCTTCGGTCCAGGCGGCTGCCACCTGAAGAGGGGGAGGCAAGTCACAGTCAGATCCCTGGTCTCCTCCTCAGGCTCTAGCCCCTTCTAGAACTGGACCTGAGTCTCTTTCTCCACACACACTCTGAGATGGAGTAGCAGGCTGGGCTGCACACACCCACTGTCTCCTGGGGCCTTGGTCTTCAGGCACCTACCCCTGTCCAGAGGCCCAGGAGGGGGCTCCCGGCGGTGCTTCCAGTCAGCAGGCAGGGTGGCATGGTTATCATGCCCATGGGCTCCACCTGGCCGATCAGGCACCTGGAGACTGGCAAAAAGCTGACTTCCTGGAACCTGAGGGGGACGGTGCCATAAGAAGAACACACACAAGGATAGGGCTTTGCAGAGAACCAGGTCTGTGCCCATCCCTCTGCAGCATATCCCCTCCCCCGGCACTGACCTTGTTGGGGGGTGGAGGATTAGGAGAGCACTGAGACAAGGTGTGGTAACTGGGGTTGGAGTAGTAGTGACTATAGCTTGGAGGGACATCTGCAGGACAGACACAGGCAAAGGATAGCTCAGAGACAACCTAGGGCCCCTAAAGAGTTGTTCTGTCACAGGGGATCAGTAATTTGAACTCCCTGACCTCCCTCCCTCCCATCTGTCCATGGGATCATGCCCAGCACCCCACTGTCCACCATTTGTCTGTGCCTGATGTCCCCATGCCGGCTCACCTGGCATGACATACTCAGAACCATCCAGCCTCCCAGTGCTGTAGGCCACCGCCAAATGTTGGTGCTCCTTGCCCTTTTGCCAATGGCGGTAACCAATGAATAGTGCTACCAGGGCCACCACAAGAGACCCCAGAACTGCAATGCCAATCACTGCACCCAGTGAATTATAGGCCACAGGAGGGGTAGGCATCATGGTGAAGGGCTCCTGGCTTCCTGTGTGAGACATGATGGGCACACAGGATAGCATCTGGGCTCTGTTGGTGAGCTTGGGTGTGTACGAGGGAGAGGCATCCAGTCGGGAGGTAGGAATGGCAAGAGGGACTTAGGTCCTAGCTCCCTGGGGACAATGGGGATAGAGGGGTCCAAGAACTCACCAGTCCTGCAGACTGTACCACTCTGTCCCAGGGGACACACACAGACCCCTGTCTCTGGGTGGCACCTCTCTCCTGGACCGCACTGGCATGCTTGAGAACAGTTGGCACCAAACATCTCTGGTGGGCAGCCTAAGAAGAGAGCCAAGGGGCAAGCAGGAATCACAGGGGCCAGGAAGCTACAGTCTCCTCCTTAGTCAGGACATAGTTTGGTTGAGGGCACAAGGATGGAGTTCCCCTTTTGTTAGTACCTTCCAAGCAGTGGGGTCCAGTCCAGCCTGGAGTGCAGATACAGTTTCCATCCTGAGGGTAGCAGGTCCCACCATGGTGACACAGGCAGGGCTGGGCACAGTTGGCTCCCCAGTGGCCTGGGGGGCATGCTACAGGGGACAAGGAGCCTGTCGGGCAGGGCAGGGCCATCCCCTCCTGGATGAACTCTCAGCCACCAGCATCACTGAAGTCTTTAGCCAGCCTTGTCTCCAGGGGAACACTAAGGCTTTGAATGCTATCTACACACCAATGATTCACAAATGCTTGTCTCTGTCCCTTCAAACACTTAACCCCAGACCCATGTGCCTATTCGCACTTGGCTCTCTACGAGGCATGTCAAAATAACCTGCCCAGTACCAGACAACCAAAAGGTTTCCAAACTACCCTGAACTGCTTAGCTCTGGGCTAGCTTTTGTTGTTTTATTTTGATTTTGAGACAGGGTCTCACTGTGTAGCCCAGGCTGGCCTTGAACCCTCAATCCTCCTGCCTCAGCCTCTGAGATTACAGGCGTTCACTACCCCACCCAGATCTCTGAACCAGTCTTCTTCATGATTTCTTCATGCATTTATGTGGGAAAGAGACCACATATAAATTAATAAAGATAAACTGAAAAATGTAAAAGAAAAAAAATAATATATCCAAAATGGAGCTTAAGATTTCTATTGTTTCCATGAAAATACTGCTTTTCCCAGATTTCCAATGTCAAAGAGCAGGGAATTTTTCCCCCTGGCTGGTTCAATGCTGCATCCTCAGCCCCTGAGTCAGCACACAGTGGGTAAGTGACACCCAACAAATACTTGTTTAGATTGCCCATGTAAAAAACTGAATCAAGGTGAGTTCATAGCCTTTATGCCTAGAAGCAAGGAAACAAAGACTCCCATGCCCAGCCCACCCTCTCAGCACACACAGCCACCACTCACACTGGGAGCAGTCAGGGCCTGTCCAGCCGGCCAAACAGTAGCAGGTCCCATTTGATGGGTGGCAGGAGGAGTAGTTGTTGCACTTGCAGGGCATACAGCGTTTGCCATAGCGGCCAGCCTGGCAAGCTAAGGAAGCGGGTGCATGGTGACTGGGGGCAAGGGCTCCAATCAGTCCTTGACCCACTGTCTCCCTCCCTCTTTCCCACTGTACTAACTTTCCTGAAGATGGGAATCAGAGAAAAAGACCAAGAGAAGTACGGTGGGGGCTTCTGGCATTGGATACTGCACTGAACACTGCTCCTGGTGGGAGGGGGTGTGGGGTTAGGGAGCCTCACGCCTCTGGCAGGAGGGGCCTCGGAACCCAGGTGCACACACACAGTTGCCATTCTCGGGGATGCAGGTGCCCCCATTCTTACAGGTGCAGGTGTTGGTGCAGTTGGCTCCCCAGAAGCCCTCAGGACAGGGCAGGTGGCAGCGGGTGCCTTTGGGAGAGAGCAGAAAAGTAAGCCTGGCCTGGGCCCCTGTGTTCCATGGGGGCTTTTCTGGGCTCATCTCCCATGGGATGAATCTCCCACCTCCACAGTAAGCCTAGGACACCTAGGATGCTCACCCATCCACCCAGCCTGGCATTGGCAGTGTCCATGAACAGGGTCGCAGCCATCAGAGTGGTCACAGTCACAGCGACTCATACAACCTTTGCCAAACTGCCCCTTCTTGGAGAGGGAGTGGAGAATAGATTAGGCCAGTTAACAAGGGGTAGCCTCTTCCTCCCCCCAGGCAGGCAGACTGTGAGCACTTACTGGGCAGGGCAGCTGGCAGTAGGCCCCCTGCCACCCAGGGGTGCAGGTACAGGCTCCAGTTTGGGGACTACAGACTCCATTGTGGGCACACTGGCAGCTGGCATTGCAACCGAAGCCCCAGGTTCCAGGTAGACAGGGCACAGAGCAGTTACCACGCTGCCAACCTGGAAGGAGGAGGCTCATAGGTGGGCATGGGGACCCAGCTCCACCCTGAGCAAGCACACACTAGGTGCTGGCTGTGCCAGGCTGTGTGCTATGAGCTGGGGGTAGGAGTGTGGTGCTCATGGCACCATATAAGAGACAAGCATATCAACTATTAGATGTTGAACTGCAGACTGAGAGGTTTCTAGTTGTTTCTTCTGCAAAATGAAGGAAGTTGGCAGCAAGCCCAAATGCCCCATCAGGTAACTGGGTTATTCAGGTCATATGTAAAACAATAGGAGTTGTGGTGAATGGAGACTTATGTTTGTTAAATTCAATAGAGAGCTAGCCAAACAAAACACATCTGTATCAGAATTCAGCCTAAAGATTGCCAACATGCCACCTGATAGACCTAAGAGGCCCTTGTGGCACTGTCATTTTGTTTCTGTAGGACTGAGGATGAGGACTTGTCACCAGTGAGGCACATTCTGGCCTGTGCCTTTAAGAACAAGTATACTTTTTGTGCTTGAAGAAAGGCAAAGTGGATATTCCAGGAAGGAAATAGCCTGGATACTTTCCCACAGTCTAGCTGATGCCTAGTACGCTCCGCCCCTAGCCTGAAGCCTTTTCCCTGCGCTTGGGCTGTGCCTGCCCTCGGATCCGCCCGTTTTCCCGTGGCTGGGCCTCCAAGTCGCCCCTCAGACACACGTTACCTTCCTTGCAGACACACGTGCCGTCGATGGGGGAGCAGGCAATGGCATTTTCGCATGCGCAGTTGTAGGAGCAGTTGACCCCATAGGTGTTTGGGGGACAAAGGCTAGCGCAGTGGGGTCCCTGAAAGAGGGTGGGCAGACCGGTGAGAGGGGCGGTCCGGCTCGCCGGCCTCGCCCCCTACGTCCTCAGAGCAGGGCGCGGCTCACCGTGTAGCCGGGCGCGCACCGGCAGAGGCCGCTGTCGGCCAGGCAGACGCCGCCGTGGAGGCAGAGACAGTGCTCCTGGCAGCCGGGCCCGTGCGTGTCCTGTGGGCAACTCTCGTTGCAGTGGAGGCCAGCCCAGCCCGGTCGGCACGAGCACTCACCGTTCATCGGGTGGCAGCTGTGGGCAGAGACGGGGGCACGGGGCGGGCTGAGCCGGGGCCGGCAGGCTCCTCTACCTCTCCGTGTGGTGAGAGCCGAGCACTGGAGTAAAGGGGCCACCCTAAGAGCGGAGATGGAGCAAGGAGGGGTACCCAGGCCTCTCCCCAACCCCTTCTGTGACATCTGTGCCGCCCTTAGATATAACCCCGATGGTTTTCGGGGTCAGCCCGAGGACCACTTCCTCTGATTTCCTGGACCTCTGACCACGTGTCCCGCGCCCCACCTGAGACTGTGTTCCGGGTCGCAGGTGCAGGACATCTGGCAGGTAAAGCCATAGAGGCCCTCCGGGCAGAGGCGCTCCGAGCAGCGGTCCCCGGTGAAGCCGTGTTCGCACAGGCACGCGCCGTTGGCCGGGAAGCAGCGGGCGCCAGGGACGCAGTCGCACTTCTGCGCACAGTCTTGCCCAAAGCGGCCCACCGGACACTCCTCACGGCACCTGGGCGCCACGTTGAGTAAATCTCGCTGCGCCCCACTCCACCTCCTCCTGTTTGGACTCCCACCCCCTCCGCCTCCACTACTCACCGATTACCCGTGTAGCCCGGAGCGCAGTGGCACTGCCCAGTGAATCTGTCGCAGAGGCCACCATTGTGGCAGTGACATTCTTGGGAGCAGTTGGGTCCATGGAAGCCTTCTTGGCAGGGCAGAGAACAGATGGCGCCCTGTGGAGGATGAAAGTCAACAGAACCCCAGGCACCTAACCTCTTCCCCAAGGCCACAGGACACCCACTCAAGCTTCTCCAGAGTCCCCAGAGTCCCCCCAGTTATAATATCCTCTCCTGAGCCCTGTTTAGAGCCACCCTCAGAATTCTCCCCAAACTCCCACCCCATACCCACAGGTCCCATCCTTCATACCATCCAGCCGGGTGGGCAGCTGCAGGAGCCTTGGGAGGCCTGGAAGATACCCCCGTTTTGGCAAGGATAGGTGCTGGGGCAGAAGAAGCCAGCAGTGCCCTGTGGACAGGACACATCACAGCTGCGGGACAGGGAAATGAGATCAGGGTGTAAACAAGCAATACCTTCTGCACAGAGGCCAGCCCCTAGAAGGAAATTCATCTGACCTGGGACTAATTCACACCTGCTTCTCCCTACCTAGTAGGACTGCAGGAGTCAGAAAGCAAAGGTCACCCCTGCACCAGCAAGAGCTGAGGGGAACATGTCTGATTCCCACTGACCATGCTTATATTCTCCCTCTCCTCTCCTTTGTCCAGGATGTGCCCCTCTGGGGGGACTCAGAAGGGCTTAACTCCAGAGCTCCTCCAAGAAGCTTGATCTTTGGTCTTTGCTAGGAGTGCCTTCTCCCTCTTGTGACTCTCCAGCTCCAACCCTGCCTTGGAACAGAGCCCTAGGTCCTTGTCCCAGCCTCACTTTATATATTATATTTTCTTTTAATTTAGGCCCCGTGCTTGCTAAGCAGGTACTCCGTTACTTGAGCCACTCCGTCAGCCTTTTTTTGGGTTGAGTATGTTGGTTTTTTTTTTTTTGCAGTACTGGGGTTTGAATTCAGGGCCTACACCTTGAGCCATTCCACCAGCCCTTTTTGTGTTGGGTTTTTTCGAGATACGGTCTTGCAAACTATTTGTCCAGGCTGGCCTCAAACAGTGATCTCCTGCTCTCTGCCTCCTGAGTAGCTATAGGATTACAGGTGTGAGCCACCGGCCCAGCCTCACTTTAAAACCTGCTTTCACACACATGTATTCACATATTACCATCTCCCTTCTGGGGAGACAGAACTGCTCCATGGCACAAACAGGACAAGCTCATGAAGAGTTACTCAAGGTCACTTGGATAGTATGTGGCAGAGCTGGGACTAAGATCTTAGTCTCTTAACTCCATCCCTACATTTGGGATGCTGAGTCCCCTCATCTTCCCACATATGTCTCGGTGGCCCTGTGTCTGTGACCTCACCAGTATATTGTTCTCCCTATTACACACCTGGGACCTGTTCTTTCTGGGGGACAGATGCAGGCTCCAGTCTGGGGATCACAGGGTGCCCCATGGCACTGGCAGCTGAACTGGCAGGCAGGTCCATAGTGGCCAGGGGGGCAGGCCTGAAGGCAGTTTGGGGGCTGCAGGCCAGAGGGGCAAGAACACTCCCCACTCTTAGGATCACAGGAGCTGTTGTTGCCACAGTGGCAGGGCTTGTCACATTGTAGCCCCCATACTCCTGGAGCACACTCTGGAATAAGGAAGAAGAAAGTGGTCACCAGGGACCTAGTCCCTCCCCGCCCCCAGTTAGGCCCTGTCTGTCTCCTGCCCGCCCCCCAACACACGCACACCTCCTCTGCTATATCTCTGGAGAAGGCAGCCAGTTACAATGGGTTCTGGGTAATTGGCTTGGGGTCCTGAGCACCTGTGCCCTGGGAGGGAGGCACCTGAGTCATCAGTCACTCACCACTGGAGCAATCATCACCCCGCCAGCCTGGCACACACTGGCATTGATTGGGCGCCACGCAGCGGCCATGGACACACTCCCGGGCACAGAGCGCTGGGGTAGAAACAGGGCGCATGAGACGGTGTCCCCAGCCCTGCCCCTCCCACCTTTTCTCTCGGAAGCCTCAGCCATTTTCCTCCTACACTCAGAGCCTGCAGTTCTCTAAGTACTAGTTCTGTCCTGAGGTGACAAAAGACTGAGGGGCAGCAACATAGCATCAAAACTTGACAGGACCCCAGAATTCCAGGCTCCCCAGCCCCTTTTTGAGAAATTTTCTAAGCAGCTTGTTGAGAAAATGGGGATAGGGGACCTGTCAGGTGGTGCTGGACACAGGTGTTGTCAGGGAGAGGATGGGGAGTAAAGTGAGTGTTGGGCCAGCCTGGGAGGAGCATCTGCAGGGGCTGGTGATGGGCTAGGCTGAAGGAAGGGGAGAGAGGAGGACAGTTTCAGGCCGTGGGGCACAGAGTGCTTGGGGAGCAGGAGAAACTGAATAGTAACAAGTCAGAGCTAGACAGCAACAGAGAGACAGGGATAGAAAGGGACCCAGACACCAAACCCCAAGATACACAGTAACAGGGATGCAGGGACAAAGACACAGAGACAATCCAGACAGGATGAGAACTCTGGGACAGACATAGATACCAGAGACAGAGGTTGCTCAGAGACATGGAGAGATGGGACAGGTCAGATGGAGGAGTGTGAAGTGGCATGTTGGTCAGGCCTTGGGGACCCCAGCTTCTTGGCTGTGTCAAGACCTGGACACCAGCTCTGTATCTCATCAGAGTAGCTAGATGAGTGGTATCCAGACCAAGGCAAGCCCAGCTTCCATTTCTGGCCCATCTGGTGGCCAAGAGGGCACACCTGAAGGGGCAGAGGAGTGGCCCCAACCTGCAGGGACAGGGAAGGATCAGCAAGGTGAGCTAAGCCGCTTCCCATTCCACACCTGCCCTGACCAACACAGGACTCACGGACACAGGTCCCACTGCTGTCGTAGAAGCCCTGACAGCACTGAAGGCGTGGGCGGTAGTCTGTCTTCACCACCTGGCGGTACACAGTCCGGTAGACAACCCTGGAGAACCCCAGGAAGTAGCCCTCAGTGCTCTTAGCTGAAGTCTCAATGGGGAAGGTTGGGGAAGGGGCTGCCCAACACTCTGGGCTGGGGGAGCCTAGAAAGAGTTATTTCCTCCTTGCCTCCACCAGCCACATACAAGTATGCAATACAGCACACACGCACACCACCAGATACATAACACACACATCCCGGACACATGCTTTAGGCCAAAGCTTTTCTCTGAACAACAAAGGTTCTGAGAAGAGAAGGAGGGTGTGGGGCAGGGGAGGAGGTGGGGATCAGGGTAGGCAACCCATCTGCCCATAGAGGAATTGGGCACTCACGTGGGCTGGGGACAGGTGTGGGGGCCCTCCCAGGGCCTGTCACAGGGCTCTGTGGGGAGCAGGCTGAAGGGGCGGGAGTGGGACTCCTTAGTGGTGGTGGTGAAGCTGCAAGATGGAGAGCAAGGTCAGGGCAGAGGGCAAGGTGAGGCCTGAGCTGGCACAGAGTGAGTCAGGAGGTAAAGGCAAAGGTTTGGCCACCCCAACATTTGGGCTTGCTCCTCTAAGCCTAGGATAAGGTCCTTATCCGGTCCCACCTCTCAAATCTAGAAGATCCTCCCAGAATTAGCATGTTCTCAGGACATCTCCCATCAGAGCTCCCTCTCACCCTGTGGACCAGAGCCTTCCATTTTCTCTCCTCACCCTCCCTATGTGAGAAAATTGTGCTAAGCTAGGACTGACTTCTGGTCTCAGATGATGGTAAGGGGTTGAAGCATTTCTGGCTAAATTCTGCTCTGGGTCCTATTTCCCAGTCCTGTCTCCCTTCATCCCCCTGGACCAGTCCCTCTGCTTACCTGCTCTACAATGAATGGTTCCTACCCTGTGCTCTGTCCAGCAGCCAGTTTCCCACAAGGATTCAGGGACAGAGATGGTGAAAGGACAGAGCCAGAGAAGGACAAAGACTGAGATAAGAGCAGAGATGGGGAAGGCATCAGAGGCAGCCCATGCAGAGGGAGTAGAGGGAGCAGACACAGAGTGATAGGAGGGCAGCCGGCAGGGGAAGGACCCAGGAGCAGCCCCTCAGAGACAAGCTGGAGCTTGGGCTTGATGCCCTGGCGGCAGGGCCCCCTCTCACCTTTCCCAGAAGGTGCAGGTGTTGGGATCATTGGAGTTGAGTGTTCTGACCAGCCTCAGGCTTAGGGCCAGGATAAGGAGTGGACACAGAGGTGGCAACATTACAGAGGCCTGCAACAGAGTCAGATAGAAAGCAGGTGAGCAGCACTATAGCCAGCAACCTGAGGACAGTGTGCAGGCATGCACAACAGCTCAGCCTGCTGCCTCATCAGGTCCTCTGACCCCATGCTTCCAGAATCCAGCTTCCCGAGATCTGACTCCTGGATAGGAGTCTATGCCTCAGGGACTCAGCTCATAATTGACTTGGACACCCCAGCCCTGGTTCTTCCCGGAGTACCCCTCTCTCAAAGCCTGGCTCAAGTGCCATGCTTGTTTCTCTGCTATGATCCCTGACCCCAACTGCCCTTCCATCACTTCTGGAGCACCCGCCCCCCCTCCCCAGCACCATTTACCCACATACCCCTGACCATGATCTCCAAAATCAAGAACCCAGGGACTTTAACCTCTGTATCTCCAGCCCCTAACCTAGTGCACACCCAGGACACTGTGATATTTGTATCACTGAAGGAAGTTCTGAGGGAAGCCACCTGGGCTCAGAACTTTCCAACAGGGTGGTTCAGTAAGGGAACAGGCTACTTCCCACCAGCCAAAATCACTCTGATGAGGTGCTGTCCAAGAGTTCCTGCTATATGGGGTGGGAGTGGGACTGGGTCCAGGTGACCTCATAGCCAGCTCATATGGGCTAGAAAAGGCAATTATGGACACCTCTTCCCAACTTCATGATCTGGGATGTCCCATTAGTATCTTTAAATGGGAAATAGGCGGGGGGTAATTTATTCCATAGAAATCACCACACATCACATCAAGGCCAAACTGCCCACCAGAGCCAGTTGTGAAACATTTGCCAGTCGCAAGCTTCAGGTGCTATCACTCATGGAAGCCCCCATTCTGGCCTGGGTGTATGGAAGGGCCCCACCTTCCAACCACAGCACAGCAGCCATCTGAAACAGGCTCTTCTCCATCTCAGCACCCCTGGCCTCACCCAGCGGGTGGGAAGAGGGTCAGGACTCCGGATGAGTCTTCCTGAGCTCAGGAGAAGCTGGGTGTTGGAGGCCCTCCCCCACAACCCTGGCTTTCCAATTCTGCACTTGGTGTTCCTAAAATTTACCCAGGCTCGTTGCTCTATGCCTCAAGGCATCCACATCTGCTTGTAATTTTTCTGAGAAGAGAGAAAGGTCACGGTTGCTGGCCCTTTACCCCCCTGAGTATCTCTGGAATGCTTGCTGCCGGCCCCACCCCACGCCCCCCCACCCACACATTCTGTCCTGCTTTCCGCTGTAGTCTGGCAGCCTCTCCAGGTCTCAGTCAAAGATGGGCTCCCTGCTGCACCCCCCAATCCTCCATCAATCAAATCTCATCCTTATCTTGGGGGGAGGGGAATAGCGAACTTCTCTTCGCCCCCTCCAGTCATGAAGGGCCACTGGATTCAACACACCTCCCCTAGGGCCCATGCCCACCTCTAGTCTTCTCTCTCATCCTCCTTCGGTCTCCAAGTAACTCACCAGGTAGGGCCTGGAAACTCTTGTGAGCCAGGGGACTGGCAGGAACCTGTGGGGACAGAGAGTGTCCTGGGGGATCCCAGCACTCAGAATACGGAGCCTGACTGGGATGAGGTGCAGAGCATGATGAAGTGCGGGGGAGCAGGGGGTGGGTAGCTCCACCCTCCCCCATGACCCTAAGCAGTGAGTGGGATTCAGGGAAGGGAAAGACCAGGGCCAAAGGCTTTCTTGGGCTATACTATAGCCCACACTGGGGGTTAGGGACTCAGCCCTTTGCCCAGGGAGCCAGGTCATAGTTAAGGATCCCTTTCAGATGCCCCTTATGGTGTCCCAGTGACCTTTCCCACTCCTCTTCACCCTTGGTGTGTTCAGCAGCCAGAGCCTTGCACCCAGAGATCTCTACCTCTGCTCTCCTCCTTTGCCCCTGGCATGAGGTCCCTGTGCCCAGATTGGGAGCTCAGTCTGTCTGGAGCCAAGACCATCAGCCCTGTCCCTGTGTTAGGCACCCCTAAGCCACACAGGGGCTCCTCAGGCTTCCCCCTACTCTGGATCTGTCCTCAAAGCCATGGCCATTATGGGGTGGACAAAGCCTATAGTTGAGTTAAGGTACAGATAGGGTCAGCTGCAGAGGCTCAGAGAAAGTCCTTCTGGGCTTACATCTGTGCCAGTCCCCAGACCCTGAGTAATGGCCACTGTCTCTGTCACCTCCTCCCAATCAGTTGTAGAGGAAATGGTTCACCTGTGGGCTCTGGGATGGACCTGAAGAGGATGGAGGACGCAGCAGCATGGGGAAGGGATGATTCTAATTCTGAGACTGGTTAGCCAGCAAGGGCTGGGCGAGACTGGGTTCTGACTTTCCAAGGGTCCTCAGAGTAGAGCTGCAGTGTGGAGACATCAGTTGCGAGTTCAGGGCTGGAATCCAAAGTGGAGTCAGGAGAGACCAGGGGATGGACAGGGAGGGGAGATGGGATGGGAGAGGAAGGGTTTGGCCTGATCATTCCCAGCCCCTGAGGAGGAACACAGGCTAGACCAGGAGCCCAGAGCTCTAGCCTGGCTTCCCAGACTTGTGTCAAAATCTGAGTCTTTGTCCCTGGGGAGCAAGGGCACTTGAGGCCCTGTTCCATGTGCCTCTATCCCCTTCCAGTCCCAGCAGCATTGGGTCCATGTGGTCACCGCCCCCCCTCCACAGGGTTTAGTTAGTCAACAGCTGCCCTGCCTTGCCCTGGAGCCCACAATGCACTCGCACTCGCCCAGGGCCCCCCTGACCTCCCCACTGTGGTCCACTTCTCCTCATACAACCCCACTCTCCTCCTGTTCAACACCCATCTTCCACTAAGCCTCTGGTTTGGGGGGCCCAAATACCTTCTCTCACAACAAGAATAAAAACGTGCCCTACCCTCCGCCCCCATATCCAACGTTCACCATATTGAAACAGCAGTGTGCTGAGCAGTTTGCATGTGTCATGTACTTTAAAGTTCTCATCAGCCCCTTGCAATAGGCACCACTGTCCCCTTTACAGATGAGGAAACGGTCACAGCGTGAGTAAGAAACCTGCCCAAGGCCACACAGCCAGTAGTATCAGCATAGGGTTCAAACCCAGACTGCTGCCAGAGGCCTCTCAATGATTCTAGTCTTTCTTGAGCCCAGAAGGGAAGTCCAGAGACTTTGTATCTCCTTTTTAATAGCCTCAGTTATGGGAGTGAGGAGCTGGCAGGGGCTGAACAGGAGAAGGGGTGGGGGTGAGGCTGCCATGATCAGAGGCAGAGGCGTGGGAACTGTAATTCGTGCAAGGTCAAGACAGAGCTGTGACTTCTCTCTCCTCCACCTCCACATGCAAATCGGCCAGGCGCCTGGCCAGCCTCAGAGCTCCCTTTCTGTCTGCATGGGCCCAGCATTCCTGCCTCTCAGCCTCCCAGACCACACAGGGTCCAATCCAGCCCAGCTCTCCCTCAAGTCCAGCCTGGTTCCCTTGGTGGGGAGCCCCTCTACCCTCACACGGCCCAGCCCCTGGGAAGAGGAAATGAGTCTGGGGCCTCTGGTAGAGGTTTTGGTGGATGAGAGAGGGACTATTTCTACAGAAAGCAGCAGCACGTAGGGCTGATAGAAGTGAGACAGCAGGAGGGACTTCTCAGATAACCCATCCCATTCCAGTTCCAAGCTGGCTATGAATCCCAGCTCTATGGAATGGAAATGATAGCAGTAATCCTCTGAAGTGATGTTGTGCAAATGAAATGAGGTAACGTAAACAATGCGCTTCAAGCTCCATTAAGGTTAGTTGTCCCCAGGACAACATCCTCAGTCCCCTCCTACTCAGTGCCCCATGGGCCAGGGCCCTTTCCCTTCCCCTGGGTGCCGTCATGCCTTCTGGGTATTAATTCCAGGAAAACTGTTTTTGTTTTTTTCTGAAGAACCCCTGGATGATCGGGAATGGGAATGAGGCTGAAAATGCTGACAGAGAGAAAGGAAGTGGGGATGGGAGGGGACAAGGCTCCTCTGAGAACCTGATCCCCCAGAATGATGGGCCGCCAGCCAGGTACATCTTCAAGCTGTAGGCAGTTGACAAGGCCACAATGCCTGGACTCTGCTCCCCCAGCACTCAGAGGAGCAACCAACTCCAGATCCTGGATCCTCCCCTCTCCCTTCCCCTCCCCTCCTCCCCATCTTGTAATCTTATAGTCCAAGGTTCTAGTCCTAGCTCTGTCACTTTAAATCTGTCTGACCTCCGTTACCTCTTTTGACCCTCCGAGCCTCCATCTCCATCTGTAAAATGAGAACCCCTCAGATCTCTCAGGATTAGTAGAGTTGGAAACAGCTGGTTCCAGTAAGCACTCTGGAACAGAGCCCCCAACTAGCTGCTCTCTGCCTCTTTCTTTTTTGACTTTTCTTTTTCTTTCTCTTCCTCATCTTCCTCTCTCCTCTCCTCTCCCTCCCCTCCTCTTCCCTTCGCTCTCTCTCTCTCTCCCTCCCTCCCTCCCTCCTTCCTTCCCTCCCCTCTCTTTCTCATCTTTCTCTCTCCTTCATTCCCTCTCTCTCTCTCTCCTCTCTCTCTCCTCTTTCTCTGTTTCTCTCTCTTCTGCTAAGTTGCCCAGGTTGGCCTCAAACAAAGGTATTCCCACTTCAGCTAGACTCCTGGTCTCAGGAACACACCACCTGGCTTTTTTTTTTTTTTTTTTTTTTTTTTTTTTGTCAGTACTGGGGCTTGAACTCAGGGCCTCACACATGGTAGGCACTCTACCACTTGAGCCATTCCTCCTGTGGCTGGCATTTTCTTTTTAACTTTTCTTGTTCTTTATCCGAAATTCTCTGAGCTGCTTTTTTCCCCATCCTTCATCAGTTTCTTGAGCTCTTTCTGTCTCTCTCCTTCATTTTATATATATTAAGGTTGCCACATACAGTTGTGAAGTATGTTAACTGCACAAGGTCATTCACCTTCCAAAGGGGAGTGGAACTGAACTCTAGCCATGAACCACTCACCAAGCTGTGCATCTTACTCTGTGCTAAGGTTATCTAGCCCCATCTCACTCTTGTTTTCTTTGTCTCTCCCTGTCTGTCTATTTCCCTGTGTCCTAACCTATCTGTGCCCATGAAGACAGAGCACTTAGTCGTCTCTCACTCAGCAATGAGACTGTTAAGGTTGCCACATACAGTTGTGAAGTATTTAACTGCACAAGGTCATTCACCTTCCAAAGGGGAGTGGAAACTGAACTCTAGCCATGAACCACTCACCAAGCTGTGCATCTTAGCTCTGTGCTAAGGTTATCTAGCCCCATCTCACTCTTGTTTTCTTTGTCTCTCCCTGTCTGTATCCCTATTTCCTAACCTATCTGTGCCATGAAGACAGGAGCACTTAGTCGTCTCCACTCAGCAATGAGACTGCAGTCCAAAGACCCTTCCCTTCCCTCCCATACGGTGAGCTCCACCTGCCACACAAGTTCACACGTGTACATCTTGCACATGCAAGCACAGAGTCCTCCTATATCCAGCCAAGCTAGGCCCTCGGCACGCCAGGCCTGTCTGCCGGATGGAGGGACAGGAAGCCTGCATGTGCGCCAGAAAGCTGGGAGGGAAGGGGCAGGGGTGAGGGACTGGCCTCATATGCTGTGTGGCTCAGGAAACAGAAGTGAGAGGGTCTACAGTCAGCCCTGTTTACTCTCATCAGGAAATAGGGACACTGCAGGGACTCTGACTCACCAAGCGGCTACTTCATGGCCACTAGAGGTTGGCGCCAGCGCTGGTCCCAGCCCTTGTCACATCCCATTTTGCAGGTGAAGCAGTGGAGGAGGATCTTGGTTAAATGACTAGAATCTGTGCCAAAGGACAAAGCAGTGGACAGGGCTGCCCAGGCGGGGGAGTAGCCCTGCCCTATTCCTTACCGTCCCTAGATTACTTTCAAAAAGTGCAGTTCTTGTCTGGCCACTGTGCCCCTCTACCACCTTCTATGGCTCCCTACCACAAGAAAGGGCATCCAGGGGTCAGCTCCACCAGGTACTCAGCCTCATGGCCCATACCCACACTCCCATCGCAAAGGGCAGCCTACTGCCCCACGCGCCTCTCACCACAGCCACCTCTGCCCAGCCTACCCCTCCAATGCCCAGGTCCTCCCCAGCCTACAAGGTCAACCTCTTCCAGGAAGCCTCCCAGTGCACAAGCCTCACCCTGCAGGTTCAGCAGTTACCATGGACCCCCAGCCAAAGGACACCTGGGTGTTCTCCCCTACCTCTGCCCTGCGGCTGGCTCCAAACAGGATATGGAGCAGTCTCCAGAGGCCTGACACTTCCCCAAACCCAGCCAGTCTGGGCACCCTGTCCCTCTTCTACGGGCAAATAGAACTAACCCAGAGCTATCCAGGTTCACAGTGGTACACCACAAGCTGAAGCACCTCAAATCTCACTCCTCCCACTGCTCTATTCACGAGCTAATGTTTCCTCCCAATTCCCATTCTATGAGCCATGAGGGTGTTTTTGTGTTTGCTTTGTGGTACTAGCGTTTGAACCCAGGACCTCATGTATGCCAGGCAAGTTCTCTGCCACTGAGCTGCACCCCAGCCCAACTATAATGCTTATTGAGGTCGTGTGGCCCTGTGCCAGGGTAGCCTTCCTCACCTCCGTGTGTCCACTCCCCCCAACCCAGTACTCACAGCAGGGGCCTGCAGAAGGCCAGGCAGTAACTACGCCTTGGTGTGATGGGAAAGAACAACACATCCTCAAACTAAGTCCAGTGACCTTACTGGACCTGGATCTTATTTTTCAGGGAATGGGGAAAGAGGCTGTGCTCTCCCTCAGCTCCCAGACAGCAGAACAGGGTCCTTCTCCCAAGGCCCTCAAGACAATGCTATGTGTCACCAGTGAGAAGATGTAAAGTGGCATTCAGAAAGAATTCCCAAAGTCACACAAAGCAAAAGGCAGCTTCACATCTGCCCTCCTGACCTGGGCTGGTCAACCAGTTTCTATGGGATGAGTGTATGGGTCGTGCGAAGGCACTGAAGTCCACCTGGTAGGGTGGGGCGTGGGCAAAAGGAACTAAACCCTTCTACTGTGACTCTGGGGCCAAGGGACAAGCGCCCCCTCACTGCCCAATTCACCCTCCAAATAGAGGGATTGGCCCCCAGTGCAAACCTGTGCGTGGGTGAAGGAGGGCAGAAGCAAGGAAGGGCCCCAAGTGAGTGCCTATGGGTAGGCCAACAACCCAGGGCAGCCACAAGCTTGTAATCTCAGACCCATGGTGGGGGTGTTTATTTAACAAGTTACCTTGTTTGCTTTCTTGCGTTCTCTCAGCAATCCTAGAAAGTAGGTACTATGATGCTTCCTGTTTTATAGACAAATGCCCCAGAAAGGCATTTGTACTGATCAGGTATTGGGTCTATCTCACTCCACAGCCTGTGCTGCCATTGTCTTTCTACCCCTGTGGCTTCTTTTTGGCCTTTCTGACCTTTCTGTTCTATCTTAGGTCTCTACTCTGGCTTTCTAAATCTACTTTTCTCCCCCTAAGCCTAAGCCTTGTTTTATTGAGTCTTATGCTCTGCAGTGTCAGCCATCTGTCGTCACTATTCTCTCGCGCTTTTACCTCGTCTGCTCTCGCTCTTCTCTCATTTCTTTCCACACCCTGCCTCTTTTCATCTTCGCTGGCTTCTTCCCCACAGGGTGCCAGCCACCACCACCCTGCCTGGAGCTCAGATGAAGTGGAGGAGACCTTGATCTCAGAGAGAGGCTGAGAGGCCATGGAGGCCTAGCAGGGTTCGTCCTGGGGGCAAGCTGCTGTGACCAGTGACTTCTATCTCTCTCAGTTTCCCGCTGGTGGATGGGCTGCCTGGAGAGGGAGTTTCCTCTGCTGGGAAAGTCTGATAGGGAATGTTGGGGTGGAGAAGCAGATGCCAACCCTCCTTCTACACCTCCCAGTGGAGAGAAAGAGGGGAGGGAGACCAGCCTGGCCAATTCCTAGAAGTAGGTATGGCAGCTCCAATTGTGGGAAATATGACTGCAAGCTTTGGGAGGCCTCAGAAGTTGGAGAGGAGCAGTGGGGAGAGACTCAGGAGGGCCACTGTGGCCAAGCTCTCTCTCTCTGCCTCTCTCTCTCTCTCTCTCTCTCTCTCTCTCTCTCTCTCTCACACACACACACACACACACACAACACACACACACACACGCAACACCACATACACAGGTACAATAGCTCACAGTGGAGTGTGGTGAGGTTCCGAGAACAGTTCCCCAGCCACCCCCCCAGGTCCAGCTTAAGCCAAGGTTGAGAATTGACCCTTTGTCCAATCCTGTTGCTGCTGAGGCCTGACTTAGCCTGGGAACCTCAGGCCAGCACAAGCTGTTCTTGTCCTCCCGGGACTGAGGTCACAGCCCAGCCAGGGAGAGGCCATTCCTAAAAGGCCAGAACAGGGGAGTCACGGGTTCATAACTGGAGGCTGGAAATGAGGACAGGAGTTGAGGGATGGTCTGGCTGGGGCCTAGGCTCCTGGGACCCACACCACCTGCTCACCTTCAATACACACCTGCTTGGCTGCTGGCACTGCCCCACCTCATCCTCACAAGTAGCTTTCTGAGGCTGCAGATACCTGAGACATAACCTAGTCCTCAAAATGGCAAAGGACATGAAAACCTGTCTCTTCCTTTCCCTTTACACCCGCCCGCCAAATTCCCTGGTAGGGGAAGAGCAATACTGAGCAGGGCAGACATGTTTTTGCTCCTAGACGCCTCACAACAACCCTATAAGGAAGGCACTACAGTTTATTGTCTCCTTTTGGAAAGGAGAAACTGAGGCAGGAGGTTGAATCTCTAGATCAAGGCTGGAATGGAATCCAATGCTCTCAAAGCTGCACTTTGCTTGAGCAAAGGAGAGGACCCGGTGGCCCCCTTGTCCCGCCTGCCTGAAAGAGGCCACCCCTGGGCTCTGAACACTGCTCACTGAATTCTGACTTTTACTGTGAGCATTGGGGTGGAAACTCCCAGTCAAGCCCCTTTGGCCCCTCTCTCCAGCCTCCTGCCTCCTGCCTCCTCCAATCTCTCTGCCTCTGTCCCTTCTTTCACCACTGTCCTCCAGGAAGTCTGGGACTCCAGTCATAGAGAGGGCCTTCTGTCAGCACGCCCTTTACCCCAAGCAGGGTGGTCTGGTCGCCAGGCCCCAGCTCCAGGCCTCCCAGGCCGGGTCACTCACCTGCCTCAGGGGACCCAATGTCTCCGCCGGCCTGATGGGGACCTCGGGTGGACAGGGGGTAGGACTGACGGCAGGGGACTGGTTAGGGTACGGCCCCGCAGTCCCAGACGACTTCGGGAGCAGACGGAGACCGACCGTGGATCTCAGGGCGGGGAGGGGCGCGGAGGGGTGGGGGTGCGGGGCAGGAAGGGGGTGGGGACTCGGGCCCTTGCCAAGGCAGGAAGTTTTGACAAGGAAATTGGGAGCCGGGGGAGGGGAGTCCAGTGCGCCCGGGAGGGAAAACTTCTGGGGGTGGGATCACAGAGGCTGCCCAGCCTCTGGGTTGCTTAACTTCTTGTGCCTCAGCTTTCTGATCTGCAAAGTAGGGTTGTGGAGGGCATCAGTGACATCGTCGGTGTCCAGCACCTTCCAGTGCTGCCCGACCCTATTCTCACTAAAGACCCAACCCCCGTGGCATCCAGTCCAGGAGAGGCCCCTCCTCTCCTCCGGCCGCCCCAAATCTCTTGGCACTGGGTGTGAGCTTGGGAAGCAGTATCCACCTCTGCCCGCCCCCTCTCTCCCCGCTCCCTGGCGTTTCTGTCCACCGCCGCACCGCCCACATCTGGGCTGACCAAGCCCGACGGGCGCCACCTAGCGGCCAGAAGCCAAGTTCGTCTCCCACATCCTGCACAAGGCTCCCGCACACCCTTTCTGTATGTCTGGTAACAGCTAGTATTTCCTTCCGTCATCATTAACCCTCATCGAACCCTTAACTCGAGATCGTTATGTACCTTTACACAGGATGAATCGGGCTTCTCGTGCAGCTTACTGGTGTCCACAACTAAGCAGCCGAAGAAAGATTTGAACCTAGGTCTGTGTCTGATTACAGGTCTCTTGCTCTAAACCACCGCATCACAGTCTGCCACAGAAAAACCTACCCTAGTTCAAAGAGCAAAACAGGAACATCCCTACTGAGAGACTTTGTCAACTTGGGGACTGGTGAGGAGGTTGGCTCCATGGTGACTTGCTTGACTAGTTCTGGGTGTAATTCCCAGAACCAACTCGAAAAAAACCAAAAAATAATAAAAACAACAAAAATATCAACTTTAAAACAGATGTGACAGGAGGATCGTTTTGCCATCGGCGGGGTGGAGAGGGGGGTTGGTTTGAGAAACCCCATCTCAACAATTTTTTTTAAAAGCTGGGCTGGGCATGTCGGTACACACCTGTCATCCCAGCGACCTGGGAAGTGTAAATAGGAGGAGCACTGGTCAAGGCCAGCCGGAGCATAAAGCCAAACTCTATCTCAAATAACCAAAGCAAAAAAAGCTGAGGGTTGGCTCAAGTGATGGAGTGCCTGCCTAGAAAGTGCAAGGCCCTGAATTTATAACCCAATACCACCACCCCCCAAAAAACCCCAAAAACTTTATTTAGATATAATTGACATACAGTAAAATGCACCCACTTAAAGTGTACAGATTGAGGAATCATTTTTAGATTTTTATTGTAGTGAAATATGCATAGCAAAGTATCATTTTAAGCATTTTAAGTATATAGTTAAGTGGTGTTAAACGTATCACACCATGTGCAACCACCAGCATTATCCATTGGGAGAAAATTTTCATAATTCCAAAGAGAAACTCTGTACCCATTAAACAATCTCTCACAATTGTCCCCTCCCCCTTCCCCTAATAATCATTGCTCTACTTTCTGCCTCTGTGAATGACTGCTCTGGGTGCCTCAATAAGTGGATTTGTGTGGTATGTGTCCTTTTGTATCTGGCTCATTTCACTTAGTATGTGTTCCATGAGTTTTGACAAATGTGCTTACCCCCATCCCAATAGATGCTTTTTTTTTTTTTTTTGGTGGGACTGGGGTTTGAACTCAGGGCTTCACCCTTGCAAAAAAGATACTCTAACACTTGAGCCACACTTCTAGTCCATTTTACTCTGGTGTTTTAGAGATGGGCTCTCTCAAACTATTTGCCTGGGCTGAACCACAATCCTCCCAATCTCAGCCTCCCAAGTAGCTAGGATTACAGGTGAGCCACCAGCACCTGACTCTGAGAAGCATTTTTAAAATGTCCATCTCCCCCAAAGTGCACTTGTTCCACTTTGCAGGTAATGCCCCAAATTCTATTCTCACACCCAACTCAAGTCCCCAGTAATCTCTGATCTGCTTTATGTTGCTGGGTTTATTTGTTCGTGAATTCCCATATAAATGAGATCATACAATATATGCTCCTTTATGTCTGCCTTCTTTCCCATACTATAAAGCTTTCCAAAGCTCATTGCTCTTTATCATGGGCAGTATTCCAATGTGTGAATGTATCTTGTCTTTATAGCAGTTGATGGCCCTGGGTCTTCTCCAGTCTAGGACTGCTATGAGTTAAGCTACTGTGAACAGTTGTGTGCAAGTTTTGTGTGGACTTGCGTTGATGTTGGTAGCTACTTAGGAATAGGAATCTGGCTCCTAACACTTATGAGTTCTTTACACATTTTAGTTTTGTCTATAATGTATACTGAAAATATAC